CAACTTATGATATTATGATGTTCTCAGTTTCCTAATGGTTTGGCAGTAACGTAATTTTTCTCTATTTTGCTTAAATTTTTGTCATCTCTCTGATTCATTATTCGTTGCAGGAGATGACTCCATCTTCTAAGTGGGAGGACTACAAATCACTTCTTGAAGGTAGTCAAGAGTGCAGGTATATTTTATTAATAACTTAAATCACCTTCGAATTATCTTTTATGTTCATAATAGTGTTATTTGTTGTTTTTCTTTTAATTTTATATAGTGACTTCTGTTCCATAGAAGCATGATTTTATGACTCCTAAAGTATCTCTGACATTCACTTTTTGTGCCTGGAGTTTAATATCTGAGAGATCTCTACTGTCTGGCTGATGTTTAGGGCAATAGTGGAGACACGTAGGCTCTTGACAAGTTGAAATTATTTCTTACATTTTGGTATAAAAGAAAATTGTGGAAAATGAAGAAAACTTTAAAGGAACATAGAATTGAAATTTGAAAGTCAAGCTTAGAATAATTTATATTGTGCCGGACAAGTTTGTTTTAGGTTTCTTAGACTTTAACAAATAACATTGTTCTCTAACTGACTATTGCTTGATTATTTTGGATGCTTGTGTAGTGCTATTGGTGAAGAGAGCTTCTGCAAGGAGATATTTGATAAGCATGTAATGCAACTGAAAGAACAAGCAAAAGAGAAAGAGAGAAAACGAAAGGAGGAAAAGGTACTAATTAGTCGGATCACAATTTTGTAAATCAGTTCCTATGTCTGATATATGAGCTATTATTCTCTTTTGAATGTGGAATATAACACCTGCAGGGTTTACATCTGGTATGCAGAGTACTTGTATGTTTCATGTTTGAATCGTTGTTAAGCTTGCATTTGGTGTTGTTTTGAGTGATTATAGTTGTATAAATAGAACTGAATAATGAATACATATATGATTTTTACTTTTTAGGTTTTATTTTTATTTTTATATGCAAAGGAACTATTTCTTGGCAACTTGGACAACTTATAACGATGTTTGTCCCGCATATCACTAGGAAATCGGAAGTATGATTATTTGCATGACTAGACACACTTTTGTTGTCTAAACCATTTTTTAGATAACTTTATGATGAGTGTTTTTATTTCTAGAAGGGTGTTCACAAGGAATCCCAAAATTGTAAATGGAGGTTGTGATTACATGATATAATAATATATGGCTAGATGCAATGTAATGATATGAGAGGATTATGTTCTCATTAATAGAACCTTTAGAGTTTAAATATGGGTTTGCTGAGTTGATTAATGTTTATTAGCTTAAATAAGGAGTTTATATAATAGCACAGGCTACTAATGAAGGAAAGTAAATAAAGTTCAAATAAAAGAGTAATAACTTAATGCTGTATCCCGTTGTATTGTTGGTTACGTATGATTATTTTGAACTGAAAGCATGATACTTGCAAACTTCAGTCACTTCTCATGTATTACTTGTCCATTAATATGAGACCTTGAATTTAACGCAATGAATTCCTATAATTTTCTACACCCTGTAGGAAAAGAAGGAAAAGGAGAGAGATGATAGAGAAAGGAGAAGGACGAAGCAGAGAAGAGAAAAGGAGGTAGAATATGAAAGAGAAAGAGAGGAACGCCTTAAGAAAGATGGTTTAGACAGTGAGACTGCTTATGTAATGGACATTCATGATTCCAAAGAGAAAAAGAGGTCTGGGAAAGACGATAATAAGAAACATAGGAAGCGCCATCATAGTGATGAAGATCATGCCAATGGAAATGAGAATGATCGGTCGAAAAGATCTCATGGATCTAGCAGTGACCACAAGAAATCAAGACGGGTATGTTGAGAATAATTGTGACCTTTCATTTGATTTATTATTTAAACACTGATATAAATTTTACCTCGTTTCCTATTGTTATTGCGTAGCAGGCACCTGGTCATGAATCAGATACTGAAAGCAGACATAGAAGACATAAAAGAGATCATCGGAATGGTTCTCGTAGAAGTGGTGATCACGATGAGCTAGAAGATGGGGAATTTGGCGATGTTGGGGAAAGTCGGTAGTTGTTTCATCCTACAAATTGCTTATGCCAGTGTTTAAACTTTTTTTAATGTTGCCAAAATATATGTTTTCCATATTACAATCTTTGAACTTCTAGTGCTATAATATATATTCAAATATATATTTTCCTTTTTGTTTACTAAGAATTAGCTGTATTATGCTGTACTGTTTCCACCTAGTTTTCCCCATTAACAGGCTTGCTTGTAGACTACTTTTCCAACCTCTTCCTAGCCTGAATGTTCTTGAGCATTTTTGTTTCTTTTGCCTGCCCTTCCATTGTTGACACTATCATGCAGACGTTGCATCTTTTTCTGCTAGAGCCTTTTGTTTCTCAGGGGGCTGAAAAGAATCACTTCCATTCTGTGGTTTTGCTCACAAATGGGAAGCTGAAGTTGGTTTGGGGCCTTCTCTTCGGCTTTCGAAGCGACGTGCTTCAAGGAAAAAAAATGTTTCTAGTGACTGATAAACATACGACAGATATTCGTATGTTTTGTAACTCATCCATTGGACTGGGGAAAAAGCTAGGAGACAAAAGAAAACTTATTAATATTAGCTTTACTCACAAAGATGCAGCAAGCATGATTTCAAAGAATACAAATTGGGAAAATGATAGCTGCAACATGTCCCATGCAATTATGCTATGCATTGCATGATAGTTTTGCTACTTATTTCAACAATGTACTAGAATCGAATTCTTCATACAATGGATCAGAAATTAGTCTAGTCAATGTTAGTTCATTGTTTTTGACTTTTTTTGGAAGATTTTAGTAAAACCCGTTACTTATGTAGCCCTCATGCTTATGGTTTCCGCACTACTTTACTAGGACGGTTCATAATTCACTCCCATATTGGTGAGCTTTTGTGAGCCAGCAAAATTCATAGTGATTTCCACCAAGCTCAGAATTAAATTATAATTTTCACATGGATCTTGTAGCTCAAGCGGTTAAAAACAATTACTCCTGCAAATGAGGTCTTAAGTTCGATTCTCCCCTCCCCTGATATCGATTGTATATAAATAAAATAAAAAAATAAAAAAAGGTTATAATTTTCACCTCCATGCTTCTGAAAGAATAAAAAGGCCATGAAGATGTTGAGGTCTGGATAGTGATCTAACAGCTTAGATTCGCCTAAAGCTAAAAGGCTGCTGCAAGCTTGAAAATATGACAAAAAGAAGCTTCTTTCATTACCACCAATTGTCATGCCTATTAGACTCTTTACTTTTCTCTTTATATTTTCAAGCCACCCAATCCCCACCAACAGCCAACAACTAAAAGTTAATGCCAAAAGAATGGTCTACATTTTTATTTGACAAAAATTGCCTACACTTTAAGGAGACAATTTTTATTTGACTAAGCACCCCCCACCCCGCGGCCCCCACATAATTTCTCATGGGTTCTATTCCATAAGCAAATGAGCATGCTGAGAGTTATCATAATAGTGAACATACATTTTGACTTGCACTTTTTAAGATAATCAATCAATACGTGTCAAATTATGATTTGTTGATGTCGACTTTTAAGAACCGAACATTGGGGGTGTATTTTTTAAACACTCTCGCACGTGTGGCGAACTTTCAAACTTAAAACGTGAACAACACATATTAGGTGACGTGTGGCCGTTGGCCCCAACACGTGGAAGCTTGCTTTGATACCATGAAAGAAGTTGAGGTTCCACTCCAAAACCAATTGGCAATTATAGGAGTAGCCCAACTCCTTATAAACCCAGACTAAATCTCTTAACTTTTCAATGTGGGATAAATACTCTCAACACCTTTTAATCCTTTAATTAAACATTCAGAAGGTGACAAAACAATGTCAGCCGGGAAGTTTCCTCCAGAATCCAGGTGACATTGGAGGGACAGGTACGCTAATTTTGGACTAATCCAATTATGGCATAATTTCTTAATTAGTTTAAATCAAGACAAGATCCAAATTCTAGAGGCATTGTTGCGTGTTTTTAGCTTTTGTCAACGCGTGAATGTTAAACCGTGACACCCCGCGGAGAATATTTGTATGTTCACATGCAGGGTGCTACGCCAACACGGCATCACTTAGCAAAGCTTAGCTGACCGCACCGTACTAGGTATATTTGCACTAAACCTGGCCATGCCTGTTATGAACATGGGGATTTAATAAATTCAATATTAATTACTTCTTTTGTTAGCCATGCGTAAATTACTGACGAAATCAAAAGAATTTGAATAAACAATTAGCTATTAGTCTACTCAATATAATTTTTTAATTTTTTTTAAAAAATAGCTATTGGGGTAGTATAGGGACAAAAAATAAAGTTTTTAGATAATGAATTAGAGATGATAACGACGCGAATTGGGTCCGAATTTGCAATTACTATTCCCATCCCTATGGAACAGGGACCAAATCGGGCCCATGATAACTATTTTATTTTCCTTAATAAAATAAATTATAATTATAATTATAATTTAGTATATGTAACGCACAATCACATAAAACGCACCATATAATCATACAAAGCTTAAATGGGGAATAACGTTGGGGAGTGCTATCTTCATCCCTGCCTATTAAGCGAAGCAAAGCAAGGTTAACGAGATCGGGAAAAAAAATTGCTATACAAAATTGGATATACTATAAATCACTTCAATTTATTAGAAGAAGAAGTCTTAAATTCGAATGTCCTGTTATCACGAAAGAAAGAATAAAAAATTAATTGAGTCGACATAAAATCCACTTACTTAAATACAATTCCACATTTGATCCACTTAAATCAATTGCGGCTAATAATCTTCTAGATATCAAAGTGGTCAACGACTAGTGGGCTGTAGCGATCATCCAATTCATTTTAAAATTCTACATTTGCCCTTGTGATGACCAGCAGCTTCCTATATATGTATAGTTTTCCACAGCGTCCCATCCTCACAAACTACAAAAGCTCATCGTCTTAGAATCTGCAAAGTGCAAAGCAAAAACATGGCTTCCAAGCTCACCAGCCTCTGCTTCATAGCCCTCATCCTCTTCCTCTCATTAAGCTGCTCCGCGGCTCGGCCGCTGCCTTCAGCTTCTGATGCCAATGCAATGAAAGCTCAAGATGAGGTAATTAATAATTAATCAACTAATTAAGCTATTGCAGCCCAAATCATATTATAACTAAACTCGTAACTTTGTGATGAAATATTTCTGGGTTTTTGCTAATTTTTTGTTCTCTTTATGATATTGTTTTTTTCAGTTGAAGGATGTTGAAGTAGAAAAGGCCATGGTGGAGGAAAGCTGTGAGGGAGTTGGGGAAGAAGAGTGCCTAATGAGAAGAACGCTTGCTGCTCATATTGATTATATCTATACACAGAAGCACAACCCATAATTTCTTTTTTCACTTCTTTCAATTTGTTTATTTTGCAGTTCTTCTGTACTGATCATCTACTTTAGGAAGTTTTTCTGTGTACTACCAGACCAGTGTATAGATGATATATATTTAATAGAATGAATTTTGTGGAGAGTTCTTCAATTCTTGGTTCATTTTGTTTTCTTTACATAATTCTTACAAAATATTGACGATCGAGAATTAAAACTAAGAATAAACAACCCTTAATTTACCGATCATCACATAGATTTTATCTTTACCAAAGGTTGATAATGTAACCCGTAAGCGTGACACATGTAATATATTCTAAACTAATGATTCTTTCTTCCCAAATATGTTATAGCCAAACCAAACTTGTTTGCGGGTACATATATAAGGAGTATATCTTAATCCACATAATTAAATTTGGGGACATAATCATATTCTCGACCATTAATCAATCTAGAGATGAGAGCTACTAGATTGGTTTGTAGCATGCGCGCATAATCGAAGGTTTGTATTTTAGTTGTATGTTGATCATAGGGCATTGACAAGATTAATCATGATGAGGTTCCTCACAGAAGACTTTCATCATGTATATGCATGCTTCCCCATATCTACTTTAGTTCTGCTACTTCTACTTTGCCTACTCATTTAGGTGAAATATAATTGGAATTAAGCTGAATATATATAAAGAAATTCTCCTATTTCCGGACATTCTTATCGTGCGCCATGTATTTTATATTACATATCTTTACTTTCTTAAATGTTTACAATAATAACGTGCGGACATTGAAATAAAAGAATAATATATATTTATGTATATACACACGCATGGCGATATATTTGATATTGGTAATTATCATAGTGGAGCGTTATATGCTGTGTTATAATGTGCCAAGTGGATCCCATCCTAATATGATTTGGTGGGCAAAAGTTGTGACTTGGCATCACATTGCCTGATAAAAAGTGCAAAGTACTGCCATATACTTTCTTGAATCCACTTCAAAAGTTCTCTTTATGTACATAGATTTGGACCGACTTCAGATTCTCAATCTATATAAAACATATATTTTATAGTTTTAAGATCGACCTTATTGTAAGAAAAATGCATGCATCTTTCTTAGGGTTATGCAACAATATATTTTAATGATTGGACCGTTTATATTTTAAATTATCTATGTAAAACATCATCTAGATCGAAAACTTTTTTGTCATCAAAAGTATGAAAAAAAAAACATAGTTTGTTAGATAAAACGGAAACAAAAATGTGATTAATCAAATGGTTAAACATTATGTTTTAGCTGAATTTTATTTTTCATGGATTTTGATTACACTGGTTCTTTTTGTAATTATAGAATTTTTATTATAAAGAAAATCCTTAAAATTGAACTACATTACAGATGATTCACAATGTAACTAGCTTGTCCATATACATACGTCTCATTTCTCCTTAGAGAGAGAATGTCATAAATACTGTTAATAATTATTATTTGCGATATTCTGAATTACTCTAAACCACTCGATGTAAATGGTGATTCATCAAACTCAGACACAATGGACCATGTCCATTGTCACATCTAGCTGATCTAACCGTAATTTGCAAGACGTCTCCAAGTATTAGCTAAAGTGTGAATGGTGGCATGATGACTCAATCCATCATTAAGAGTCATTTAATCCCACACGCACTAATGGCCTCTGCTCTACCTCATTTCCATATGGTTGAAAAATAATGAAAGGTATGAATGCATTGAGTGTTACGTATATGATGCATGTGGCTACTTGTGGTTTAGACGGCAGCAACTAGGTGAGAGCCATTTCTACTTCTCTTTTGTAGCCATCAATGGCCAGCCATCCATAGATACATTTATTTATATGCATGGCCCTGCGTTTCGCTATCTTTCATATTTTTCTTCTCGCTCCACATATATGTATGGATATATCCTATAGGGTCAATGAAATCAATTGATTGGTCATTGTTTCGAGAGGCATTATTTATTAGTCAACGTTCAACTGCCTGCTGTGGCCGGCGTTCAGCTTGTGCAGTTGTGCTTATATAAATCAGTTCATTTGGCAGTATCCCAAGGATGCTTCTATCAAAGAACTAATAACTACAGCTAGCTACATAATTTTATTTGGCTTCAGACAAAATTTGTGTCATGTCATGTGCCCTATTTTCACTTGTTTTCACACGTTGCCACAACTGACACCAGCCAGGTGTATGTGAGAGGTGATCCCCAGGTAACTCCAAAAAAAATAAAAACAAATGCAGACCAAGAAGTTTATAACTATAACTTTGATCAAAATTAACAAATCCCAAGAAATTAAACTGGGGCCCAAAACAGGCTATTTGCAGAAATGAAACTAAAATAGCACTGTTTTTTATGTCTGGCCAATCACACTATGTTCAGTGGATAAAAGTTATCATTCGTGGCAATTGGCAGAGAATAGCAAAACAGTGCTATTCCCGTTGCACACAAGTGTTTCTCCTAACCTTGGCGGGGCATGGGTGGAGCTTAGCACAACAGCACTCCACAGATTCTATTGAGGACTTGAAGAAAGTATTTATGGTCTTCTCTTTGTCTTTCAGTCCAGAGAAATGAATGCTATTTAATTAAAGAACAAAGTTTCAACATTCAGGAATATTTTACAGACAAAACTTATCAGCAAAGACAAGATCACTTCAGTCCATATAGAAGGAAAAGCAGCATATATCCATCAAAACTACAATCTTCTACAACAGAAACAGCCAGCCACATAACTAAAATTGAAATCTAAAACTCGCAACACCAAATGACTTAAATGCCAATGTCTACTCTGGTATATACGTTCAACCATCCCCTCATTTGGTCTACTCTCTCAATTAGTCTTCGTTCAATCTCCGTGTTCATCACGGATCTCATTTCGATTCTCATTTAATCTTTTAGCACCTAAGCATATAAGAAAGATGGCAGGCGACGGAAGCAAACGTATTGAACAGTCGAGCAAATGCACTGGGAAATTCCCCCATCTAATCCATGAAAGTCCGGAAGAGTACCATAAAGCCTATGCTGGGAATGTGGATAGTAGAACCACCACAACCGTCCCCAATGCCTGAATACAACTCTTTCCTTTTTACCCTTGTAAATGAGCTCCCAGATGCAAATGAGTACAGCAGCAATAGCCAATATCATACCAAACAGTGCATATTGGGGCTTACTTGGGGAGGAAGCCTGGTCAAAAGCAAGTGACAAAATCTCTAGGCAGAGGCCAGTGAGTAAGAAGGCCCACTCTACCGAAGTAGCCTACAAAAGAAACTAGTAATTAATTCGGTTAAAGTCAACAATCTTGTTCCAAATTTATGGATTTCAGATTTTTGTTAACTTTGTGAGACAAAATACAAAAAGAACAGACAAGGATCAATTGACAGACGCGCTTTAAAGAAAATTACAACATAATTCCAAAACCCAAAAACAAGAAATCAATGCAGTGGAAACAGGGTACCGTTGGGCTAAGCCTAGGTGAGACCCGGACAGTTGGCTTTGGTTGTGGTCTTGCTGATAGGCGGACTTGCTCAAGCGCTCGGAGTCGTAGCTCTGATGGGTATTCCCTTACCCACCCAATACGTGGACCAACCCCAGTTCCCCACTTGCAGGACAAACAATTGGACTGGTCATTTATAGGTGCTTCTCCATTGGACTCCACGCTTATTCATCTCTGGCTCTAAGCACAACTTGTCAGGAATTTGGATTGACGCGTTCTCATCATCTGTTGCAAACATCTGTAAAAGACCACATATAGAGAAGTCAAATTTAGCTATTTTTTTTCTACTTGTGTGCATAGTTAAAGTGCAAAATGAAGGCCAGAGCTGAATGTAACTACCTCGACATGGGTTAGGTCTACATGGTGCTCCTGCAGGAAGCTAATGAATTCCTTGAAATTGTCTTCAGTTGCGAGATAGTAACCACTATATGGCCATATACCTGAACAATTAAAAGATTAGGAGATTTTAGCTCAAAAACTGGAACTGCAAAAGAATTATGTTCTAGCATTTGAGAAAACTAATGCATATGCATAATGTACCTTAAAACCCCATTGTGGGCAACCAATCTTCCAGTTGTAACTGCAGCCCCTCCAGATAGAAAACTTGAGTCATGAAAAGCACCTTTCCTTTTCTGCCCCACACATAAAGCCCTTGGTGCGCTGAGCACAAACATCCACTTAGAGCCTTTTACTGTGTCAACAAGCATCCCCGATTGTCTTGTGAACAAGCTTTCCGTTCTCTAGAGTCACTTCATATCCCTCCAGGTCTTTCTGAAATGGAAAGTGAAGGAACATCAGTAAATACATTATGCATTAGTTCTTCCCCTCACAGCTCTATATTAACTTTACATCAATCTGAGAAGAGATTGGTAAGTTCATTGATTTTCAGTTTCTTGTTAAATTAACCCAACGGTGTTTGCGATATGGAACTCTATACAATGAATGCATTTTGCCAGTTCTAGTTAAAGTACAATGTTGTTACTTTCATCCATTGGGTGAAGATGAAGAAACACAAAAACACAAAGGAGAGAGCTATAAACAGAATTGAACAAGAATTTAGAAGTACATAAACTCACAGCTTCAAGCCGGTACTGCAGGGCTAGTTTCTGAGCCTTCTGGTCCTTAGAAAAACCCTTTCGTGCTTGCAGATAAAAAAGACTTCGCTGTTAATTTGTCAGTCTGATTCCTATCACCAAAGTACTGGCAGCAGCCCTTGTCCTAGCCCGTGCCAACCGGCAAAGCAGCTTTATGTTTCTCAACGTTAAAGGACTTTGAGCCTCCTTTCAAAGCTGCGAAGTCCAACCACCTAAAACAATTGCACATATGAGATGAACAGAGGCTAGTTGTACAGCAAAGAATGTAACATAGACTTAAGGTACAAACCATAGTTCGTCCGCCACAACAGCACAATCTGCAAGGCCTCGTCTAGTGCTGTAACTCCTATAGAATTTCTGAATCGTAGTTGCCGCAGCATCCCACTAACTAACTGCAGGCTCGTTTGTCCCATATGCTTCAAGTTTTAGTTCTGTGGAGTTCAAATTTATGAAGGTCGTAGTGTCCGCATTCAAACTGACTAATATCATGGAAATTAACTATATTAACACTTTGGACGAATTTACTAACGTGGTTTTTGGTGGTTTTCAGATTTTCTTAAATTAATTTAACGTGGAAATTCATACAAGGCGAGTGTTGAGTCAAATCACTTTGGACGACTTGGAATTGCATTTCTCATATATATTAGGTCAGGATTAGAAAGTGCCATGCATCTTCCCAATGTTTAAACATTTGGACAACCAAAAGAAACAAATATCCTTGAAAATTCCTCCCCAGTTCATTAAAAAAATTTATATCCTTGAAAAATAATAAATAAAACGTTGGTTTTTCAGGTCCTACTGCACGCCATTCCTTCCTCCTACCTATCATAATATGGCGTTGACCCTGCAAAACATATCAATTCGAAACTCCAGTAATTCTCAAACAAAATGAAAGTAAAGAGCAAAACTGCTGCATTTCAACAGAAAAAAGGAGCTAAACTGCTGCTCCAACGAGAAACAAGAAGAAATCTACAGTAATGGGAGGAGATATCAACAAATTACTGTTTTACTTGGAACAATCTGAATCCAGTTCTAACGTACTTCTAAGAGTTCCAAGGGGCCTAGGTGCTAAAGAGACGCATTTGAATTGTGAACAATGTTATCCAAAGTCTTGTAAGTTTTCTTTTCTCTTTTTTTCTTTTTTCTTCGCTCACCTTGGTATGATTTTAATATAATTTGAGATGTTCCTTTAATTTATTTCTTTTATGGGTGCTGATATTTGATAGTGCATAAAAGGAAGCAAGCAAGCTAATCAAATTAAAAATATCATTTCATTTTGTTAACATTTATATAAAATTTTAATCAACTCAGGGATTTTTACCAAATCAAAACTTTAATGGTTGAAGCCCAAAATTCTTTTGTAGCAAATTAGGGCATGTTTGAGAGTGCTTCTGGAAATGCTAAAAGCGCTTCTGACAGCGTTTGACATAAAAGTTTAGAAGTGCTTTTGGGTCATAGAAGCGCTTTCTGGAGAAGCACCTGCTATGTGCTTCTTCAGGAAGCACTCTCAAGTGCTTTTTCAGGAAGCGTTTGAGATTTTTTTTAATGAAAATTCAAGATTTTTATTATAAAAACGCTTTTGTTAGAAGCGCTTATGAGCAGAAGTATTTCCTAGAGAAATAGTCCCAAACGAGCCCTTAATCCTTGATATTGGAGACCATATACAGGACGTGGTAGGATAAGAATTCGTCCACACGTGTGGTCTGAAGTATGCGCATGTGGTACAACTTGTCCATGTGTTATAATATGAGTGTATACTTATTATCCTAAAAGTAGAAAATATGAACCATGTTGTCTACCCATATTATAACACTTGAACAGACATGTGATCATACAGTATAACACCATACAATAATTTCTCCTTCCACACATAAGATGAAAAAGAAAGCTCACAACTAAGTATTATGATTGTTTTCATCTCTTTGCAGAGCTTATCACTTGAAGAGATTTTTTTATGTCTTTGGATTTCTCGACAAAAATATAAAAAATAAAAAAAATTCTTTGGATTTCAAGTAAAGTTCCGAAGAACAAAATGATAAAATGAAAGCGAAGTGTGCTTGTTTCATGTTTTCTTGAGAATCATTTCATCATTTTTTAAAATTCATTCTTTGTGTTTGTGTGGTCTTGTGTGTCTATATCTATTAGGTTCTCTTTGCTCCAATGTGTGAGAAAAAGTGGAAGAGAGAGATCATTCTTGAAGAATGGAAGCATCTTACTAAAGGATCTTATTGCTTCTTGTGATGGCAAATCTACTCCTATTCGTTATTACTCTGCTGCTGAGCTCGTTAGGGCTACCAACAACTTCGATCCTTGTTGCATTGTAGAAGAGGCTTCATTATACTACACGATGTTCAGGGGTGTTCTGGACGACCAAACAATTATCGTTAAGAAGTACATCATTACAAGGGACTGGCCCGACAAGGATGAAGCTAGGTCTTGGGCTATTCGTGATATTGTCATATCAATGCAGATGAGCACACATAAGAATGCTTTGAAATTATTAGGTTGCTGCTTAGAGTTTTCTCTCCCAGCTCTGGTGCATGAAGGTGCAGCAAAAGGAGTTCTCAGGGATGATGGAAGTTTAAGCGGGGATAACGAAAGTCAATCCTTGTTACCATGGAAAACTAGACTGCGTATTGCAAAGCAGCTTGCTAGTGCACTTACATATCTCCATACTGCCTTTTCGAGACCCATCATTCATAGGGGCCTAAGTTCCAGCTGCATTTTTTTGGATGACGACTATGTTCCAAAACTCTCCAACTTTTCTTTCTCCATAACCATTCCTCCGAAGCAATCCCATGTTGAAGAAGATACCTTGAAATGGACATGGGTATGCTGACCCCAACTACCTGGCAACTGGTTACATTACGGAAAAAACTGATGTGTATAGTTTTGGTGTTCTTTTACTTGTACTCTTGACGGGAAGAACTGCAATTACTGCAAATTTGAAATTTCATGTTTCTGATAGCCAAATTCAAATTCACAACATTGTAGACCCTAAAATCTTCGAGGAGGTAGGGGAAGCTGAGTAAGAACAACAACAATTGCGGGATTTCCTAGCACTTGCATTGTCATGCATCCAAACCCAAAATGAAGCAAGGCCATATATGATTGACGTCGCCAAAGAAGTCGTACGAATTCACAAGTCTTATCTTGCTTGTGCACTAGCTTAAAATTGCTCATTTTATATTATTTATGTAAAAAATTTAGTGTGGCTGACAACATAAAAATGCTCATTTATATTATTTATGTAAATTTTTTAATGTATATAGTGTTATTATTCAATAATATCTGAAAATATACATGAATTTGATTTTTATTATTCAAAAATTGATACAAAATACATGTGTTAAGCGTGAAAAATATATGTATATTTGTGTATAGTAAGTTTAGTTTAAAAGAGCGTGTATGTTATCATATTTTTGAAGTATATGAGAAATGAAAGTATTTAAAAAAAATATGTACATACGTATAAACAAAATTGCCCTTATTTATTTTTGGATTTCCTAAGGAATTCTTTACATTTGCATGTTTTTGATTTAAAAGTTGAGATGTTTTTCTGTCTTTTTTAAAAAAAATTTGGCTTTTTCCAAAAGTGAAAATTTTTTTTGGGCTAAAACCTAAATTTACTTATAATATATTCACATTATGGGCGAATTTACTAACTAGGATTAGACAGTATTATGGCCCAAAATTAAAAAAAGGTCCAAGCAATTAGCCCAAATCAGGTAACCAGTCATGAGTGAAAATCTTAGATGGTAGTTGACAGATGACAACACTCTCTTGGCGCTAAAACACGTACTTTCCCCGCCAAAAGCCACGACACAAAACCCAATATTGCAACAGAAAGGAAAAGCAGACATTGACCAAAAAGTAAAAAAGAAGAAGCAGAGAAGAAAATTTCCATCGATGGGCGAAGAGAAACACTACTGGCTTCTGAAGACGGAGCCAGGAGAGTGGTCGTGGGAGGACCAAGCAGCCAATGGGGGCGTAACCAAGTGGGATGGCGTCAAAAACAAGCAAGCCCAGAAGAACCTCAAGTCCATGAAACTCGGTGACCTCTGCTTCTTCTACCACTCTGGCGCCAAGGCCCGCCGCGTAGTTGGCGTGGTCACGGTTGTTCGGGAATGGTATTCGGACGGCGGAGACGATAGCGTGGTTGATGTGAAGGCGGTTGGGGAGATGAGGAGGCCGGTGGACTTAAAGGAGATGAAGGGGGAGAAGGGGCTCAAGGGTTTTGCTCTGTTTAGGCAGCCGAGGCTGTCGGTTGTGCCGGTTCCTGAGGATGTGTGGATTAGGGTTTGTGATTTGGGAGGTGGGTATCAAGGTGATGGTATTGTTTTAGAGAGCCATGATAGTGATGGTGAATCTGGTGAGGAAGAAGACGATTGATTTTGAGGGTTTTTTGTGTGTTGTTTCTTGCATGGTAGGTGTTTGTGATTATGTCACAATGTCCTAAGTGACTTGTACTATTTTGGGTAGTGTCAATGGGAAATAGTACTTTTTAAGTGATTGTACTTCATGGTTTTGTTTGATCATGAAAAGGGAAAACTTGTACCTTGGCATGTAATTAGTAGGCTTTTAACAAGCACAAAATGAGTGTGAGCTACACTTCGCTCATTTGGGTCTCTCATCGTTAAAGTGTTAATGTTAAGCTCTCTATATTTGAATATTCAACCCACTCTCTAATCTTCTTCTGTAATTCATAGTTCCCAAAAGAAAATTTGTAATGTTCTGATATCATTTGTAATATCCATTTGGAAGGAGTGAGGGCAGATATGGTTGATGTGAAAGGCAGTTGGGGAAATGAGGAAGGCAGTGGAGGAGATGAAGTCTGAATGGATTTGCTCTGTTTATTTAGCCGAAGCTGTTGGTTGGCAACTTCAAGGCAATGCATTAAATTTTGCTAATTGTTTTCGTTTTCTTTTTGTCTGATAATGAAAGGGGAAAATAGTAATTTCCTGTGAACTTATTTGGCCGGCTCCACAGTAAGTTGATCATTCGATGGTATCGTTGACCTTGCAAAGCATAGCAATAAACTTCAGAACTCTACTCATTCTCAAATGAAAGCCATATCCATCCATCCATCCATCTGCAGAAGAAAATCAAATTAACGGAGTGGACTGGGTGGAGAAATCGATCAATTACTGTTTACTTCGTGCAATCTAAAGCAGAAACAATGCCATCAAAACTCTTGCATTTGTAAGTTCAAGTTTTCATGGATAATATGTAGCTTCAATTTTAAACCTGATTGTAGATTTTAATTGTAAGTTCTAAAAGCTCAGATTATATCTCTTGGAATTTCATATGAAGTATGCAGAGTGTATTAGCATAGTCTCACATCACATGCGTCCCTTAGGAGAGATTATTTCAATTTCATCATTTTATTTTCATTTTTAACCAATAAAAAATATATATAGTTTGATTAATTTATTATATTACACGGATATATTCTATCAGGTTCTCAATGTTGACATGCTTGGGAAAGGAGGGAAGATATGCTGATATTGAGTCATCATACTACAAGAATCTGAGCAAATTATTAGAGGATCTCATTGCTTCTTGTGATGGTACATCTCATCCTGTTCATTGTTACTCTGCGGATGACCTCATCAGGGCATCCAACAACTTCCATCCTTCTCGCATTGTACGAAGGGATTCAAACTACACAATGTTCAGGGGATTTCTAAATGACCGGTCGATTATCATTGCCAAGTACTCCATTGGGAGCTTGCCCCATGACTCATGGGGCAATGAGGATGGTGTTGTCTCGAGCAATTCGCGACATTGTCATTTCAATACAGATGAGCAACCATGAGAATGTTTTGAAACTCTTCGGCTGCTGCTTAGAGTTCCCTGTACCCGCTCTGGTGCTTGAAAAAGCAGCAAAAGGAGTTCTCAAGGTCAAGGGTGATGGAAGTTTAAGAGGGGATGGATCCTTATTATTACCATGGAAAATTAGACTGTGTATTGCAAAGCAGCTTGCTAGTGCAGTTACATATCTCCATACCGCCCTTCCCAGTCCCGTAGTTCATGGGGATCTAAAACCTGGTTGTATTTTCTTGGACCACGACTATGTTCCCAAACTCTCCAACTTCTCACTCTCCATGAGGTCTGGCCACATCTCAGAAAAAACTGATGTGTATAGTTTTGGTGTGCTTTTACTTGTGTTCTTGATGGGACGAAGAGCTTGGTGGCTAATTATACGGCAGGAAGGAGGGTATAGTTCAGTTATTGATTATATGAAGTCACATGCTTACCAGCATCAGACAATTGTGGACCCTAAAATCTTAGAAGAGGTTGGGGGAAATAAGCAAGTAGAACAGCAGTTGCATGATTTCCTAGAACTGGCATTGTCATGCACTCAAGATGAAATTGAAGGAAGGCCTTATATGAGCAATGTGGCGAGGGAACTCGTTCGAATCGACGAGTCTATTTTGCCCAGCTAGCTTCAATCCACTCTATTTGTTATCAAACATGTTGGATATGGGTTCAACAACATGACTAGTATTTGGAAGGTTGTCAGTCTCTCTTCTGTTAATGTTGAACTCTGTATACCCTTTATTATGATTGTTGTTGGTTGTTAATTTGTTACTATTATTTTCTTTTTTCTGTTAATTTGTAGCAAATATGAAATCTTAGACTAGATCTCTCATATGAATTTTTCTACAGATTCTCCAGTATTGTAAAGCAACTTGCTAATGCAGCTGACTATATCTTCATACTGCGTTTCTCAGGCCCATCAGCCATAGGGATTTAAGACCAACATATATTTTATGTACTCATTTCTAAATTGTGACAAAATTTAAATGCTTTCGAAGCCATAGATGGTGAGAGGCTAATGCATTTTGCTTTTTTCTTTTGTGCCCAACCAATTTCAAGGCAAGTAAGTACAATTGAGGAAGCAAACTCATTGGCGCCAAGACACATGTTTTCCCTCCAAGAAACCCAGAAGCCAGAACACAAAAACCCAATATTCCAACCGAAATGAGGAACAGAGAAGAACAAGCAGACATTTGACTCGAAAATCTGGCACGGTTGGTGTTTGTGATTATGTCACAATGACCAAGTTCCTTGTATTTTTGAATAGTGCTTTCTTTTTGGTTGTGTTTGATTATAAACATGGAGGAAAGGGTATTTTGGCATGTAATTAGTAGGTGCTTTCTTGCTATGCGTTTAGTAGAAAGAGTCACAATAGAACTATTGCAGTTCGCTTTGCTTTGTGTATGCCTTTTGTATGCTCAACCAATTTCAACGTAAGTTCATTTAGATTTTAAATTTTGCTCATCATTTATGGATTATTTATGTTGCATTTTTTGTTTTTCCAAGTCAATTGCTGATTAGGGTTGGGGGAAGGAGGACAAACAGAAGAGACAACGACTGGGAAAAGGGTGATGATATTTTTTAAGAATATGAATGATGAGTGGTTTATTGAGATGCAACTTGGTATGGTAAAGATGGCTTTCAGTTTTCCAACTTGGTTAGTAAGTCGTCCTATAAGTCAATATATGATGGCGCATGTGATATTAAAAATACGTAAACATAATTTTTGTTGACCTTTCTACGCATACGACTGAACTTCAAATCTCTGTTCCTTCTCAAATGGAAGGTTTCAGTAAAAGGAAATGAAACTAAAGAAATACATAGCTGCTTGCACATGAGATCCGCACTGGACTCTGCGGAGAAATAATCAACAAGTTACTGCTTATTTGGTGCAATCTGATTCCAATTCTGAGGGGACTTGGTGCTGCAAAGCAAAAAAGCGAACAATGTCATGGAAAGTCTTGTAAGTTCCCCTTTTTTTTTTAATGATTATGTATGGCTGTTCTTAATTTCGACCTGATTTGAGATATTCCTATAATTATTTTCATTCTTGCTTGCTTCTGATACTTCATATTATGCAACTAATCGAAATAATGTGTGACTGCTTTTCAACAACATTATCTTAAATTTTAATTGATGTCAAAGATTTGATCTTGTATGCTAAATCAAAATTTTCATGAGGCTGAAGTCTAACAGTTCATTTGTAAGGGACGAAATCCTTAGATTAGATCTCATAAACTTTCATGTGAAATTCAAATGCAAAAATGAAAGGAAAATGGGGTATTCAAGTTATCTGGGAGGTGTTCTGTCATTGGCCAGATCCATTTCAACATTATATATGTTTGTATCAGGTTCTTCCCGTTGGTTTCACGTTTGAGCAAGAAGGAAAGTGAGAGATCATTCTTGGACAATGGAAGCATGTTATTAGAGGATCTCATTGCTTCTTGTGATGTTAAATCTAATCCTATTCGTTGTTACTCTGCTGCTGAGCTCATGAGGGCTACCAACAACTTCAATCCTTCTTGCATTATTATGGAAGACGTTTCACCATGCTACCAAATGTTCAGGGGTATTCTAGACGACCGAACAATTATCATTAAGAAGTACATCACACAGGAATACATCAACAAGGATGAAGCTAGGTCTTATGCTATTCCTGATATTATCATATCAATGCAGATGAGCACCCATAAGGATGCTTTGAAATTATTAGGTTGCTGCTTAGAGTTTTCTCTCCCAGCCCTGGTGCATGAAAATGCAGCAAAGTAGAACTTCACCCAAATTACGAAGACCAAAAATCATATACCATCCTAGCACTAGATCAAGAACATATATTAAAGAGGCAGACCTACCATAAAAAGATGATGATGATGATGATGACGTATGGTTTGCGTTGGTGTTGGTAATAAGCTTGATAGGGCATGAGGAGATTGGAAGAACTGGGAGATTTTGACAATTGAAAATTTCAACCATGTAGCCGTCTGGATCACGAAAGAAGAGCTGGTCCACAATAACACCACCTTCTTCCACCTTGGCTGTCACATACTCTATCTTCATCTCTTCCAGCTTCTGCATAACCACCCCAATATCTGAGCACTGGAATGAAATGTGATTGTCCTTTGGGTTGATTTTGCCTTTCTTTTCTGGGATATTTTTGTCTGACTCTAGCAGATGAATACCAATTCCATAGTTGAACAACCTGAGATATGATGATGATTCATTTAGCAATAATCTTAGATAATTAATTATGAAATAGTAATTAGGAAAAGAATAAGCTGAGCAAAAGTTCCACACATGGAAATAAGAAAAAAGAAAAAAGAAGGTTATAATGAGGGGTGAGTGGAAGTGTGTGTGCGTGTTTTTGAAATAGAAGAGAGGTTAATACAAAAGTTTCATAAAACTGAGTATTATTTGTTGTTTCTCAGTTTGTAAGAAATATATGAAAGTTGAGATTTGATCTCTTTGGATTTCATGTAAAGTTAAAGAACAAAATGAAAGCAAAGTTTGGGTGCTAATGCTACGTCTTTTCTTGAGAATTGGGATAGATTATTTATTTTCATTTCATCCATTTCTTATTCATTTCTTTGTGCGTTGTGTGCGCTCTTGTGTGTGTCTATATATACATATATCAGGTTCTCAATCATTCCATGTGTAAAGCGAAAGGAGGAAAAGGAGGAAAGAAAGAGATCATTCTTGAAGAATGGAAGCATGTTACTAAAGGATCTAATTGCTTCTTGTTCTTGTGATGGAAAATCTCATCCTATTCGTTGTTACTCTGCTGCTGAGCTCAATAGAGTTACCAACAACTTTGATCGCTCTTGCTTTATTACAGATGGAACATACTTCGACATTTACAGGGGTATTCTAGATGACCGAACAGTTATCATTAAGAAGCATTATATCGTCGACTGGGCTATTCGTGATATTATCATATCAATGCAGATGAGCGCCCATAAGAATTCCTTGAAATTATTAGGCTGCTGCTTAGAGTTCGATACACCAGCTTTGGTGTTTGAAAATGCAGGAAAAGGAGGTCTCAACGATGATGGGAGTTTAGCAGTGGATAATGAATTATTACCATGGAAAACTAGACTGCGTATTGCAAAGCAGCTTGCTAGTGCACTTACATACCTACATACTGCCTTTCCAAGGCCCATCGTTCATAGGAATCTGAGATCCACCTGCATTTTATTGGACGATGACTATGTTCCCAAACTCTCCGACTTTTCATTCTCCATAACCATTCCACCTGACCAATTGTATGTTCAAGACAATTTCGCAATAGGGACATCGGCGTACATGGACCCTACTCACCGAAACTCCCGTCGAAGTTCAGAAAGAACTGATGTTTATACCTTTGGTGTGCTTTTACTTGTATTCTTGACGCAAAGAGCTGCATCAAGACGACATGGAGCAGAAATTGAACTCCTTATTGCAGATTCGAAACTTAATGTTCCTGCTGGACAGATTCAAATAGAGACAATTGCGGACCCTAAAATCCTTGAGGAAGTCGTGGGAGATGAGCAAGCACAACAGCAACTGCAGGATTTTCTAGCACTGGCATTGTTATGCATCCAAGACGAAAATGAAGCAAGGCCAGATATGATTGATGTGGCCAAAGAGCTTGTAAGAATTGACAAGTCTATCTTGCCTATGTAGCTAGCTTAATTAATTTATGTACTACATTTACTATGCATGTGGATCTAGAAGAGCTTACCAGTCTGTAGTTTGTAAGACGAAAATAGGCTATTCAAGTGTGTTTTTATTTTATGTCGTCCATGTCGTGGATGGGGCTGAAACCCAACCCAATTTTTTTTAAAACTTCCCAGCCTATATGGCCCAGCCCATCCAAATTAAAATAATAGCCCATCTTGTTGGTTGTTAATTTGTTACTATTATTTTCTTTTTTCTGTTAATTTGTAGCAAATATGAAATCTTAGACTAAATCTCTCATATGAATTTTTATTGTGTTTGTGTTTTACATATGCTGATGAGCTCAAGAGGGCAACTATAGAATCTATTGAGTATTGTAAAGCAACTTGCTAATGCAGCTGAATATATCTTCATACTGCGTTTCTCAGGCCCATCAGCCATAGGGATCTAAGACCAACATACATTTTATGTACTCATTTCTAAATTGTTACCAAATTTAAGTACTTTCGAAGCCATAGATGGTGAGAGGCTAATGCATTTTGCTTCTTTTTTTTCTTTTTTTTTCTTTTGTGCCCAACCAATTTCAAGGCAAGTAAGTACAATTGAGGAAGCAAACTCATTGGCGCCAAAACACATGTTTCCCCTAAATGAGGAACAGAAAAGAACGAGCAGACATTTGACCCGAAAATCTGGCATGGTTGGTGTTTGTGATTATGTCACAATGACCCAGGTTCCTTGTATTTTTTAATAGTGCTTTCTTTTTGGTTGCGTTTGATCATAAACAGGGAGGAAAGGGTATTTTGGCATGTAATTAGTAGGTGCTTTCTTGCTATGCGTTTGGTAGAAAGAGTCACAATAGAACTATTGCAGTTAGCTTTGCTTTGTGTATGTCTTTTGTATGCTCAACCAATTTCAACGTAAGTTCATTTAGATTTTAAATTTTGCTCATCATTTGTGGATTATTTATGTTGCATTTTTTGTTTTTTAAAGTCAATTGCTGATTAGGGTTGGGGGAAGGAGGACAAACAGAAGAGACAACGACTGGGAAAAGGGTGATGATATTTTTTAAGAATATGAATGATGAGTGGTTTATTGAGATGCAATGCAACTTGGTATGGTAAGATGGCTTGCAGTTTTCCAACTTGGTTAGTAAGTCGTCCTATAAGTCAACATATGAGGGCGCATGTGATATTAAAAATACATAGACATAATTTTTGTTGACCTTTCTACGCATACGACTGAACTTCAAACCTCTGTTCCTTCTCAAATGGAAGGTTTCAGTAAAAGGAAATGAAACTAAAGAAATACGTTGCTGCTTGCACATGAGATCCGCACTGGACTCTGCGGAGAAATAATCAACAAGTTACTGCTTATTTAGTGCAATCTGATTCCAATTCTGAGGGGACTTGGTGCTGCAAAGCAAAAAAGCGAACAATGTCATGGAAAGTCTTGTAAGTTCCCCTTTTTTTTTATGATTATGTATGGCTGTTCTTAATTTAGACCTGATTTGAGATATTCCTATAATTATTTTCATTTTTGCTTGCTTCTGATACTTCATGTTATGCAACTAATCGAAATAATGTGTCCTTGCTTTTCAACAACATTATCTTAAATTTTAATTGATGTCGAAGATTTGATCTCGTACGCTAAATCAAAATTCTCATGAGGCTGAAGTCTAACAGTTCATTTGTAAGGAAAGAAAACCTTAGATTTGATCTCATGGACTTTCATGTGAAATTCAAATGCAAAAATGAAAGGAAAATGGAGTATTCAAGTTATCTGGAAGGGTTCTGTCATTGGCCAGATCCATTTCAACATTATATATATTTGTATCAGGTTCTTCCCGTTGGTTTCGCATTTGAGCAAGAAGGAAAGCGAGAGATCATTCTTGGACAATGGAAGCATGTTATTAGAGGATCTCATTGCTTCTTGTGATGGCAAATCTAACCCTATTCGTTGTTATTCTGCTGCTGAGCTCATGAGGGCTACCAACAACTTCGATCCTTCTTGCATTATGGAAAACGTTTCACCATACTACCAAATGTTCAGGGGTATTCTAGACGACCGAACAATTATCATTAAGAAGTACATCACACAGGAATACATCAACAAGGATGAAGCTAGGTCTTGTGCTATTCGTGATATTATCATATCAATGCAGATGAGCACCCATAAGAATGCTTTGAAATTATTAGGTTGCTGCTTAGAGTTTTCTATCCCAGCTCTGGTGCATGAAAATGCAGCAAAAGGAGTTCTCAACAATCATGGAAGTTTAGGGACTAACGAAAATCAATCCATGTTACCATGGAAAACTAGATTGCATATTGCAAAGCAGCTTGCTAATGCACTTACATATCTCCATACGGCCTTTCCCAGACCCATCATTCATAGGGATCTGAGATCCACTTGCATTTTGTTGGATGATGACTATGTTCCCAAACTCTCCAACTTTTCATTATCCATAACCATTCCTCCTAAGCAATCCCATGTTGAAGATAGCGTGAAAGGGACATATGGGTACGCCGACCCAAACTATATGGCGACTGGTTACATTACGGCTAAAAGTGATGTTTATAGCTTTGGTGTTCTTCTACTTGTATTCTTGACGCGAAGAGCAGCTTTAAAAAATCAGGCTGGAAAATTTGAACCTATTACTGCAGATCTGAAACTTCGTCTTTCTGATGTCCGGATTCAAATTGAGACAATTGTGGACCCTAAAATCCTTGAGAATGTAGGGGGAGATGACCAAGCACAAGAGCAATTGCAGGATTTCCTAGAACTTGCATTGTCCTGCATCCAAACCCAATGTGAAGCAAGGCCCGATATGATTGATGTGGCCAAAGAACTCGTACGAATTGAGAACTCCATCTTGCCTTGCTAGCTACCTTAATTAAGTGACCTGTGCGACAATGTACCAGTTTGTAGTCTGGGAAGCTCGGTCTTTAACCTGTTGAAGGGTTGATTCTGAGCTCTCTGTATTAGAAGAATGTCAATAATTATCATTTTATAGTTAAATTATCTGATATGTGACGATTACAACACTTGAAGTTTATGTGGCTTTCAAACAGCAAGGACCACCCTCTGATTAGATCTGTTGGAGTTTGATGTGAAGTTCAAAATGAATTTAATACAACTAAAACGAAAATAAGCTATTCAAGATATATGGAGGGTGTTCATACATGCTCCTTCAACATTAATGGGATGTATTATTTTCCTTCTTTGTTCCTGTGTTTGACCTTTATGTATATAAATCATGTATCAAGCTGTCATGGTTCCATGTTTGAGAGAGCATGCGGTTGCTTCCTGTGATGGCAAATTCAATCCTATTCGTACTTTTTCTAGTGTAGAGCTCATAAATACAACCAACGACTTGGATCCTTCTTGCATCATACATGATTGTGGAAGCTACCAAATGTTCAGGGGTTTCTTAGAGGATCGATCAATTGTCGTTAAGAAATTCAGGGGAACGAGACTTTGGCAGTATGAAATTCGTGACATTGTCAGTTCAATGCAAATGAGCAAGCGAAAGAATGTTTTGAAACTCTTGGTTTGTTGCTTAGAGTTCCCTATACCTAAGCAATATGATGGTGGAAGCTATACTTAGTTTTTCCTAATTTTTTGAAAGAAATAGTATAGTTGTGCTGCTAAACTTTGTTTTTCCTAATTTTTGAAAAGAAATAATGTATAATATACTTATTTTTTATAAACTTTTTAATAATATATACAAAATTCAGGTATTATACACATAATTCTCACATATTATTGAATACAAATAATATAGATTAAACAATTTAAATAAATTATATAAAAATATTGTAGGGGCTTTTTCTCTCCTGGCAGCAAGTGGGCTGGGCTGCTGTAAAGAGCAATCTGATGCAAGTGTCCCCTTGTGTCTGAGTTCGAAGATCAAGCCCCAAGGATGTCTCGAAAGGGTGATGACGCCTTAGGAAACTCCTTGGTTACCTTCACCAATGAAAATGACAACAAATTACAAATAAATATTCTAGCTTGGCATGAGTGACTTATGGCATGGGAGCAAAATTATCATGAGTTTAGCACTTTAGGAGAGAGAGATCTGTGGGTTCCTATGAGGTACAGAGGTTCTAATGGAGAGGGAGAGAGGCTCTAAGGAGCTTTGATGAAGAGGGAGAAGGATGGTGAAGAGTTTTGGGTGACTTTCGCAGTTTCCGGCAGCTTGACAGTGACTCTGTCAAAGCTTCTGTCAATCTGCCAAAACAGGGGAAATAAAGGAAAATGAGGAAGGATAGCACGAAAATTCCTGGGTTTGCATGTGAGAGAGAAAGCTTGCTCTCTGAAGGTTGTGGGTTGTCTTGTGTTGGGTAGAAGGGGTCCTATTTATAGCTGCTGGGAATGGGTCTTCTCCAAGAAACCCTAATGGTTTCTTTCCAATCTAGCTAAGCTTTCCTCTTCCTTTCTTCTCCTCTTGCTTGACTTACCTCATGGAGGCAAAAATCAGTTCTGCCCAATCCTACAAAATCAGGGATTTTTGGGAGCTCGAGGCTTCAACAGCTTTAGAGGAGAGCTTCCATTTTCACCCATCTTCTTTCTCTTATTTCCTCCTCTTTTCACGGCCAAATATGATGAAGGAAAGAAAAATGGGTGCGCCTGTTGGTTTAAGGGATAGCATCTTCCCCTGCGTGCTAATACCCCTTGGTTTCTTGAATGCTTGCACTTGGAACTTGTTCCCCCAGCAGCCCCTCACATGTGAATCTTTGGCTTTCTTCGTGGACTTCTGCTTCAGCCAAGTGCTGAAGGCCTTGGACTCCTTTTATTCAAATGGTATGAGCCCTTTAATATAGAAGGCCAAGTCATCTAATAAGTGGGTTAAATTCACCAAGTATTTGGGCTTTATGGGCTATCTAAAGTAATGGGTTATTTTGGTTGGGCTACTCTAGTTGAAGCAATTGGGCTATTTCCTCTCTTGTGCTTACCCACATGTTTGGGCCTAAGAAATGGGCTTGGGTTCCGAGGCTCCCAAGTAACCCGGAACCTCCACTTCTTGGTCCATCAATGGGCCTCATGACAATTTATTACCATCCATACCACAACCCACTCAAGCAAGCCCCGGGTATTTGAGTGGCTTGGGGCCCACTTAAGCTTATGGCGTGATTAGGTACGGAATGATAATTCCTTGCTTAGCGTGGCGTGTCGTTTGGCGTGGCATGTGTGCAAGCGCATATGATGAACTTTCGCATGCCCAAATCGGGTTTCTTCTTGGTAAAGCATCGCATTGGGCCGAGAATTTATTTGGGCCGAACTGTGAATATTTTGGGCCTCAACAAATATTTTATAGGAGGGTCTTTTTTTCTTAATATTTTAAAGAAAGAAAGAGTATAGCGGCTATACAAGGATTTTTTACTATCGTTTTAAAAAAGATATAGTATAGCCGGTCGGCTATACTCTTTTTTCCCTAATTTCTTAAATACAAATTTATAAATAAACCCAATCTTAGACATGTATTTATAAAAAAAACCCAAGTACTATTTAAACATAGAAACACACCCAAAGTCAACTTTTTGGGTGTGTTTATAAATGGATTTTGAGTGTGTGTAATGATGGGTTTTGGGTGTGTTTATAAAGTGTTTTGGGTGTTGGGTTTTTTTATAATTTCAACCTCCATTTTGTGTGTTTTAGTGAAACTCCCTTTTTAAAAGAAATAGTATAGCTGCTCCTCTATACTCGATTTTTCCTTTTTTTTAAAAAAAAACAAAAGAAATAGTATAGCCGTAGGGCTATAATTAGTTTTTTTACATTTTTATTTATAAAGAAATAGTACCGCCGCGCAGCTATATGCGATTTTTCCTATTTTTATAAAAAAAGAAATAGCCCGGTTTTTCCTAGTTTTTTAATAGAAATATTATAGCCGCACGGCTAGACTCGATTTTTCCTTATTTTATCCGGGTGGCTATACTTCGGTTTTCACTAATTTTTAAAAAGAAATAGTATAGCCACACTGCTATACTCAGTTTTAATAAAGAAATAGTATAGCCGTTCGGTAATACTCAGTTTTTCCTAATTTTTTGAAATAAATAGTATAGCCGGTTGGCTATACGCATATTTTTTTTAAAAAAAAAATAGTATAATTTTCATAATTTTTGAAACGGGGTAGTATCGCTGAGGGGCTATACCTTTCCCTAATTTTTTTTTAAAATAAATAGTATGGCACATATTTTTTATGTATAATACATTTATTTTTTTATGAACTTTTTAATAATACACACAAAATTCATGTATTATACACATACTTCTCACAAATTATTGAATACAAATAATATGAATTAAAAAATTTAAATAAATTATATAGAAACATTATATAGTGTCCGAACTTTTAAGCTGTAATTTGCCAAAATTTTAACGAATAAAACACGTATGTATTTTATTGGTATAGCCGCGCGGCTATACCAAATTTATATCTATAAAGTATAAACTAATGCAACTAGAAGGGTCTTTTTTTCTTAATTTTCTTAAGAAAGAAATAGTATAGCCATGCGACTGTACGATGATTTTTTACTAATGTATATTTTCAAATCTAATAAATCCTATGATATAAATTTCATCATTCTATACATGTTTGTGGTGGTTACACAATGTTCAGGGGTTTCCTAGATGGCCGATCAATCATCATTAAGAAGTTCATGGGGACTGGGGATGAAGCTAGGTCCATGGCCATTATCATATCGATGCAGATGAGCAACCACATAAGAATGTTTTGAAACTCTTGGGCTGCTGCTTAGAGATCCCTATACCAGCTTTGGTGCATGAATATGCAATAGAAGGAGTTCTCAACGATCAAGGAGGTTTAAGGACTACTGAAAACCAATCCTCATTACCATGGAAAACTAGACTGCGCATTGCAATTCAACTTGCTAGTGCAATCAGATATTTACATACCGCCTTTCCCAGACCCATAATTCATAGGGATCTAAAACCCAGTTCTATTTTCTTGGACCATGACTATGCTCCGAAACTCTCTAACTTCGAACTCTCCATAACCATTCCTCCTATGAAATCACATGCTGATGATGAGGTGAAAGGGACATTTGGTTTCCTTGATCCTTCCTACATGAAGTCTAGTTACATTTCAGAAAAAAGTGATGTTTATAGTTTTGGTGTGCATTTACTTGTATTTTTAAAGGGACAAAAGGCTGTGGATGCATATGAGGCAGGAGAATACCAATCAAGTATTGCATATGTGAAAGCTTCAGATATTGAGCAGATTCAAACAATTGCGGACCCTAAAATCTTAGGGGAGGTAGGGGGAGATGAGCAAGCCCGACGGCACTTGCATGATTTCCTAGCACTGGCATTGTTATGCACCCAAGAAGAAAGTGAAGTAAGGCCAGATATGATGGATGTGGCGAAAGAACTCCTGAGAATTGAGACGTCTATCATTTCCAAGTATTCTCTCTAATTAACTATGCAAAGTCAAGTCGACATGGGACAACTTATGTGCCATGCACCTTCCCGATTTGATTAAACTAATAAATAAATGAAAGGTGGTTTTTTGGTTCACATTACATGTTATTCCTGCCATCTTCGTAAGGAACTTCGAAAGTGTACTCAAAGAAACTGAGACTAACGAGGTAAACTGGTGCTTGAACACGAAATCTACAGTAGACAGGGAGGAGATATCAGCAAATTTGAAATTGTTCTTTATCATTTGTAACATCCATTGGAAGGAGTGGGGGCAGATATGGTTGATGTGAAGGCAGTTGGGGAAATGAGGAAGGCAGTGGAGAGGGGTTTGCTCTGTTTATTTAGTCGAAGCTGTTGTTTGTGTGGGGCTGTGTTATGCATATTTTTTGTGCTCTAGCAATTTCAAGGCAAGTTCTTCTTGTTTCTTTCTTTGTAAGTCATTGACTAATTGTGTTTTTCTTTGTGTCTGATAATGAAAAGGGAAAATAGTAATTTCATGTAAATTGCTTTGGTCGGCCCCACTGGACATTGATCATTCGATGGCAATGGCATCGTTGACTTAACCATAGCAAAAAAAAAAATTTCATTCACTGATGTCAGGCTGACGTCATCTCCCATGAGCAGGAGCTTAGACTGATTTTGCCTTGGACCCTGCTTGGGCTTGGTGAACCTCATATGTTGCCAGAACAGGAATCGACCATTGGAACCAATTTTGGAAGCTTAGGGGCCCTTTTGCCTGGCTGAGCTCGCGGGTGGAAGTGCTTTTAATAATGGGCCTTTTGGAATCGACCATTGGAGTCAAAAGGTGATTGTTTGGGAGATACAACTTGGAAATTCCAACTCCACCGAACGCGTTATAAATCTAAAAACAATCAAGTGGGGTCAAGTCAAGTCAAGTCAACTGGTCTACCCTTCAGTTGGCAGATATCTTTCTAAAATAAATTTAAAACGATGGGTTTTTAGGTCCCACTGCATGTTATTCCTACCAATCATGATAAGGCATTGGCCCCGCTAAGCTCATCAATAAACTTGGAAACTGTTACAGAATTCTCAGAGAAGCTGAAACTCACGAGCTAAACTGGTGCTTGAGCACGAAATCTGCAGCATACAGGGAAGGAGATATCAACAAATTACTGTTTACTTTGGGGCAATCCGAGTCCAGTTCTAAGGAGCCTGTGTGCTAAACACAGAAATTTCAAGTGTAAACAATGGCATCCAAAGCCTCGTAAGTTTTTTTTTTTCAAGTCTAAAACATATATAGCTTTCCTTTCCTTCAAGGTTTTTTTGGTAAGTCAAAATTTTCGTGCGGCTGAACTGAAGCCCAAAATTCTGTTGAAAATCAAAGTAATCCATGAATATGACGAAAGCGGCAGGACAAGTATTTTTGTTTCTTCCATCCATAAAACTGAGTATTATTAAGAAATATATGAAAGCTGAGATTTGAACTGTTTGGATTTCATGTAAAGTTCTAAAGAACAAAATGAAAGCAAAGTGTGAGTGCTAATGCTATGTCTTTTCTTGAGAATTGGGATAGATTATTTATTTTCATTTCATCCATTTCTTATTCATTTATGTGTGCGTTGTGTGCGCTCTTGTGTGCGTCTACATATATATCAGGTTCTCAATCATTCCATGTGTAAAGCGAAAGGAGGAAAAGGAGAAAAGAAAGAGATCATTCTTGAAGAATGGAAGCATCTTACTAGAGGATCTAATTGCTTCTTGTGATGGAAAATCTCATCCTATTCGTTGTTACTCTGCTGCTGAGATCATCGGAGCTGCCAACAACTATCCTTCTTGCATTATAGATAGATCACCCTTCGCAGAGTTGTACAGGGGTATTCTAGATGACCGAACAGTTATCATTAAGAAGTACAGAGATTGGGTCGACACTGACAGGGCTATTCGTGATATTATCATATCAATGCAGATGAACTCCCATAAGAATTCCTTGAAATTATTAGGCTGCTGCTTAGAGTTCGAGATGCCAGCTTTGGTGTTTGAAAATGCAGGAAAAGGAGGTCTCAACTTTGATGGAAGTTTAGTAGCGGATAATGAATTATTACCATGGAAAACTAGACTGCGTATTGCAAAGCAGCTTGCTAGTGCACTTACATACCTACATACTGCCTTTCCAAGGCCCATCATTCATAGGCGTATAACATCCCACTGCATTTTATTGGACGATGACTATGTTCCCAAACTCTTCGACTTTTCATTGTCCCTAACCATTCCTCCTGACCAATTGTATGTTCAAGAAGATTTCGCAACAGGGAGAATGGGGTACCTTGACCCTACTTACGTAAAGACTTGTCAAATTTCCGAAAAAACTGATGTTTATTGCTTTGGTGTGATTTTACTTATATTCTTGATGCGACGACAAGCTGCACATTGGAATGATGCAGGAAATGTGTGGGAATACCTTACTAGAGATCCAAAACTTAATGTTTCTGATGGACAGATTCAAATAGAGACAATTGCGGACCCTAAAATCCTTGAGGAAGTCGGGGGAGATGAGCAAGCACAACAGCAACTGCAGGATTTCCTAGCACTGGCATTGTTGTGCATCCAAGAGGAAACGGAAGCAAGGCCAGATATGATTGATGTGGCCAAAGAGCTTGTACGAATTGACAAGTCTATCTTGCCTTAGTTCAGTCTTTCACCTGTTAAAAGAGTCGATGCTAAGCTCTCTGTATTAGAACAATAATTATCCTTATGTAATCAAATTATCTGATTATAAATACTTAATTATGTGGATTTGAACCAGCAAGCAAGGACCACCCTCTGATTAGATCCGTTTGAGTTTCATGTCAAGTTCAAAATGAATTTAATACTACCAGTAAAACGAACTATTCAAATGTTTCATGCTATTTGGACTAATTGGAATTAGATTCCGTTGAATTTGGAACTATGAAAGGTTTAATTTTGTTTAGGAAATTGGGATTTGTTGCGTTACATTACACGTTTGTATTTTTATTTTAATAAGTATCCACATGTTGTTTTGTAAGGAAAAAACATTTCTTGAAAGCATCATGTGTAACCGGGAAAAAAAAATGGACAAAGAAAAAAGAAGATGACTCACACTAAAATCAGGGAAAATGAAGTCATCATTTCAAGCAATTCTCTCATCTCACATCTACTTTGTTTTTATCTTATTTCTGACTATCTTCCTAATGCGTGTGGTCCTTTCTTGATATCCCAAATCGGCATGGGAATAGAGGGGAAGGCAACCTATTTTCTTTCTGTCGAAGGAATTGGAGGAAGGTTCCGTGCATCTTCTTCCCAGCAAATACATAAAACGGACAATTTCAGTTACACTACATGAGGTTTGGTGTAATTGCAATCAGACCTTACAGGTTTCTTTTATTTCATTTATACTCCTTATGTTACTTTATTTTATTAAAAATCTAAGTTTGACGGATGAAAAATAGAGATATATAATAAAAGTATTAGATTAATCTTTGAGATGTAAAATTAAAGAAAATATATAAAAATTTAATTAAAGTTTTGAAGAACAAGATTACATCACTTGCTTACATCGTCCTCTCATTTTCTCAGCAACTTTCCCACATTGTCATATCACGCCATCTTTGTCTTTGTCCAATTATTTTGGATTAATGTTTATTTAATCTTCGAAAATAAAATTTAAATTTCAAACTTCTTGCTTGTTGAAGCCAGCAACCACCCCCAGAGCAGATTAGCATTCAATAGGGCTCGGCTAGAAGCTGTCCGGATTAGCATTTAAGAAGGATGTGATGGGTTGGTTATCCTTTAAAACAAGGGTCCACGCGGAATAGGCTACCTTTTGAAACATCTACAAGGATCATTTGCGACCAAAATTAGAAAATTTTGACCTTGTGATTTTTTGGGTTACTTGGTGTCGATTTCTGACAGTTTACAAAAGCAAGCATCCTATGCTCAATCAACCTCAGAGACTTTGACACAAGCTTTCAATCGAAATTTTCATGACTTTGATATCTTTAATTTGGGTGTATCGGTACACCAGGTGCCATGCAATCGAAATTGTATCTGTTATTACAAGATTATGGATCAAATTTAAAATGTTAGAGAACTCTCATGTGGCAAACATTTTAATATGATTCCTTAAGGTTGTAAACCATTGTTTTTACAAGCTTAGGGATAACCCTTACAATTGTATGGAACTCTAAGGTTCCAAAAAGTGCAACATGAGTCCTTAATGTTGTAAATCTCTGTTATTACAAGATTATGGATAAAATTTAAAATGTTAGAGAACTCATGTGCCAAACATTTTAATATGAATCCTTAAGGTTGTAAACCATTGTTTTTACAAGCTTAGGGATAACCTTTACAATCTTATGGAACTCTAAGGTCCCAAAAACTGTAACATGAGTCATAATATTGTAAATTCTAGTTTTTAAAAGAATAACAAACAATTTTACTTGTTTAAGGTCAAACCAAACCTTAATATTGTCATCGACATCATTTTCATTGTAAATTAGACTATTACAATATTATGGATTAAAGTGAACTTTAACATTGTAATCACAGTGCAAGAACTTGTAAATGCGAATCTGAATCTTGTAATCTACAAGATTAACGATAGACGTTTCAATTGTATGGAATGTTTATGTTTCAAATGTTGTAATATGAGTCCTTAATATTGTATACCCTTGTTATTACAAGATTATGGATAAAATTTACAATGTTAGGGAATGCTCAAAGATAGTTTGGCAATTGCCAATCAGTCAGTCATCATTTGCAAAGTGGAATGGCAATTGCAAAGTGGACCTTGGAGAAGGACAATTGGTCCTTATGCTTGTAATTGTAAATACAAGGGTTACAACATTAAGGATAACGTTTACACTATTATGGACATAGACCTCCATAATCTTGTAAACCATATCCTTAACTTTGTAAATGGCAGAATTATAATTTAGTTTTTCTTGGATTTATATTAATATTTTATATCTATAAATGGGTAATTTTAGTTTTACATGCACCAATGATACACTTAAAACTAATTCTTTTGATAAAATATTAAAGATTGATATAAAAAGTAGATAAATGCAATAAAAGAACGAGACTACTAATGAAATTTTGATTTTTTGTACGTCACAAAATAAATCAGATAATAATCAGATTTGATATGAATCCGATGCGTAACGGATATGGATTGATAGGTGCAATCCGATAGTCCAAATATGATTCGATTCCGATAATTCAATTATAAATGAATTCGTATTTAGATCGAGGTATATTTGATCCGAATCCAACCCGTTTATAGGTCTACAATAAATGTTTCTTTTATCCCAAAAAAAAAACACAGCGTTTCTTTAAAAATAAAAAAATAAAAAAATTACAAGTTTGTTCATTATAAAAGTATTGTTTTAAAATCAGTATTTTAGTTTTAAAAAAAAAGAGGAAAACCACAACATCATGGGACTATGAACAGTTGCAGTGGCGTTCTACTTGTTTCTCTTAAGTTCTTTTAGTTTTTTTAAATTTCTGTGTAACCAACATAATTATTTTATACCCAACAAATTTGTAGTTATTATTATTTTTGGTTACGAGTTAATAAAAAAAAAATTGGTTTATTGGATTTATATAAAGTTTTAAAATTTGATTGGGTTAGTTGGGTTAAGATTACTTTATCTAAAATTAAATAAGACATTTCGACAAAAAAAATTTTTGAATAAGACAAAGTTTCTTTCCTTAAAAAAAGGACAAAGATTAAATATTAAAAAAAACTTGGAACTCCAACAAAGAAAAGAAGAAAAGCTCGAACCGAGCAACTTGAACAACAGGTTTCATTTTTAAAAAAAATCTGGGTGTATCGGTACACCAGGTGCCATGCAAGTGGAGTCAAGTCAAGTCAAGAGGTCTACCCTTCAATTGGGCGCAGCTGCCATGCATCTTCCCAATTTGATTATACAAATTACCGTTGCTTGACCACGAAATCTGCGGCATACAGGGAGGAGATATCAACAAATTACTGTTTACTTTGGGGCAATCCGAGTCCAGTTCTAAGGGGCCTGTGTGCTAAACAGAGAAATTTCAAGTGTAAACAATGGCATCCAAAGCCTGTGTTTTTTTTTTTTTTTTTTTTTTTTTTTTTTTTTTTTTTTCCCGGGTTTAAATCTAAAAAAATATAGCTTTCCTTTCCTTCAAGGTTTTTTTTAGTAAGTCCAAATTTTCGTGCGGCTGAAGCCCAAATTTTTGTTGTAAATCAAAGTAATCTATGAATATGATGAAAGCGGCAGGACAAGTATTTGTTTTTCTTCCATCCATAAAACAGAGTATTATTATTGTTTCTCAGTTTGTAAGAAAGCTGAGATTTGATCTGTTTGGATTTCATGTAAAGTTTTAAAGAACGAAATGAAAGCAAAGTGTGGGTGCTAATGCTATGTCTTTTCTTGAGAATTATTTATTTTCATTTCATCGATTTCTTATTCATTCCTCTGTGCGTTGTGTGGGCTCTTGTGTGTGTCTATATATCAGGTTCTCAATCATTCCACGTGTAAAGCGAAAGGAGGAAAAGGAGGAAAAGGAGGAAAGAAAGAGATCATTCTTGAAGAATGGAAGCATGTTACTAGAGGATCTAATTGCTTCTTGTGATGGAAAATCTCATCCTATTCGTTGTTACTCTGCTACTGAGATCATCAGAGCTACTAACAACTTTGATCGTTCTTGCATTATAGATGAATTAGTACAGTTCAACATGTACAGGGCTATTCTAGACCACCGAACAGTTATCATTAAGAAGTACAGACATAGGGTCGACAAGGCTATTCGTGATATTATCATATCAATGCAGATGAGCACCCGTAAGAATTCCTTGAAATTATTAGGCTGCTGCTTAGAGTTCGAGATGCCAGCTTTGGTGTTTGAAAATGCAGGAAAAGGAGGTCTCAACTTTGATGGAAGTTTAGTAGCGGATAATGAATTATTACCATGGAAAACTAGACTGCGTATTGCAAAGCAGCTTGCTAGTGCACTTACATTCCTCCATACCGCCTTTCCAAGGCCCATCATTCATAGGTGTGTATCATCCTGCTGCGTATTATTGGACGATGACTATGTTCCCAAACTCTTCGACTTTTCATTGTCCATAACCATTCCTCCTGACCAATTGTATGTTGAAGATTTCCCAAGAGGGACAGTGGGGTACATGGACCCTACTTACCAAACACAATATATATGTTCAGAGAAAACTGATGTTTATAGCTTTGGTGTGGTTTTACTTGTATTCTTAATGCGACGAAAAGCAAGAATTGTGCGGGAATACCTTACTAGAGATCCGAAACTTAATGTTTCTGATGGACAGATTCAAATAGAGACAATTGCGGACCCTAAAATCCTTGGGGAAGTCGGGGGAGATGAGCAAGCACAACAGCAACTGCAGGATTTCCTAGCACTGGCATTGTTATGCATCCAAGAGAAAACTGAAGCAAGGCCAGATATGATTGATGTTGCCAAAGAACTTGTACGAATTGACAAGTCTATCTTGCCTTAGCTAGCTAGCTAGCTTAATTAATTTATGTACTACATTTACTATGCATGTGGATCTAGAAGAGCTTACCAGTTTGTAGTTTGTAAGACGAAAATAGGCTATTCAAGTGTGTTTTTATTTTATGTCGTCCATGTCGTAGATGGGGCTGAAACCCAACCCAATTTTTTTTTTTAAACTTCCTTTCTCTCCAACCAAGAGCCAACGCGTGTGTCCCTTCGTCTGCTCATCTTCACGTGCCCACCGCTCTTTTTTTTTCTTTTCTTTTTTCTTTTTCTTGTGATTTAATTATACGATTATTTCAAAATTTTATGTGATATCTTTGGATTTCATGTGAATTTCTAAAGAACAAAATGAAAGCAACTGTGGTTGTAATTATTCATTCTTGTGCATTTGTGTTTTACCTATATATGTATGTATTAGGTTCTCATTGTTTCCACGTTCAAGCAAGAACAACAAGGAAAGAGAGAGATCATTCTTGGATAACGGAAGCATCTTACTAGAGGATACCTATTCGCTCTTACTCAGCTGCTGAGCTCGTCAGGGCTACCAACAACTTCGATCTTTCTCGCATCATACAAGATGATGGAGACTGCCAAATTTTCAATGGTGTTCTAGACAACCGAACAATTATCATTAGGAAGTACATTATCCGTAAGAATGACAAGGACAATGATGATGTTAGGTCTCGTGCTATTCGTGATATTCGTGATATCAATGCAGATGAGCTCCCATAAGAATGCTTTGAAATTATTAGGTTGCTGCTTAGAGTTCCCTCTACCAGCTCTGGTGCATGAAAATGCAGCAAAAGGAGTTCTCAGGGATGATGGAAGTTTAAGCGTGGCTAATGGAGGTCAATCCTTGTTACCATGGAAAACTAGATTGCATATTGCGAAGCAGCTTGCTAATGCACTTACATATCTCCATACCACCTTTTCTAGACCCATCTTTCATAGGAATCTGAGATCCACCTGCATTTTGTTGGATGATGACTATGTTCCCAAACTCTCCAACTTTTCATTCTCCATAAGGGATCAATCCCATGTCAAAGGCGATAACAAAATAAGGGCATCTGGGTACACTGACCCCGACTACCTTGTACTCCTGACGCGAAGAGATGCATATAGCAATCAAGCAGGAGGACTGGACATTACTGCAAATCCGAAATTTCATGTTTCTGATGGCCAGACTCAAATTCAGACAATTGTGGATCCTAAAATATTACAGGAGGTAGGGGCAGATGGGCATGCACAACAGCAACTGCAGGATTTTTTAGCACTTGCACTGTCATGCATCCAAAACCAAACTGAAGAAAGGCCAAAAATGATTGATGTGGCCAAAGAACTTGTTCGAATTGAGAAGTCCATCTTCCCTTAGCTAGCTAGCTTAAATAATTTATCCATTACATTTGTTATGCCGTATCAAATTGTAGTTTGGAAACTCAGTCCTTCAAATGGTGAAGGGTTGATGCTATTCTATCTGTATTAGAAGAATATATACAATAATTACACTTATATAATTGAGTTATATTGTGAAAAATTATGAAAGTTTTCAAGCAAAGCACCACGCTCTGACTTGATCTGTTTGAATTTCACTTGTGAAGTTCAAAATGTTTTTACTACACAATTCAACTTATCTGTAGGGTGTAGGAACATTAATGGCTCCATGTGTGATCAATTTATTTCATTCTTTGTGCTTGTGTTTGATGACCTATACGTATAAATACGTATCAGGCTCTCATTGATTCCATGATTCACAGAGGAGGAAAGAGCGAGATCATTCATGCTATCCGAGGATCCCATCAGGCCATGCATCTTCTTATAGTATCAGCAAATTACTATTTTCCTTGGCATTGTGCATCTTCTCAATTTGGTCTTGTCCTCAAAGTGCATATATAATTAAACCAATTTTACAGTTTTCTCTCAATTATAAACCCTGACCTCGTGATTTTTCAGTTACTTGGTGTCGATTTCTGATAGTGTACGAAAGCAAGCACGTGTATATCATTGCTGCTCGACAATATTATATAAAGTGTTAATCAACCTCAGAGACTTCGACAGAGGCTCTCAATCGAAATTTTCATGTGGCTGAATCCCGAAAGTTGTTTGTAAGGAAAAAAACATTTCTTGAAAGCATCATGTGTAACTGGAAAAAAAAAATGGACAAAGAAAAAAGAAGATGACTCACACTAAAATTAGGGAAAATGAAGTCATCATTTCAAGCAATTCTCTCATCTCACATCTACTTTGTTTTAATCTTATTTCTGACTGTCTTCCTAATGCGTGTGGTCCTTTCTTGATATCCCAAATCGGCCTGGGAATAGAGGGGAAGGCAACCTATTTTCTTTCTATTCAAGGAATTGGAGGAAGCTTCCGTGCATCTTCTTCCCAACAAATACATAAAACGGACAATTTCAGTTACACTATACGAGGTTTGGTGTAATTGCAATCAGACCTTACAGGTTTCTTTTATTTCATTTAAACTCCTTATGTTACTTTCTTTTATTAAAAATCTAAGTTTGACGGATGAAAAATAGAGATATATAAAAGTATTATATTAATCTTTGAGATGTCAAATTAAAGAAAATATATACAAATTTAATTAAAGTTTTGAAAAACAAGATCAAGAAAATTCAATTGTGTGCCTTCCATCCACTACTTACCGAAGAATTGTTAAAATTTGGACGATTTTGTGCTAGAAAATTTGGTATCTCCAATATCATTATTGAAGGATCTTCTCGTGTTTTAGTTCGTCTGCTACAACATCAACACATACCACTTAGCGAATTTTCTCCATAGTTTACAATATTACAAGTTTCTCTCATCAAGTACAAGTTATACAATCACCATATCTTTCGTAAAATGTCACACTCTCAACTTTTTAAGAGTCCAATTTACTAGGTACACACAAATATCCTAGAACCAACCGCCTAGCACCTACTTCCCCATTGATATCTTTAATTTTTTCTCTTTTAAATGTGAAAAAATGTTTACGACAATTTTTGTATCTGAAAAAGATAAATCATTTTTATTTATTTTATTTTGTTTTGTAAGATGCAAACGACAGCATTTGGCCTTTGACTTTTGTCACAGATTTTAAAGTTAGGTGGGGTATGTGGAATTAATGAAATCTGTCCGTAATTACACTAAACCTCAAGGACTGTGACAATACAAAGTTTTGGGTTCCTTTTAGGGATGGCAACGGGTTGGATAGGGGCCAGGTATGACAATAACATCCCCATTCCCTCTCTCCATCCCCGCCCCTGTCCCCGAACCATCCCCGTTTAATAGGTTTCGGGGAATCCCTATCTCCGTTCCCGTCGAGGGACTATTCCTCATATCCGCCTCGAATCCCCAATTTTTTTTGTATAAAAAATATTTATAATATATTTTAACATTAAATTTCATATTAAATTATCATTCAATGCATCCAAATTAACAATAAAGTTCAACTCAACTATTCAAAATCATATTAATATGAAATTCCAAAGAAGATTAGGAAAAATTAGGAGAGGGATGTTAACTTACGATTAAACAAAATATTATAATTATATATTTATTTATTTAAATATAAACATATACACATATATGTTTTGGTCGGGTTCGGGGATGGGGATGCCAATACCATCCCCTCCCCATACCCGTAGGGGATTTTTCAAGTTCGGGGATCTCCATACCCGATACCCGTTTGGCCCCGAAATCTCCCCTCATTAGGATTGGGAACCCATCCCCGCGGGGATTTTTGTCATCCCTAGTTCCTTTCCTAGTATTCATAACCGGGCATTGAGCTTGCAATTTCTCAGAGAGAATGAGAGTAAAGAGCTAAACTGCTGCTTGAACACGAAATCTACAGTAGAGTGGGAGGAGATATTAACATATTACTGTTTTCTTGGTGTTAAACAGAGAGATTTGAAGTCGAAAAAATGATATTCATATTCTTGTAAGTTTTTTGCTTTTTATTTTTATTTTTTCAGTTACCTTGAGGATTTATTTATTTATTTTTTTTTTTTCTGTTGGCGTGGTAGATGTTTGTGATTTTGTCACAATGACCCAAGTTGCTTGTATTTTTAAAATGGTATTTGATCATGAAAGGGGAGAAAATGGTATTTTGGCATGTACTGAGTAGGTGCTTTCTTTGCCATGTGTAAAGTAGAAAGAGCCACATAGAACTATTTCAGTTAGCTTTGTTACTAGTGAACCGCAGCTTCCAGGAAGTTCATGTAGATTTTTCTCTCTATCTGAGGTTTTCTTGATATTGCAATTTTTCTTTCAAGTCAAAAGGTGATTGTTTGGGGGAAGGAAGGAACACGGAAAAGACAATGACAAGGAAAAGGGTGATGATGATATATACTGTTTAAGAGTACGAACGAATAAATAGGTCCCCGTGATCTCCAAGCAAACGACTCGAATGGAGTCAAGTCAACTCGACAGGTCTATCCTTCAGTTGGGCGCAGCTGCCATGCATCTTCCCAATTTGATTAAACAAATCACTGGTGCCTGAGCACGAAATCTGCAGCATACAGGGAGATATCAACAACTTACTGTATACTTTGGGGCAATCTGAGTCCAGTTCTAAGGTGCCTCGGTGCTAAAGGGAGAAATTTCAAGTGTAAACAATGGCAAATCCTTGTTTGTATTGTCCTGTAAGTTTTTAGTTTTCCCTTTTTTTTTTTTTTTCCTTTAACAAAAATATATAAGCTTTCCTTTCCTTCAAGGTCTTTTGTAAATCAAAGTAATCCATGAATATTATTGTTTCTCAGTTTGTAAGAAATATATGAAAGCAAAGTGTGGGTGCTAAATGTCTTTTCTTGAGAATTGGGATAGATTACTTATTTTCATTTCATCGATTTCTTATTCATTTATGTGTGCGTTGTGTGCGCTCTTGTGTGCGTCTACATATCAGGTTCTCAATCAGTCCACGTGTAAAGCGAAAGGAGGAAAAGGAGGAAAAGGAGGAAAGAAGAAAGAGATCATTCTTGAAGAATGGAAGCATGTTACTAGAGGATCTAATTGCTTCTTGTGATGGAAAATCTCATCCTATTCGTTGTTACTCTGCTGCTGAGATCATCAGAGCTGCCAACAACTTTGATCCTTCTTGCGTGATAGATGATGGATACCACAGAGACATGTACAGGGGTATTCTAGATGACCGAACAGTTATCATTATGTGGCATTATAGGATCGACGAGGCTATTCGTGATATTATCATATCAATGCAGATGAGCACCCATAAGAATTCCTTGAAATTATTAGGCTGCTGCTTAGAGTTCGAAAGACCACCTTTGGTGTTTGAAAATGCAGGAAAAGGAGGTCTCAACTTTGATGGAAGTTTAGTAGCGGATAATGAATTATTACCATGGAAAACTAGACTGCGTATTGCAAAGCAGCTTGCTAGTGCACTTACATACCTACATACTGCCTTTCCAAGGCCCATCGTTCATAGGAATCTGAGATCCACCTGCATTTTATTGGACGATGACTATGTTCCCAAACTCTTCGACTTTTCAAGCTCCATAACCATTCCTCCTGAGCAATTGTATGTTGAAGTAGATACCGTGACAGGGACGTATGGGTACGTTGACTCCAACTACATGGCGACCGGTTACGTTTCGACAAAAACTGATGTTTATAGCTTTGGTGCGCTTTTATTTGTATTTTTGATGAGAAAAATACCGGGAGGAGAAATTGTGCGGGAATACCTTACTAGAGATCCGAAACTTAATGTTTCTGATGGACAGATTCAAATAGAGACAATTGCGGACCCTAAAATCCTTGAGGAAGTCGGGGGAGATGAGCAAGCACAACAGCAACTGCAGGATTTCCTAGCACTGGCATTGTTATGCATCCAAGAGAAAACTGAAGCAAGGCCAGATATGATTGATGTGGCCAAAGAGCTTGTACGAATTGACAAGTCTATCTTGCCTAGGTAGCTACCTTAATTAATTTATGTACTACATTTACTATGCATGTGGATCTAGAAGAGCTTACCAGTTTGTAGTTTGTAAGACGAAAATAGGCTATTCAAGTGTGTTTTTATTTTATATCGTCCATGTCGTAGATGGGGCTGAAACCCGACCCAATTTTTTTTAAAACTTCCCAGCCTATATGGCCCAGCCCATCCAAATTAAAATAATAGCCCATCTTGTTGGTTGTTAATTTGTTACTATTATTTTCTTTTTTCTGTTAATTTGTAGCAAATATGAAATCTTAGACTAAATCTCTCATATGAATTTTTATTGTGTTTGTGTTTTACATATGCTGATGAGCTCAAGAGGGCAGCTATAGAATCTATTGAGTATTGTAAAGCAACTTGCTAGTGCAGCTGAATATATCTTCATACTGCGTTTCTCAGGCCCGTCAGCCATAGGGATCTAAGATCAACATACATTTTATGTACTCATTTCTAAATTGTTACAAAATTTAAATACTTTCGAAGCCATAGATGGTGAGAGGCTAATGCATTTTGCTTTTTTCTTTTTCTTTTTTCTTTTGTGCCCAACCAATTTCAAGGCAAGTAAGTACAATTGAGGAAGCAAACTCATTGGCGCCAAAACACATGTTTCCCCGCCAGGAAACCCAGAAGCCAGAACACAAAAACCCAATATTCCAACAGAAATGAGGAACAGAAAAGAACAAGCAGACATTTGACCCGAAAATCTGGCATGGCTGGTGTTTGTGATTATGTCACAATGACCCAGGTTCCTTGTATTTTTGAATAGTGCTTTCTTTTTGGTTGCGTTTGATCATAAACAGGGAGGAAGGGGTATTTTGGCATGTAATTAGTAGGTGCTTTCTTGCTATGCGTTTAGTAGAAAGAGTCACAATAGAACTATTGCAGTTAGCTTTGCTTTGTGTATGTCTTTTGTATGCTCAACCAATTTCAACGTAAGTTCATTTAGATTTTAAATTTTGCTCATCATTTGTGGATTATTTATGTTGCATTTTTTGTTTTTTCAAGTCAATTACTGATTAGGGTTGGGGGAAGGACGACAAACAGAAGAGACAACGACTGGGAAAAGGGTGATGATATTTTTTAAGAATATGAATGATGAGTGGTTTATTGAGATGCAACTTGGTATGGTAAGATGGCTTGCAGTTTTCCAACTTGTTTAGTAAGTCGTCCTATAAGTCAATATATGAGGGCGCATGTGATATTAAAAATACATAAACATAATTTTTGTTGACCTTTCTACGCATACGACTGAACTTCAAACCTCTGTTCCTTCTCAAATGGAAGGTTTCAGTAAAAGGAAATGAAACTAAAGAAATACGTTGCTGGTTGCACATGAGATCCGCACTGGACTCTGCGGAGAAGTAATCAATAAGTTACTGCTTATTTAGTGCAATCTGATTCCAATTCTGAGGGGACTTGGTGCTGCAAAGCAAAAAAGCGAACAATGTCATGGAAAGTCTTGTAAGTTCCCCTTTTTTTTTATGATTATGTATGGCTGTTCTTAATTTAGACCTGATTTGAGATATTCCTATAATTATTTTCATTTTTGCTTGCTTCTGATACTTCATGTTATGCAACTAATCGAAATAATGTGTCCTTGCTTTTCAACAACATTATCTTAAATTTTAATTGATGTCGAAGATTTGATCTCGTACGCTAAATCAAAATTCTCATGAGGCTGAAGTCTAACAGTTCATTTGTAAGGAAAGAAAACCTTAGATTTGATCTCATGGACTTTCATGTGAAATTCAAATGCAAAAATGAAAGGAAAATGGGGTATTCAAGTTATCTGGAAGGGTTCTGTCATTGGCCAGATCCATTTCAACATTATATATATTTGTATCAGGTTCTTCCCGTTGGTTTCGCATTTGAGCAAGAAGGAAAGCGAGAGATCATTCTTGGACAATGGAAGCATGTTATTAGAGGATCTCATTGCTTCTTGTGATGGCAAATCTAACCCTATTCGTTGTTATTCTGCTGCTGAGCTCATGAGGGCTACCAACAACTTCGATCCTTCTTGCATTATTATGGAAGACGTTTCACCATGCTACCAAATGTTCAGGGGTATTCTAGACGACCGAACAATTATCATTAAGAAGTACATCACACAGGAATACATCAACAAGGATGAAGCTAGGTCTTATGCTATTCGTGATATTATCATATCAATGCAGATGAGCACCCATAAGAATGCTTTGAAATTATTAGGTTGCTGCTTAAAGTTCTCTCCCAGCTCTGGTGCATGAAAATGCAGCAAAGTAGAACTTCACCCAAATTACGAAGACCAAAAATCATACACCATCCTAGCACTAGATCAAGAACATATATTAAAGAGGCAGACCTACCATAAAAAGATGATGATGATGATGATGATGATGATGATGATGTATGGTTTGCGTTGGTGTTGGTAATAAGCTTGATAGGGCATGAGGAGATTGGAAGAACTGTGAGATTTTGACAATTGCAAATTTCAACCATGTAGCCGTCTGGATCATGAAAGAAGAGCTGGTCCACAATAACACCACCTTCTTCCACCTTGGCTGTCACATACTCTATCTTCATCTCCTCCAGCTTCTGCATAACCATCCCCATATCTGAGCACTGGAATGAAATGTGGTTGTCCTTTGGGTTGATTTTGCCTTTCTTTTCTGGGATATTTTTGTCTGACTCTAGCATATGAATACCAATTCCATAGTTGAACAACCTGAGATATGATGATGATTCAATTAGCAATAATCTTAGATAATTAATTATGAAATAGTAATTAGGAAAAGAATAAGCTGAGCAAAAGTTCCACACATTGGAAATAAGAAAAAAGAAAAAAGAAGGTTATAATGAGGGGTGAGTGGAAGTGTGTGTGCGTGTTTTTGAAATAGAAGAGAGTATTATTGTTGTTGTTTCTCAGTTTGTAAGAAATATATGAAAGCTGAGATTTGATCTGTTTGGATTTCATGTAAAGTTCTAAAGAACAAAATGAAAGCAAAGTTTGGGTGCTAATGCTATGTCTTTTCTTGAGAATTGGGATAGATTGTTTATTTTCATTTCATCCATTTCTTATTCATTTCTTTGTGCGTTGTGTGCGCTCTTGTGTGTGTGTATATATATATATATATATCAGGTTGTCAATCATTCCATGTGTAAAGCGAAAGGAGGAAAAGGAGGAAAGAAAGAGATCATTCTTGAAGAATGGAAGCATGTTACTAAAGGATCTAATTGCTTCTTGTGATGGAAAATCTCATCCTATTCGTTGTTACTCTGCTGCTGAGCTCATCAGAGCTACTAACAACTTTGATCGTTCTTGCATGATAGATGGATTATGCTACGACATTTACAGGGGTATTCTAGATGACCGAACAGTTATCATTAAGAAGCATTATGTCGTCGACTGGGCTATTCGTGATATTATCATATCAATGCAGATGAGCACCCATAAGAATTCCTTGAAATTATTAGGCTGCTGCTTAGAGTTCGAGATGCCAGCTTTGGTGTTTGAAAATGCAGGAAAAGGAGGTCTCAACTTTGATGGAAGTTTAAGAGTGGATAATGAATTATTACCATGGAAAACTAGACTGCGTATTGCAAAGCAGCTTGCTAATGCACTTACATACCTACATACTGCCTTTCCAAGGCCCATCGTTCATAGGAGTATAACACCCTACAACATTTTATTGGACGATGACTATGTTCCCAAACTCTTCGACTTTTCATTCTCCATAACCATTCCTCCTGACCAATTGTATGTTCAAGAAAATTTCTCATCAGGGACACACGGGTACATGGACCCTACTTACCAAAATTATTATATAAGTTCAGAAAAAACTGATGTTTATAGCTTTGGTGTGCTTTTACTTATATTCTTGATGCGACGAAAAGCTGTGGATAGAAACTCAGGACATGAGGAACTTAATGTTTCTGATGGACAGATTCAAATAGAGATAATTGCGGACCCTAAAATCCTTGAGGAAGTCGGGGGAGATGAGCAAGCACAACAGCAACTGCAGGATTTCCTAGCACTGGCATTGTTGTGCATCCAAGAGAAAACTGAAGCAAGGCCAGATATGATTGATGTGGCCAAAGAACTTGTACGAATTGACAAGTCTATCTTGCCTTAGTTCAGTCTTTCACCTGTTAAAAGAGTCCATAATTATTCTTATGTAATCAAATTATCTGATTATAAATACTTAATTATGTGGATTGCAACCAGCAAGCAAGGACAACCCTCTGATTAGATCCGTTTGAGTTTCATGCCAAGTTCAAAATCAATTTAATACCAGTAAAACGAACCGTTGAAATGTTTTTTGTTTTTTTTAATGTCGTCCATGTCGTAGATATATGATTGTCGTTTACAAACAGCATGGCATGCTTTTCCCGGACAACACCCACCAAAACAGAGCGGAGAACTTTGAAAAAGCACAGCTCAACTCCAAGCACTCTGAAATTGGTGGGAAATGCAAACCCTAACGCCAATACGACCTCGTTTTGCGAGGCTGTGGAGCTTGAATCCTTCGTCGCTCTCTCTCAGAACCTTGAGCCCTCGAGCATTCTCTTCTTCTTCTTCAGATTACTCCAACCAGTCCCGCGGTGGCCTCCCTCGCTTCTTCTCCGAGCTTCTCCCTACTTCCAAGGCACTCTCTCTCTCTCTCTCTCTCTCTCTCTCTCTCTCTCTCTCTCTCTCTTACTCACAGAGTAAATGTAGGCTCTTATTATTTGTTCTCTATACAGGGAGGCATAGTTCGCGTACAAGGCGATGAGTTCTGGCACATGACCAAAGTTTTAAGATTGCGCACAAACGATAGGTACCTATCTCCTAATCAACTCCATCAATTTGATTTCATGGTAAATGAACAAACTGGAATTGTATTAGGTTGAATTTGAAACTATGAAAGGTTCAATTTTGTTTAGGAAATTGGGGTTTGTTGCATTACACTTGTGTATTTTTATGATTTTCCACATAATGCATGCAAGGGTAGAGCTCTTCAATGGGAAAGGAGGTTTGATACAAGGTTTAATACAGAGCGTCGACCGCTCTGGACTTGATTTTTTGGCATTGGAAGATCCAAAGTCAGTTCTTCCACAGAGCACACAATGGCATGTATTTGCAGCTTTTGGTGAGTTCATTAGATTTCCAATTCCGGGGGGAATGTTTTGTAAGAGTGGTTAAGGCATAGGGGAATATTGTTGTCACATATTAACATGTTGCCCCTGTTTAGGTACTTTAAAGGGTGGTCGAGCTGATTGGCTTGTTGAGAAATGCACGGTATAATTCATGTTTTTGTGATGACTATAGGGATAGTGCAAAACCGCCATTGCTGCTAATTGTATTGTTTTTGTATTTGTTGTCTTAGGAGCTGGGGGCTAGTAGTTTAACTCCTCTGCTGACAGAACGGTCTCCTACTGTCTCAGAAAATCGACTGGACAGGTTGCAGCGTGTCAATATGGCAGCAGCTAAACAATGTAAAAGAAGCTTCGCCCTTATTCTAATATACATGTAGTGCTGACAGACATGTCCTATAAAACTATTTATTTGAAATAATAAAATTCAAATTTTTTGCACATGTCTATTTTCACAGGTCAACGGCTGCATGAAATGATCTTGAATCCTCCAACGAATATTAATGGTCTTTTACCTCTTGTGAGTGCTTTCTTCTTATTTTGTTTCATTTCAAAGGTTGGTTTATTGATGTGCATTCTGGCCCATTCTATAGTATAGGTCACTGACAAACTGTTCTTATTCTTTTAGTATCGATTGGACTTAAAATGTTACATGCAATTTTCTCGTGGCAGAGAGTTGTAGTTCCACATTAATAATATGCTCTTTGACATATTTTTCTCATTGATGTTCATGCTGTTCAGGATATCAACTCTACTTCCTTTCCATTGTTATTTTAAATTACATATATACAATTTTGTTTCATAGGTTGCAGAGTCAAAGCTAGCTTTGTTGGCAGTTGCAGAAGGTACTCCTCTTGTTAGTGCATTAACTTCGTCAGGAACGGAGTCCAGTGGGTTGATTGTGGTTGGACCTGAAGGTGGTAAGTATGCATCCTGTAAATGTTTTCTTTTTATTACTTTTGCTGCATACCAATCACCGGGCATATAAATAAAACTTGAAAATTAGAAACTTTTCTCCTTTTGAATTAGTTTTCTGGACAGCACCAAAATCCTGCATTTTTATCCCCAAATAATGAGATTTAGGGTGACAGATTGATGCAAAATTGATTAGGCCAATTATGACTTTGACTTGATGAAGGGTTTTGGAAACAAATTGGAGGTTTGATTGGCGAACCAAAATTAATAAGAATTTTAATATCAATTGAATATCAGGCAATTAGAAGGTATGCAGCAAATTGTTAACAAAATTGGTAAGAAGAAAAGTCTGGGTCAAACTGTGAGTAAAATTTACCCAAATTTCTATTAAGGTTTATGTTGGAATAAACCACCAACAATTGTTTGTGTGCTCTGATTTTCCAGTATGTTTGGTGCTTAGTATTCAGTCTCTCATTATGTTCATCCTATGCCTCTTGTATACTCGTAAATATATCATATATGCTAATGTAGTTTAGTTTTCAATACTGAGAGTACTACTTAGGATTGTTGATCTATTTTTCCATGTTCTTGCTTCAGACTTCACTGAGAAAGAGGTGAATGAATTGATGCAAGCTGGTGCTATCTCTGTTGGTCTTGGCCCACATCGATTACGGGTTGAAACTGCAACTGTGGCTCTTCTGGCAACTCTCATGTTGTGGTCTGATTCTCAAAATACATGCGATACTTGATCTCACTCTCAAGGCAAGTGTTCTTTAGTCATCTCTTGGATAAGACTGAACTACATTACTTTTTTGTGTACCACTTACTTTTGGTCATATGTAGATGACTGTTTGTTTCACCCATGCTGTTGTTGTTGACCATATGAAGGTTAATTTTAACGAGGGATTTGTAATTTAAGCCAATTTCTAGAGCACAATCACCATGTTACAGAGTTCTCTCAAATTAAACCTTTTTACAGAGCACTGTAATTTTAGCCAATTTCAGACTGCTTTCTATCCATATTGACATGGCTGTAGTTTTAAGTATTTTGAACTTAAAATTAAACTTGTAATACTTGGAAGCAGGGTAGGTGTTTCAGCCGCTGGAGGAATTCCTGAAAGAGTTAGTTGGTGCCGCCCCAAAAAAGTTTGTTGGTTCAGGGCTCGTAGGAAATGTCGAAACTTGAAAGAATGTATGGTGGATTTAGGTTGTGCACGAAAAAGTAAGTAAATAGCTGAAACAAAAGATGTATCAAGATTACAGCACTTGTTTGTTTTCCCTTTTCCTCCGCTGGCTTACAACGTGCGTCCTCTCATTTTCTCATCAACTTTCCTACAATGTCATTTCACGCCATTTTTGTCCAATTATTTTGGATTAATGATTAGAACTTATCCAAAAAAACAACTGATTTTCAACGCCCATGAAACACAATTGATCCTTAATCTCAAAGGACACACTTGTTATAATACGAGTAGAATTAGTGTAACATGTACATCACGTGATGGTGTTACTGTTAGATAAAAATTAATCATATGCAATACAACAACCATGATTTCAACACGCGTGCGATTTTAGATTGGGTAGTCAAACTCCCACTCAAACTATTTGATTGACTTGTAAATTGTGTCGACGAAAATCTGTGTGATTCATGTAAGCAAATGAAGTCTCGTAGCATTTTTTCTCTGTGTCTTCCTTTTTGTCATCATTTCTAATCAAAAGCTCCAGTGTATAAATGTGGATTGATACTAAGAAGAGTTGCCAAATTTGTTTGTGCAGAGAATTCAAAATGTCAACTTCAGAAGTTAAAACATACAAACTAGGATTTGTTTTGTAGTCAAAATTCTGGCAGGCAGCCTTTCTCATTCATTAGGAAGAAGAGGGTGCCGTGCAGGTTGATGCGCACAAGATTGAAAATGGATTGCTCCTCAGACTTATATAACTAGAGTCCACGGTCAACAAAGGCCCCTTTCGTGTATCATTTCCCAGTCATAGTATGCATCTTCTCTTCCATGTCTAATAATTATAATCACTCGAAAACTACACATATGATTTATTTAGTTGAATTTATAGATAGAAACCCCACTCAATGCAATTTTGATGACGTTTAATCTTTACAATTATGATTAATTAACGACATATTGAACGAATGTTTTTACAATTCTATTAAAAATATATATATATATATATATTTGCACGTCACACTCCAAATCGAACCTGTAACCTATTTTAATCCGAATTTTTTTTTCTTTCTCTAATTCTTGAGTTCATGACAACCTCAACACCACCTTGACTAGTCTCATGGATTTAACACATATAAATGCTTCATTCATCCTACCATAAAGTGGTAATTTGAGGAAGGCTTTGAAATTTTATTTATTTTTATAAAAAGAATGTGGAGGGTTTTGAATTTAATTTAATTGTAGATAAAAACTGTTCTCCGACGACTTTATGGACCAACTAGTTTTTATCTACGAAAAGCGTGCCACATTAAGTGCCCACGCTGCTGAGCTATTCTCTCAGACTCGGAGACTACAACGTTTCATACACCAAAGTACGAAAATAACCCCAGTTGATTGACTAAATAACACGACAACCACCCTGTATAATTTAAATTTATGATTTTTCACATTCTGATAGAAAAACGTTACTGTGATCCTCTGACTGCACTCGTCATCAAATCATGGCAAATGAGGGTATTTTGAAATATATATATATATATATATATATATTTAATTTATTTTACTTCTCATATGTGTCTCAATTCATAATCTTTGACTTATATATATATATATATATTATAACAAATAGAATAAGTTTCAAACTATGTCACGCATTGAAAATGAGGAAGTATAAAATTAAGATTAAAAAAATGTTACTTTGTCTTATTGTATTTTTTTTTTCTTCATTTCAAACTTGAATTCAATTTTAGAAAACCGGGTATGATACACAAAAGACAGGATGGAAATTGTATTGAAGTTGAACAAAGTGTACGTTGTTTCGATTGACAAAAGTGAAGAAAAGAAGAGAGAAAAATGTTGTTGAATTACGAATTCCAAAATGGGGTACGCCTCAAGTACACACCACTCTCAAAACTAACAAACAAAAGTAATCCAAAAGCAGGAATGACGAAAGAGGTTTCAAGTTTGAATTTCCTATTCCCCGCATTGAGACAAATAAAGAAAAACAGAAATCAAGAATGGCAAATTGGTGATTATCTCTAAAACCAAGACCTTCTCAATCCCACCAAACTTGACTCAATATAAACCTATAGTTGTGTACCAGAACGCAAACACCAGTAAAACCCAGGAGCACAAAACGCATCCAACTCCAATTTCCAAGCCAACAACAAGATCTTCTCTTCTTCTCTAGATCTCCATTGGGATCTCTCACTCATTATCAAAAGAGCACTAGAATTAACTATTAATCATAAATAAGGGTTATAATTCAGATGACGAACCAGTTGGAGAATCTGGTGGAGTCGATAAAGTCAAAAGTACGAGCCCTGAAGAAAAACTCAAAGAAGCCATACATAAAGATGGACAAGAGCTCAAGTGTGAAGGTAGAGATCCGCAGCAAAAAGGCTCGCAAGCTCATCGACAAAACCCTCAAGGCTGCCGATCGTCCTGGCAAGCGTCCCATTCCTTGACAAATTTATATACATTTTCTGTCTGCCCATGTATTTATGTAAATCTGTAATGGCATAGCTAGCAAGGTAGGCTGATGGATGAAAAGGGTTTCTCTCTGCTTTTTTCATTTTCTCTTCTGTTGTTTTTCTTTTGGCTGCCGATTCTGTGTTTTGGGTCAAGCTTTGTAACCGCTTCGGAATATTGCCCTCAAAGCAACAATGAACAATCCTTTTTCTAGGTTTCTTCTTTTATGGGGTGTAAGAACTTTTACATCATTTATTTTGTATGTGTAATGTTTTGTGAAAGTGGATTAAAACTAGAAACATGGTTGTTTTTCAGTAATGCTAATGTCTGAGTTCATTTGTACTTTAAGCTTTCAGCTCGAGCGTGAAAGAGAACGTGAGTTGAAATGAATCCAAACAAGGAAAAACGCAAAAAAAGAAAAGAAAATTATGGCAAGACTTCAAAAGAAAAGGGAGGAGTGAATAATATTTCCATTACTGAAGCTTGGTTTGGATTTTGTACCATGTATTAGGTAAATATATCCTAATTAATCCTCTTCTCTTGCCTTCAAAATATAATGAATACATATTACTGGCCATTTTTTGTCAAAACTAAATCGAACCAAACCAAAGAGATTTTTTAGTGTTGTTTTCTGTTTCGAGAAAAAACCGAAACAAATCGGACTGTGCCCACTCTTAATATTACCCTAAATAATCCTCTAACCCCATTGAGTGGATCTATGAGGAAAACCATGTAGTTGAAAGAAGATAAAGAAAAACCCAACAAAATCACAGGTGAGAGCATCCACTGGGGGGGTGTATGTTAAATATACACCCCGAGTTACCGGAATCGTATCCATTGGGGAGATGTAAATGGATGTAAATATACATCACAGTCCGAGAAAAGAGAAGAAAAATGAAGAAAAGTCAACATAAAAGGCTGGGACCCATGGCTACACTCCCGAATTTACACCCTTCCACTGGAGCAAAAAACATATTTACACCCCCCTGTAGATGTAAAGGTAATGTAAAAGTGACTTTACCCCCCCCCCCCCCCCCCCCCCCCACCAGTAGATGCTCTGAGAAGTTTGCTTCACTAAAAAATCGAGAATGTTGTAGCTGATCGTATGGCTAATTGGAGCTTTAACTTGGATTTGGGGGTTAGCTATTTGGATGAGGCCCTTGCTTAGGTTAATTAGCTCTTTTTTGGAGGATGATTTTTTAGGAGTTGTTAGGTCTCGCTTGATCTGTACTAGTTAGTTGTTGTTTCTTTTTAGGGTTTGTTCCCCTTATTTCATCAACAAAAAAAAAAAGACAAAGAAAAATCCAACAAAATCACACGTGAGAAGTTTGCTTCACTGAAAAATCGATTTGGAAGGTTGTTGTCGACATGGAATAAATAAAAATTCTTCAAAACGAGAAGAGATCATAAATCTTGCTTTGCTCTTAACAATGTTTACCTTGGCCAACACTGAAGCTACCTAAAATTTTCAAACATTTTTAAAAATTTCAATATAGTTTTAACAAAACAAAACAAATAAAATAAAAAAAGAAAAAAAGAAAGGGAAAGTTCAACATGGGGATTCAAGCTTCCCAGTAATTAAGGAGAGCAGAGAATGCAACCTTCCCCAGTATTGATTTGGGGTTATCATTAGAAAAGAGAGAAGAGCAGCCTTTTCCATGGCCAACACAAAGTCAAACCGTATTAACATATTAGACCGGCCGACAAATGAATTTTGTTATGAGCCCCTACAAAATCACATGTATCATTAAGTTAAAGCAACGTATAATGACTTCTGATCAATTATTTATTTATATGTCAAAGTCATAGGAATTCTGCTTCAAAATAATATCATTAGATAATAACAATATGGCCTGGCGTGGTGTTATTTTTATATGCGGGATAGTATAATCATCATCTTGCTTGTCTAATTTAAAAGTACAATGAAATTTAAATATGGAATTTAAGGTTTATCACTATAAAAACAACAAGGGTTTTTAGGTCCCTGAATTTTAACATGATTCGTATTTTGGTCTCTCAATTTCCAAAATTATTCCCGTAGTTCTTCAACTTTAGTTTTGTTAGGACAAATGATCATGTCTTCTTTTGTTAACTTTTTTTCTATTGAATTTGAGCATGTGCATGATACATGGTGTACTGTTAAGAGTTGAAATCGGAAATTGCTTCACTCCCGGGGTACGTGTGGCGCACCCAAATCCCACACCCACTCCCCCACTACTTCAACTCTCCCCATCTATATATCTCCCTAAATAATGCTACTCTTACCACATTCTTAAAACATCATGTGATATAGAAATATGGGATAAAAATGTGATACCGAGCCGATACTCTCCTCAAGCCAAGCCCATTAAAACCCACCCCCAATCAAGGAATGATATATCTCCCTTCCTCCAATCCTAACAAAGCCATGGACAACCTCCACCCGATACCGAGCCAATTATTTCACCACCTCGGCAACAACTAATGATGCTCCCACAAACCACACCCCCACCCAAACCCCCATAACCACCCTCCCTGCAATGGCTTCTGCCCCTTAGTCTAATATCATATCCTCGATTGTTGATGAAAAAAATTGAAAAAACAAAATTGAATATTTCATCCTGGTGAAAGAGGGGTTGGGACTAGGTGAGATGGTGAGGGTGAAGAAGGCTTGGTTGTTGCTGTGGGTTGTGTGTTTAGGTGGGGTTGGGTTGGGTTGGAGAGGTTGTGGTTTTTTGTGGCAAGGATAGGAGAATATTTTTTAGTTTTATTTGTTTTGAGTGAATAGAATATTCAAATGGTGGAAATTTTAATAAAAATACCATTTTATCCATACATTTAACGAAATAGATAATAAAATTGATGGTAGGACCATTTGTCCTAGTGAAACTGAAGTTGAAAGATCATGGGAACGATTTCAGAAATTGAGGAATTCAAAATGCGAATCTAATCAAAATTCAGGAACCATTAGAACTAAAAACCCAAACAACTTATAAATAAGTGATGGTAGTTGATAGATGTGTATGGTGAGGCTACTGATGCTTAGGAGGTAATGGGGTGTGAGTATGGTGATGACGGGCAGCGGCGGAGGTGGTGGTAGCAGGTAGTGACACCAATTCAATGATGAGTTTTGTTAATAGTATTATCACAGAGAGTGGATAAGTTATTGTGCCAATGAAGAGAGTAAGAACGTTTTCTTAGCCAAGAAAGCACAATAGAGAGTAAAAAAGTTTTGATGCAAAAAGGCCAAAACCTGTCTCAACAAAGGGTACTGCCAGTATGGGACACCGTTCAGAAGAATAAACACACATGCATCAGGGAAAAAAAAAATGGACAAAAGAAGACCCGCCCAAAAATATATTTCAGCCCTGCCGAAATTCATTGATGAATCATGGTTCCAAATAGACTATCTCTGAAAGCACCGAGGCACGCCTAAACCGGATCAACCTTTTTAAGAGTTCCGAAGAATCCACGACAGAAGCAGCTGGCTTAATAGTCAATCTCTCAAGCAATGGTGAACTTGAGAGCAGTTCTTGTAGAGCAGGGGAGCTTCTCAGAAGGCATTGAGCAGCTAAAACTTCAAATGGATCACCGAAGGAAATGTTTATAGAAAGAAAACTCAGATATAGACAAGGTTTGGGCAGCTTTCCAGGCAAGGCACCAACAGCCAAATACTGGAGCAGAATGGATGCAAAAAGCAGCAGACTCGATGAAATTCTCCAACTCCCATGTTCAGACAAGATGTGGAAGCATAGCAGACATGAACCTCCACTTGCTTGAAAAGACACTAGTCTTCACTGCCTCCTTAATAGGTAAACGTGACAAAATTTGCTAATTCTATCCAACTCCTCCATATTTCTCTCTGAACATATAACTTGGAGGGATTCCTTTGCTTCACATAGTAAACAAAAGTGATTAATCTATGTCTTGGCTAGCGCAAACAAAGTTTAAATTTTCACTTTCAAAAGAAATAACCAAATTTCATTCAGTCACTTGCAAAAAAAGCACTTCCACGTTTTGTTTTTACAATTTAAATTTAATAAATAAATAAAAAAGCACTTCCAAGCCAAAATACTCACAGTATATCAGGTTGGGGACAGAGGAGGGGTTCCTCTGCTTCTAAAATTTTCACATGGTAAACAAAAGTCATTAATCAAATACAATGGCCACTGCTGCCAAGATCATTCAAAAGTAATATCCAAATTTCAGTCACTTAAAAATAAAGCACTTTTATGTTTTGTTTTTACCACTAAGATCCAAGCCAAAATACTCACAGATATATCAGGTTGGGGGCAGAGGAGGGTAGATTAAAAACTCAAGAAAAATAAACGTTGGTTCAAGTAAAATAAGAACTCGAAAGGATTGACATTTCCCTAATTTCAATCCACCATGAGAACCACCCAAATCCACAAGCACAGCAAATTTCACAGATATTTCATCAAACAAAAACCCTCAGCGACAACGTTACCAATTTGACTGAATAAAATATATATATATATATATATATATATATATAATTTGCTGCAAGTAAAAGGTTGACTTTAGTCGTAATTAGCCATACAATTGTAACTTCTTAGTTCATCGTCTTGTTTCCAGCTCTTTTAAGATAGTGTTTGTATAGCTAGTGAAGGATTAATTTCTGGATTTGGGTGTAAAAAAGTATTCCATTTCTCTCTATGGACTACATTGCCAATCGATTGTTGGAAATTTTACGAAAGCGTCCAAGACATGACTTTATTTAAACATTGTTTTTTCAGATAAACGACGACATGGCATTTGTCACAAAGACTTGTAAGTTGAAGCCAACTGCCTTGACCCATGTTCATCTCTGCAAGCAATTCCCCTTGCCCATACAACATGTGTGATAGGTATTCTCCTCGTCTCCGCATAGAGTAGAAGTAGACCCACTTCAGATGCCTTGTTACTTTAATTCATTCTTTACCAGTGAGACCTTGTTCTGCCCTGCGAACTTTATTTTAACAAGAATGTTAAGCGGCAAACGAGCTCATGTAAAGTGCCAACCGACTTAAATTTAAACATACACCACAAAGACTTGTGCCCAACAGTCCAAACCCACAGTCATCTCTTCAAGCAAGTCCTCTTCTTAGCTGCAAAAGTTCACGGATGAATCATGGGTCCAAGAATATTATCTCTGAATGCACTGAGGCACGCCCTAATCGGAGCAACTGTTTAACGAGCTCCCAAGAATCATCGGCATAAGCAGGCTTAACAATAATCTTCTCAAGCACAGGGGAATTTAAAAGCAGAAATCTGATGAAATCTAATTCAGCTTTGACATCAGAGACGTCGGATATTTTGACAAATCGTAGTTGGGAGAATGGGAAAATCCAGTTGCCATATAAAGAGTTCACTTCTGACAAAGCAGAATGACCCTCTCTGTCAGCCTACACAAGATATATAGGCATCAGAAATTCTCTAAACAGAGTAGAGTTGGTTTGACATCTTAAATTCAACAGAAGAAATTTGCATGCATCAATAGAATGAAACTCACAGAAATTTCTTGGAGAGCAGATCCGGCGGCCTACACAAGATATATGGGCATCAGAATATTGATCACCTACTGAAAAACAGCTCTCTAAACTACAATTTTTAGAATAGAATTGGTTTGAAGCTTTAAATTAAACAGTAGAAATTTTCATGCATCATAGAATAAAACTCACAGAAATTTCTAGTTCTTGGACAGCAGGGGTACTTCTCAGAAGGCATAGAGCAGTTAAAATCTCCCTCAGATCATTAAAGTTTACGCTTATAGAAAGAAAGTTCAGATATAGACACGGTTTTGGAAGTTCTGCTGACAAGGCACCAAGAGCCAAAATCTAGAGCAGAAATCATCAAGAAAACTTCAGACTCCATGAACATGCTCCAATTTCCAAGGTCATGTAAATGATCATTTAATGAAAGTATGACACCAGAAAATCCATTACCTGTAAAAAGAATCCCTGAATTTTTAGCCTCTGAATATGAGGCAGGTGAACCAAAAACTTGACCAACATGCTGTGAGTACTGTCACAAGCCCATCTTTGGCCAACACTGGTGTCCGTACAAATGCAAACATCAGCAAGATTTAAGGTATTCTGAAAAATAACATCCTCAAAATCACCTTCAACATCAAGGAATTTGAGATTTGGTGCATCAATCTTGAGATGGGTGAAATTGAACTCTCTCAAAGTCAACCTTTCAAGCAGAGGGCAGCAAGCTATCAGATTTTGGAAGGCATCTTGGGCCAAGGTAACACGCTGAAAAACAAGGCTTTTCAAATTCCTGAAGCCTTTGAATGTTGGCGGAGGTTTTATCAGACAACTGAATAACTCTAAATGTATCATATCTTCACAGGAAAACAAATACGAAGGAATACTGTAGCAGCAAACTTCCTCAATTTCAAGTACGAACTCTTTGATAGAGTTTCTTGATAGATGAAGAATCCATCGATCAATATCCCAAGTGGCTAGGCGATCTAGATGAGAAAGCTTAAACTTATGAATGGGGCCAATGTGACCTAGGAGTACATGATCAACAATGTCCACAAAGGTTATACGTTTTTTAGTTGAGACACACTGTTTATCAAACACAAGATGTCGAATCATAGCCGTTCTGTATCTCCACTTGCTTGATAAAACACTTGTCCTCGCCACCTCTCTAATGGGCAAATGTGACAAAATTTGTTCTAAAACATCACTTGGTAAGTTGCTAATTCTATCCAACTCCGACTCCGATTTCGAACGGGACTTGGGTGGTTCTCTTTGCTCCTGACATATTCAAGTAGTTGAAAACATCACTAATCTAATGCAATGGCCAATGGTAAGCAACAAAGTTCAAATATCTATTCACACAACTAAAGAATTGTAACAATTTGCAGTTTTAGATTCTGTTTTACTACAAAAATGCAAGTGTCAATACTCGCAGTGCAAACTGAAAAGGTGTGAGTTTCCACTTAACAACGAGAAAAACACAACTCATAAGCAAAGCAAAAACTTCAGTTACGTTATCAATTATAAAATTGACCAAAAAATCAATTAGAAAATGCCTTACTTGAAACCTTATCAATTGACTGAGAATGCAAAAGAATGTAAATTGCACGAAATTAGGAAATAAAAAATACAAACCCTTACCATATTCACTTCGCTTTGGTCCAGAAAAATGGACATGGTGTGCCAAAAAGTTTGCCTTTTTCTGAAGAGGAGAAAAATTAGGGTTTGCTAGGGATTGGAGAGCGAAAGAGAACCAATTTGGGCTTCAAATCCGAATTCTGAGAATATGACTCGTCACACACAGCATTACTTACTTACTACTGGCTGAAACGGCGCCGTATAGCATATCTTCATTTCATTCCCGCCTCTTTATTATGTGCATATTATCATGGACGTATAAAAACCTTCTATTTCATTTTGCCTGAAGTTCCCTTGTCATAAATATTCATTTTACTAGATTTTTGGTATATCAATTTCTGAACATCAACATGTAGCAGGATTTTTGAATTCAAAATCCTAGCTAAAATTTTTGGTGTCTTAAAAACAACATTAATTGGATTATGTCTAATCCTACTAGGACCAAATGTAGTAGGATTATAAATCCTACCAAAAGATTGGAGTTTAGGGCAAGGATTTACATAATTCATGAGCAATTAAGATGTTGTCAAGAAAAATAAACGTTGAGCTTAACTACAAGTTGCGTTACAAATTCAAAAATAGAAACTCAACTACTTTCTTGTATGTTATCATAAAGTTAAAATAAAAGGGTCAATTTTAAAGTTGTCATTCTTACTTGTATGTGAATCACAATTTGAGACACACACACATTCATATATATATATATATATATATATAATTATTTATTTTTATAATTTGGCTGAATTATTCCATAATATGTATCAAACTGTGATCATTACCAGAGAAAAGATGGAAGGTCATTTTATTCTTTTTAAAAATAAAAAGTAATAATAATAATCCATCCTCAAATTCAACTCTAAAATTTGAAGAATTTCTTGAAGTATTTTAGTTCATCATCTTCTTTCAACCTCTTATGATAGCTAATAAATGATTAATTGTGGATTTAACCAATATGGTCTAGCCCAGTGGAAAAGGGCCTTGACATGCAGGCAAAAGGTCTTAGATTCGAATCTCCATGACATCTTGCTTATGTATGTGTGAGAAAACCCCTCTCATGTAGTTTAGACTTTCGCTTGTACTAAACAAAACATTCTGGATTTGGATGACAACATGACATTCATCACAAAGACTTGTAACCAACTGTCTTACCATGCTCATCTCTGCAAGCAAATCCTCTAACCTTAGCTACCCAAATTCATTGATGAATCATGGGTCCAAGTGGAATATCTCCTCTTGATCCGAGGAACTATCCTAGAAGCACAAATCTGATGAAATCATGGACGAATGGGCAATTAGTTTCTAAAGCATACTCTATTTGTTCAGTGCTATAAGAGTTTGTTTTAATTCGTTCTTTCCGTGTGAGACTTTGTTCTGCCCTGCAAACTTGTTTCAAAAATGATTAAATTGGCAAACGAGCTCAGATAAATCTAATTCATAATCCCCAAACGACTTAAATTTAAACAACATATGCCTTCACAAAGATGATTGCGAGTATGAAACATCGTTCAGAAACGTAGGCAGACATACAATATAAAGATTTGTGCCCAACAGTCCCAACCCACATTCATTTCTTCAAGCAAGTCCTCTTGTCTTAGCTGCCAAAGTTCACTGACGAATCATGGGTCCAAGTAGATTATCTCTGAATGCACTGAGGCACGCCCTAACCGGAGCAACTGTGCACCGAGCTCCCAAGAATCATCGGGAGAAGAAGGCTTAACAATCATCTTCTCAAGCACAGGAGAATTTAAAAGCAGAAACCTGATGAAATCTAATTCAGGTTTGCAGTCATAGATGTAGGATATTTTAACAAGCAGCAGTTGGGTGAATGGGAAAACCCCGTTGCCATATAAAGATTTCACTTCTGACCAAGCAGCCTGACTCTCTTGGTCGGCCTACACAAGATATATAGGCATCAGAATCAATCTAAACTACAATTTTCAGAGCAGAGTTGGTTTGACATTTTATATTCAACGGAAGAAATTTGCATGCATCAATAAAATAAAAAAAAACTCACAGGCCATACTAGTACTCCGATACCACGGTCGCCCTACAAAAAATATGTAGGCATCAGAATGTTGAAAAAAAGCTCTCTAGCTAAACTATAATTTTCAAAGTAGAACTGGTTTGACATCTTAAATACAACAGAAGAACACTCACAAAAATTTCAAGTTGTTGGACAGCAGGGGAGCTTCTCATGAGGCGTAGGACAGTTAAAATTTGCACCGGATCATTGAAGTTTACCCATATTGAAAGAAATTTCAAATATGGACATGGTTTAGGAAGCTTTGCTGACAAGGCACCAACAGCCAAAATCTAGAACATAAATCATCGAGGAAACATCAGACTCAATGAACATGCTCATATTTCCACGGTCATGTAAATGATTATTTAATGAAAGTATGACACCAGAAAATCCATTACCTCTAAAGAGAATCCCACAATATCAAGCTTCTGAATATGAGGCAGGTGAACCAAAAACTTGACCAAATTGCTAGACCTGTCAGAAACCCATCTTCGGCCAACTTCAGAATCAATGCAAACATCCACAAGATTTGAGGTATTCTCAAAAATAACATCCTCAAAATCACCTTGAACATAAATGAATTGGAGATTTGGAGCATCTATCTTGAGAATGGGGAAAGGGAAGTCTAGTAAAGTCAACCTTTCAAGCAGAGGACAGCAAGCAATCAGATTTTGGAACCCAACTTGGGCCAAGGTAACACGCTGAAAAACAAGGCTTTTCAAATTCCTGAAGCCTTTGAATGTTGATGGAGGTTTTAGCACACATCCAAGTAACTCTAAATGGATCATATCTTGACAAGAAAAAAACCATGAGGGAATTGAATACTTGAACCCTTGCCGAATCTCAAGTATAAACTCTTTGATAGAGTTTCTTGATAAATGAAGAATCCATCGATCAATATCCCAAGTGGCTACACCACCTACACGAGAAAGCTTAAACTTGTGAATGGGGCCAATGTGACCTAGGAGTACATGATCAACAATGTTCACAAAGCTTATATGCTCTTGTGCTGAGACACACTGATGATCAAATACAAGATGAGGAAGCATAGCCGATCTGTATCTCCACTTTCTTGATAAAACACTTGTCCTCACTGCCTCTCTAACCGACAAATGTGACAAAAGTTTTGCTATAACATCACTTGGTAAGTTGCTAATTCTATCCAACTCCATCTCCGATTTCGAACGGGACTTGGGTGGTTCTCTTTCCTCCTGACATATTCAAGTAGTTGAAAACATTACTGATCTAATACAATGGCCAGTGGTATAGGGAGGGAGAAGAGATAGTAAGCAACAAAGTTCAAACATCTATTCTCAAAACAGAATGAATTGTCACCACATTTCACGGGGGGATACATAACAAGTTGCAGGTTTACATTCTGTTTTACTACTGAAAAAAATGCAAGGGTCAACTTAATAACACTGCCATAAAAGAAGAGAATTTGCCTAATTCCCTTTCACTTAACAATGAGAAAAACACTATCCACATACTTTATCAACTAGAAAATGCCTCAGTTGAAACCTTATCAATTAGGGGAGAAAAAGAGCCTTACCATATTCACTTCGCTTTGGTTTAGGAGCGAATCCAAAACCAAAGGAGGCAATTAGGGTTCGGTATGGAGTGAGAGAATGAGAGAGAGAACCAATTGGGTTTGAAATCTGGTGAAGTTGGAAATAGCAATGAAGGCCTGAGTTTTGAGAATATGACTCGTCACACACCGCATTACTTACTAGTACTAATCTACGTCCAAACGGCGTCTTCATAATCATTCCCGCCTCTTTCTGTGTGCATATTATTTTGTAATTTGTACTCGTGCGTCAATTACTAACGACAGCGTTTTCAAGAAGCTAAAAACCTTCGGCTCTTATTGTAATTTCCTATTGTACCCTTCTCTTCTGAACCCAATATAGCCCAATAAGAAAGAAAACAAACCGTCTGAGAATTTTGGTAGAAGAGATGGGCCTAATTTGCTATATGGGCTTAATTTGATTCTTAGCAGAGCTCTTGCAAATGGGTCTCTGTAATTTTTCCATATGGAGATGAGCCTAGTTTCTACATGAAGCTAGCCGAGGTTTTATCTCTTTATTGTTAGATCAAGCTAACCAGTTTGATTCAACGGCTAACCAATTTGTTCTAATGGCTAAGAAATAGAATCTCACCTAAATGCCATATAATGCTCTGATTATAGAATTCTTGATGACGGAAATTAGTAGAATGGTTTCTGGAGTTTCCCTCTACATTTTTTTGGGGTCAATCCCTCCTCCCACCTTCATTTCTGGTACTAGTAAAATGGCTACTCTCTCTGTCGTGTGCTTTTGATGAGAGAAAAAGAAACATGTCTTTTGGTCTTTCCTTCGGTGTTATCCAAATTGCTTAAGGGTACCAACGGAAATGAAAATAATAATAACAGGACTTTTAGCTTCTTGACAACAGTAGCCCACGTGTCAGACAGTCATTCGCTAAAGGATTACATGCAATAATTTACACATATTTTATTTTGAGTGCTGCTATTTCAACCAACTTCTCCTATTTTCCCACATGCAATAATTAACTCTAAATGCATCATATGTTGACAAGAAAACAAACACGAAGGAATTGTATAGTTGAACCCTTGCCGAATCTCAAGTATGAACTCTTTGATAGAGTTTCTTGATAGACGAAGACTCCATCGATCAACCTAGAGAAGAAAGCTTAAACTTGTGAATTGGGGCAATGTGACCTAGGAGAACATGGTCAACACTGTTCACAAAGCTTATATGCTGTAGTGATGAGACGCACTGATCATCAAACACAAGATGAGGAAGCATAGCCGATCTGTATCTCCACTTGCTTGATAAAACACTTGTCCTCACTGCCTCTCTAACCCACAAATGTGACAGAAGTTTTGCTAGAACATCACTTGGTAAGTTGCTAATTCTGTCCAACTCCATCTCCAATTTTAAACGGGATTTAGGTGGTTCTCTTTGCCCCTGAAAAATTCAAGTAGTTGAAAAAATCACGGATCTAATGCAATGGCCAGTGGTATATAGAGAGGGGGAAGAGATAGTTAGCAACAAAGTTCAAACATCTATTCTCTCAACTGAAGGAATTGTAACCACATTTCATTTTCACAGGGGGATACATAACAAGTTGCAGTTTTACATTATTTTCCGCTTCAAAGTAACTCTAACATTTGAAGAATTTCTTTGTAATAATTTTTTAGTTCGTCATCTTCTTTCAAGCTCTTTTGAGATGGTGGGTTTGTATAGTGAATGAGAGATTATTTCTAGATGCGGACGTAAAAATGCAAACCAATGGATATAATATAAGTTGAGGAAAGTGTTTGGGAAAGCAATTAGTTTCCGAAGCAAATACTCCTTGTATTTTCACTGTTACAATAAGTTTGCTTTAATTAATTCTTTCCATGTGAGACATTGTTCTGCCCTGCAAACTTTGTTTCAATAAGGAAGTAAATTGGCAAATGAACTCAGATATATCTAATTCCTAATCCCCAGGCGAATTAACTTTAAACACCATATGCCTCCACAAAGAGAATTGCAAGTATGAGACAACCAGTTAAGAAACATAGGCAGGCATATAACAAAAAGACTTGTTCCCAACAGTCCAAAACCACATTCATTTCTTCAAGAAAGTTCTCCTGTCTTAGCTGCTAAAGTTCCCTCATGAATCTGGGTCCAAGAAGATTATCTCTGAATGCACTGAGGCACGCCCTAACTGGAGAAACTGTTTAATGAGCTCCAGAGAATCACTGGCATCGTCAGGTGTAACAATCATCTTCTCGAGCACAGGAGAATTTAAAAGCAGAAATCTGATGAAATCTAATTCAGTTTTGAGATCAAAGATGTAGGATATTCTGACAAGTCGCAGTTGGGTGACTGGGAAAATCCAGTTGCCATATAAAGAGTTCACTTCTGACAAAGCAGCCTGAACCTCTTGGTGGGCCTACACAAGATATATACGCATCAGAATCTCTCTAAACAGAGTAGAGTTGGTTTGACATTTGAAATTCAATAAAAGAAATTTACATGCATTAATAGAATAAAACTCACATAAAAATCTTGTTCTTCTACGAGAGCAGGGTATACCTACACAAGATATATGGGCATCAGAATGTTCATCACCTACTGTAAAATAGCTCTCTCAACTACAATTTTCAGAGTAGAATTGGATTGACATTTTAAATTCAACAGAAGAAATTTGCACGCATCAATAGAATAAAACTCACAGAAATTTCTAGTTCTTGGACAGCAGGGGAGCTTCTCAGGAGGCATAGGACAGTTAAAACCTCAGCCGGATCATTAAAGTTAACCATTACGGAAAGAAATTTCAAATATAGGCATGGTTTAGGAAGCTTTGGTGACAAGGAGCCAACAACCAAAATCTAGACCAGAAATCATCAAGAAAACATCAGACCTAATGAACATGCTCATATTTCCACGGTCATGTAAATGATTATTTAATAAAAGTATGACACCAGAAAATCTGTTACCTGCAAAAGATATCTCCCAATATTTAGCCTCTGGACAAGAGGCAGCTGAACCAAAAACTTGACCAAATTGCTATTGTCACAAACCCATGTTCTTCCGTGAGGGTAGATACAAACGCGAACATCAGCCAGATTTAAGGTATTCTCAAAAGTAACATCCTCAAAATCACCTTCGACGTCAAGGAATTGGAGATTTGGTGCATCAATCTTGAGATGGGTGAAAGTGGGAATTGACAAAGTCAACTTTTCAAGCAGAGGACAGCAAGCAATTAGATTTTGGAACACATCTTGGTCCAGGGTAACACCCTTAAGAAGAAGGCTTTTCAAATTCCTGAAGCCTTTGAATGTTGATGGAGGTTTTAGCACACATATAAGTACTCTAAATGAATCATATCTTGACAAGAAAACAAATATGAAGGAATTCTGTAGGGGCAAGTTCCCCAATTTTTAAGTTGAACCCAATTATTTTGTACCTCCTAGATGTATGCTTTGTTTGACTTTTGAAAAAGGCTTTAGAATTCAACTAAATTTCCTAATTATTTTGCAAACTCTTACACACATGAGGTGAGATCCGGGATATAGTGGATAAAACCCATACATATACGAAGCTGAGGAAAGTGTTTGGGAAAACATATTCCTAGTATTTTCACTGTTACAGGAAATTTGTGGGACTTTGTTGTTGTAAATTGGCAAACGAGCTCATATCAATCTAACCTAACTAATAATATCCCCAAGCGACTTAACTTAGCGTATGCCTCCACAAAGATAATTTGCAAGTATGAGAAACATAGGCAGACATACACCATAAAGACGTGCCCAGCAGTCCAAAACCACATTCATTTCTTCAAGCAAGTCCTCTCATCTTAGATGCCAAAGTCCAAATCAGGGTCCAAGAAGATTATCTCTGAATGCACTGAGGCACGACCTAACCGGAGCAACTGTTTAAGGAGCTCCAAAGAACCATCGGCAAAAGCAGGCTTAACAATCATCTTCTCAAGCACAGGAGAATTTAAAAGCAGAAATCTGATGAAATCAAATTCAGTTTTGACATCAGAGAAGTCTGATATTTTGACAAGTCGCAGTTGGGTGAATGGGCAAATGCAGTTGCCATATAAAGAGTTCATTTCTGACAAAGCAACCTGAACCTCTTGGTCGGCCTACACAAGATATATAGGCATCAGACTCTCTCTAAACAGAGTAGAGTTGGTTTGACATTTAAATTCAACAGAAGAAATTTGCATGCATCAATAGAATAAAACTCACAGAAAATCCTAGTTCTGGAAGAGAAGGGTCGGCCTACACAAGAGATATAGTCATCAGAATCTCGATCACTTCCTTAAAAACGGCTTCCAAACTACAATTTTTAGAATGGAACTGGTTTGAAGCTTTAAATTCAACAGAAGAAATTTGCATGCATCAATAGAATGAAACTCACAGAAATTTCTAGTTCTTGGACAGCAGGGGAGCTTCTCAGAAGGCGTAGAGCAGTTAAAATCTCCCTGGGATCATTAAAGTTTATGCTTATAGAAAGAAACTTCAGATATAACCATGGCTTAGGAAGCTCTGCTGACAAGGCACCGATAGCCAAAATCTAGAGTAGATATCATCAACAAAACATCAGACCTAATGAACATGCTCAAATTTCCATGGTCATGTAAATGATCATTTAATGAAAGTATGACACCAGAAAATCCGTTACCTGTAAAAAGAATCCCTGAATTTTTAGCCTCTGAATATGAGGCAGCTGAACCAAAAACTTGACCAAATTGCTAGAACTGTTGCGAACCCATCTTTGGTCGACATAATTGTCCATAGAAATGCAAACATCAGCCAGATTTAAGGTATTCTCAAAAGTAACATCCTCAAAGTCACCTTCGACATGAAGGAATTGGAGATTTGGTGCATCAATCTCGAGATGGGTGAAACTGAACCCTAACAAAGTCAACTTTTCAAGCAGAGAACAGCAAGCAATTATATTGTGGAACACATCTTGGGCCAGGGTAACATGGTCAATAACAAGGCTTTTCAAATTCCTGAAGCCTTTGAATGTTGGCGGAGGTTTTAGCAAACAACGAAATAACTCTAAACGGATTATATCTTGACAAGAGTACAAATATGAAGGAACTCTGTAGCGCCCCCCTTCCCAAATTACAAGTATGAGCTCTTTGACAGAGTTTCTAGATAGATGAAGAATCCATCGATCGATATCCCAAGTGGCTAGACAGCCAAAGTGAGAAAGCTTAAACTTGTGAATGGGGCCAATGTGACCTAGAAGTACATGATCAACAATGTTCACAAAGGTTACATGTTTTTCTCTTGAGAAACACTGATAATCAAACACAAGATGAGGAAGCATAGCCGATCTGTATCTCCAGTTGCTTGATAAAACACTTGTCCTGACTGCCTCTCTAATGGGCAAATGTGACAAAATTTGTTCTACAACATCACTTGGTAAGTTGCTAATTCTATCAAACTCCATCTCCGATTTCAAACGGGACTTGGGTGCTTTTCTTTGCTCCTGACATATTCAAGTAGGTGAAAACAACACTGATCTAATGCAATGGCCAGTGGTGCAGAGAGGGAAACAACAAAATTCAAATATATATTCTCACAATCCACAAGCAAAATCGATCAAAAACAAAAAACAATCCACAAGCAAAGCAAAACTTCCCGTACTTCATCATTTAGAAAATTTACCAAAAAATAAACTAGAAAATGCTTACTTGAAAGTTTAAACCATATCAACTGACAGAGAATGCAAAATAATGCAAATTGCACGAAATTAGGAAAAATAAAATTAAAAACCTTACCAAATTAAGTAAGCTTTGGTCCAGAAAAATGGAGATAGTGAGCCGAAAAAAAATTGCGTTTTGATCAAGCTAACTTGTAGAGGAGCGCATCGACGAAACTAATGTTAAGAATTTCAGACATTTTGAAGTAACAAGAGGAGCCAATTAGGGTTTGCTAGTTTTTAGAGAGTGAGGGGCTTCAAATCTGATTTGGGAGAATCTGACTCGCCCACACCGCATTACTCTACAGGCTGAAACGGCGGCGTGTTAGCCTACCTAAATTCCGCCTCTGACTACAGGCTTGAAACGGCGCCGTGTGCATATATTATCATGCCGTTCTCCTGGTACACGGGGACCAAGAGATTCTTGGGCAACTGCCATTGGATTAAATCCAACGGTGGATAAGAGTATAAACTCATTTTATAGTTTTTAATGTCAATTTTTTTGGGGAAATAATTTATAGAGTAAAATTTCAAAAAGGAAACTAAAGGACTTTAGCATCAGTAGGCCACCTCAGGCTTCTTTTGACACTTTGGATGTTTTGCGGTCGTGAGTATACTGTGTTGGTCTCTAATTGGGGTTTTCTTTTCCTTGTTTGTTAGGGTCTTTTATTGTTTTGAATTGAAATATCTTATTAGTCCATAACATGTGTGACACTCTTTCCTATCCCAAGTTTGTATGTGTGATTTTCCTAAGAAGGTTTTAATGAGACTAATGTATTCGTACCGGTCTTAGTAAGCCTTTTTGGCTTATGAATGAAATCTTCTTCTCAAATAAAATTCTCTTATATAAAAAATTACGACATGTCTCTAATATGTATTTTGTCGTCCTTATTAATTTTTGCATTTAAACTTTTCCCTTCTTGATCGCACTAGGGATTGGGAAAGATGTCTTTCACACTTGGGACTGTCACATTGTTTTTTATTTTGAATATTTTCTTGTAAATTTTTTTGTTTATCTTCTTCTTTCAAGCACTTTTGAGATGGTGGGTTTGTGTAGCTAGCTAGTGAAGGATTAGATTCTGGATTTGGATGTAAAAATGTAAACCATTTCTCTTTAATGGACTCCATTGTTAATTCGTTTCCCCTTCATTGCCAATCGATTTTTGAAAATTTTATGAAAACGTCCAAGACATGACTTTAATTAAACATTTTTCAGATAAATGACTTAGCATTAGAAATCACTTTTTTTAAAATAAAAAAATTAAAAAAATTCGTGTTTTCTAACTGAACCCAATTATTTTGAACATCTTAGAATCCAACTATTTTTTGCTTTTGTTGTTTGAAAAAGGCTTAGAATCCAACTATTTTTCCTAGTTATTTTGGCAGCTTTTACTCATGAGGTGAGATCCACATGAACATAAGAAGTTGGGGAAAGCAATTAGTTTCTGAAGCATATTCCTTGTAATTCATCTATCCCTGTGAGACTTTGTGCTTCCCTGCAAACTTTGTTTCAATAAGGATGTAAATTGGCAAACAACTTAAATTTAAACAACATATGCCTCAACAAAGATATTGAAAGTAATGATACTTCGTTCAGAAACATAGGCAGGCATAAACCAAAAAGACTTGTGCCAAACAGTCCAAAACCGCATTCATTTCTTCAATCAAGTCCTCTTATCTTAGCTGCCAAAGTTCACTGATGAATCATTGGTCAAGAAGATTATCTCTGAATGCATTGAGGCACGTCCTAACCGGGTTCAACCAGCGCCAACATCAAGGAATTGGAGATTTGGTGCATCAATCTTAAGACGGGCGAAATCGAGCTTTGCCAAAGCCAAACTTTCAAGTAGAGGACAACAAGCAATCAGATTCTGGAACGCATCTTGGGACAGGGTAAGATATCCAAGAGCAAGGCATTTCAAATTCCTGAAGCCTTTGAATAATGTCCGCGGAGGTTTTAGCTCACAATTAACTAACCGCAAAATGGATCATATCTTTACAGGGAAACATATATGAAGGAACACTAAAGGAATATCCCGACTGGCTACACCATCTAAATAAGAAAGCTCAAACTTGTGCATGGGGCCAATGCGACCTTGGAGTACATGATCAACAATGTTCACAAAGCTTATACGCTTTTGAGTTGAGACACACTGATTACCGAACACAAGATGACGAATCGTAGCCCATCTGTATCTCCAGTTTCTTGATAAAATACTTGTCCTCACTGCATCTCTAATGGGCAAATGTGACAAAATTTGTTCTATAACATCACTTGGTAAGTTGCTAATTATGTCCAACTCCATCTACGATTTCGAACTGGACTTGGGTGGTTCGCTTTACTCCTGACACATTCAAACACATCACAGATAATAAGCAAAAAATTTCAAATATCTATTCTGCTATTAACAGCAAAGTTCACAGATATTTCATAATCGAAAACCCTCAGCGATAGCGTTACTAACTGACTGGAATGAAGAAAAAAAAAATGCAAAAACAACTTACCAAATGAGTTTGCTTTTCGAAGTTTGCCCCTTATCATTTTTTGGGTTCATAAGTTGTGTATATATACAATCAAATTGCTAGTATGAATATCCTATAATTATCTCTACAACTAAACGATAAATACAACATAGATACAGCTTATATCTATTGCTGATGTAAATGATAACCACAAGATTCCTCAAGAGATAGAGTCTTCTGTGTATACAAGTTACAACACAATAAATGCCCGAGACCACATTTATAAATTATTTTGTGTACCACATTTTGAATAGAGATAGAGTCCACCGATACAATGAGTCATACCTCTATTAGAATTGCGGTCCACAAAGTGATCTAAAATTATCAAACTCACCCAAATGAGCACACACATGTCTGCGAGAATTGAATAATGAATTCCTCAATCGATATGGACAAGTAAACCACTCAATTCTTAGTCAATTTCCAGTCCATGAATTTGATTCATAAATATTTATTTCATTAGATTTTTCGTATATGAATTTTTGATCATTAACATAGCTCGTGGCCCTTGGGTCAGAATTAAATATAAGGTAAGGCTAGTAGAATATCTATGGCCGGCACTAAATCGGATTAACCTTAAATGTTAAAACAACCCCGGTGAGAACTTGTGTGTGAAAATTGAATAATGAATGTCCCAATCGATAGAGACAGGTGAACCAATCAACCCAATTTAGATGCAAAGTTAGTTAACATAGTCGTCCACTATTGCATTAAAGTATATTGATAATAAATATGAAAGGGATAACAGCCTTAATTCCCAACTAAAATCTTAATTCCCAACTAAAATTTCCTTATTACTTCAAGTTATTTTCAATCACTATAAATCATCCTTCAATTACTATATTGTATGCTTTTGTCACACTGTTCGATTTTGGTCCACTCTGGTGTATATTCTTCACATGTCCCATTTGAATTTAAATTTTTTGATATAGTCCACACGTCACAATTAATTATTTTTTCTTCTCTCTCGGCTTGCCGTTCCAATTAGACTGCTTCCAATGCCTACTTCCAAGAAACAAGTCCAAATCCCAAGTCCCCCCACACCTTTATTATAAACCCACAAACATATCTGCCTCATCAGCTCACAATTCCAAAGCTTCCCATTTCTTTTCTTGTTCGATTTCAATTTTCAACCCATAAACAACATACAACATCTATTTCATCAAAACCATGAGGAGGACCGCTAGCAAAGCAAAGAAGCAAAGCAAGTTGATGTACATTATTTGTGCACCCATTAGAACTCTGACCAAGGCCAGGAACTTTTACATGAGGGGGCTTGAGGATTATGCCGGCAAGGTGGGTTATGGTGGTGGTGTGAGTGGCTACACTGCCTCACAAGTTCCACGCTTGCCCAAGAGCTTCAGTGTCAATTCCTCGAGCTCTAGCGACAATGAGGACGTGAGGCAGCTTCTCAGGACGGCGTCTTCAAGGAAGAGCAATGCAGAGAAAGAAAGCACTGTTAAGTCAGAAGGTAATTCAGATATGCATAGAAGACCAATTGTTAGACAAGCAGCTCAACCCATTGGTAGACAACAAACTATGAATGGGATGGGGATGAGGAGTTACAGTGTTGGGTTGAAGATGGAAAGAATTGATGAGGAGATGGCTTGTTCTTTTGAGGAGGATGAAGCGAATGTGAAGGCTGATTTCTATCCAAGAAGTAGAAGTTATGCTGTCAACAGACGAAGTGGTGGGTTTGCTTAATAAGTGGACGACTTGATTTCTTGATTTTTTTGGTGTGAAAAAATGTATGTATTGAAAAGAGTTGAACCAATTCTCTCTTTAGTCCACTCTATTGTTTACTTTGGTTCCTTCATTACCAATCGATATTTGGAAATTTAGATTAAAAAAATGTCAAAAATTGTTGAGAAAAACATACATACATCACAAATACTTGAATCAAACCCACATTTCTGCAATAAAGTCCTGTGTTAGCTGCAGAAATTGATGCACGATCATGGGTCCAAGTAGATTATCTCAGCACACAATGAGGCACGCCTAAACCGGAGCAACTTTTTTAAAAGTTCAGAATAACCGTTGTAAGAAGCTGGCTTAACAGTCATCCTCTCAAGCACAGGGGAACTTAGAAGCAGAAATCTGATGAAATCTAGTTCATGTTTTCCACCAGACATGCTTATCATTTTCACACGCAGGAGTTCAGTGAATTGGCAATTCTGATTGTCATCTAACCAAGAGTTCACTTCTCCCACAACATCCCGATCTTCGTGGTGAGCCTAAACAAGATATATAACATCAGAATCATGAACTTTCTAGGAAAACAGCTCTGTAATCTACAATATCATGAAGTGCAGTTGTTTTGAGAATGTGAATTCAACAGAGCAACATTGCAAGGGTTGATAGAATGAAACTCACAAAAATTTCAAGTTCTTGTAGGGCAGGGGAGCTTCTCAGAAGGCAAAGAGCTGCTAAAATCTCCTTTAGAGCTTTAAAGCGGATGCTAATAGAAAGAAACTTCAGAAATAGGCATGGTTGAGGCAGCTTTCCTGGCAAGGCACGAACAGCCAAATACTGGAGACGCAAAGATGCATAAAACAGCAGACTCAATGTATAAGCTCCAAATTCCCATAGCAGTGTAAATGGTCTCTAAATTAAGTGTGTGAAACCACAAAAACAAACCACCAATTACCTTTAAAACGTTTCTTCCAAATGTGAGCCTTCGAATATGAGGAAAGTGAACAAAAAATTGGACTAAATTGCTGTCAGGAACCTGTCTCAAGTCATCATTGATGGCCAAAGTAATGGAAACATCAGCAAGATTTAAGGTATTCTCAAGATTAATCATCTCAAAAACACCTTCATCAACCTCAACCTCAAGTAATTCTAGTTTCGGTGCATCCATCTTGAGATGACGTAAACCATCGCAGTTTAGCAAACGCAGTGTCTTAAGCAGAGGACAGCAAACAATCAAATTCTTAAACACATCTTGGGCCAAGGTAACATTCTCCATGCAAAGACTCTGCAAATTTCTAAAGCCTTTGAATGTTGATGGAGGCTGTAGCAAGCACCTATATAAGTCTAAATGAGTCATATCCTGACAGGAGAAGAAACATGAAGGCATCTCGTAGAGATGTCTTTTCCAATTTTCAAGTGTGAACTCTTTGATAGAGTTTCTTGATAGATGAAGAATCCATCGTTCAATATCACTGTTTGCTAGAAAATCATCAGGACGAGAAAGCAGGAAACTGCATATGGGGCCAATGTGAAGTAAGAGTACTTGATCAACGATGTTTGCAAAGGTTGTCTGCTTTACAGTTGATACAGACAGACTATCGAACTTAAGATGTGGAAGCATAGCCGATTTGTATCTCCACTTTCTTGATAAGACACTTGTCCTCACTGCATCCCTAATTGGCAAAAGTAACAAAATTTTTTCTATAACATCACTTGGTAAATTGCTAATTTTATCCGTCTTGATCTCCACTTTCGAACGCAACTTGGGTGGTTCTGTTTGGTTCTGAGAACTGTGACCCTTCTGTGTTTGAGAGAGAGAGAAAGAGAGCAAACAGAGTTTAAATATTTCTACTCTCATAGAATTACCAGATATTATAAGAACAACAATGCATGGACCATCCAAAAAGGCAAACGAATTTTTGTGAAGTGAAATAAAGACTTGAAAGGAAGGTTTTACTAGTTCATTTTAACAGTACAATGAGAACAACACGATCCACAGGCAAAGTCTAAAAAACAAAACAAAAAAACTTACCATTTCACTTCACTTTTTTTTATGAAACGAGCGGACCCGATTAGGGTCTGGATACGCAAGAGAATAGAGAGAGAGAGAGAGAGAGAGAGAGAGAGAGAGAGAGAGACGTAAATAGTAGGCGATAACTAATTAATTTAGTTATTTGACTACTCTAAACTTCTTTTTTAGGTCAATAACTACTCTAAACTTGAAAGCTAAGAATTGAATCAATGTGATTGTTGAAGATAAGGCTATGCACCAAATAAATTTTATATATGAACCCACAGAACCCAAGTGTCAATTGAACTCTTATTTTATATAGAAAAATGTAGTCTTAAATTGAACTGAACTAAAATCATCGTACACATTGTTATCTACTATTTAATCAGCATTGCTTCGCCAAGGGCCCAACCTTCCAAATCAAAGCCAATTTGAACGCAGATTTAGTCAACTTAGTCATGCATTCGTACATTAATTACTAGTGATGTAATGTATGGATCCCTATTCTATGACTTCTAATTATTATAAGAAATTATTTGTTTAGAGAAAAATAATAATTATATTCATAAATTAGGCATAAAAATAATCAGCTACAAGAGTAAATAAAAATTATTCACCCCAATGAAAAATGCGTGCGCGAACAATAAACTCACATATCTTTCGATTGATCTAATAGAAAAAAGAGGTTTTTTGTTTTTACCTAATAGAAAATAATGTTGTGGTATAAAAGAAAAGAAAAGGGGTAAATAAAACAAAAGATTGGTAAACTTTGTATGACCCGCTCAAATACGCCCCAACTTTGGGGAAGGGTAATCACCCTCCTATTATTAACTTAATATATTATATGCTTTTTGTCACGTTGTTTTTGGTTGTCTTATAAATTAATATTTACATGTTTGAACATTTCACATGTCCTATATGATTTTAGAATTTTGATAAAGTCCAAAGTCCACACGTCGCAATTAATGATTTTTCTTTTCTTCTCTCTCGGCTTGCCGTCCGATTTAGACTGCTTCTGATGTTACTTCCAAGAAACAAGTCCAAAACCCAGATCTCCCACACCTTTATAAACCCACAAACATCACCAACTCTCCCTCATCGGCTCACAGTTTCAACATTTTTCAAATCCCCTTTCTTGTTCTAAAATCTCTGTCCAAACCCAATTTTCAAACCGTTCACATCAAATTTTTTACAATGAGGAGCAACGCAAAGAAGCAAAGCAAGTTGATGTACATTATTTGTGCACCCATTAGGACCTTGACCAAGGCCAGGAACTTCTACATGAGGAGCTTGGAAGATTGTGCTAGCAAGGTAGGTTATGGTGGTGGTGGAGTGAGTGGCTACACTGCCTCTCAAGTTCCACGCTTGCCCAAGAGCTTCAGTGTCAATTCCTCGAGCTCTAGCGACGATGAGGACTTGAGGCAGCTTCTCAGAACGGCGTCGTCAAAGAATTCAAAGAGGAATGATGTAGAGAAGAAGAACAATAATAAGCCTGCAGGTGATTTAGATGTGCATAAAAGACCAGTTGTGAGACAACCAGCTCAACCCATTGCGAGACAACAAACTATGAATGGGATGGGGATGAGGAGTTATAGTGTAGGGTTGAAGATGGGAAGGATTGATGAGGAGATGGCTTGTTCTTTTGAGGAAGATGAAGTGAATGTTGTGAAGACTGATTTGTACCCAAGAAGTAGAAGTTATGCTGTCAAGAGAAGAAATGGTGGGTTTGCATAATTGACGAAAGTGGTAAAGTGAAAAAATTTCAGTTTCAAAAGTAAAGTGAGATTGAGTGCTCGGTTCAAGAAGTAAAATAGTAATTAAGCTTAATTAATATTAGTGAAGGATTTGATTTTTTGATTCTTTGGATGTAAAAAAAAAAAAAAAAAAAAATGGTATAAGAGTTGAGTTGGTGAAAGAGATTGAACCATTTCTCAATTCCTTTGTCAACTCCCATTTTTAATTTTGTTTCTTTCATAGGCAATTGATATTTGGAAATTTAATTGAAGTTTGCTCCTTCATTTTCTTTCAATTTTATTATATCAGATTGATTTGCCAGGATGGAAAGTCAATAATTATCTTTTGGTTTTACTGGGCTGACCCATAGGCCCTGAGCTGGACCCAAAAATTAAGGCCCAAATTAAACCAGCCCTCTTTGTCCAAACCATAATAACTCCGGACATTTTTGGATTTGATGCACCAACATTGTATTGAAAACCCAAAATTGAAACTAAATCCAAGATGCAACAAAAGTTCTAACAAATCAGCGACTGTTTTAAGCTCTATCCCCATAAAATAAAATATGCATCTGCAACGTGCTTCATTGCCTGCACTCTCTCACTGGAGAAAGACTTCCATGAAACGGAGATATCACTATTTTTCTACTCTCAGCTAATAATGCTACTCACAAGGTAAATATGTTACCTTTGTTGGCCAAATCTGTCCATTTGTTACATGTCCTGTTGCAAATTAATGGGTTCATTTTATCTTTCAATACTATGATTGTTACTTTGGTTTTTTTTTTGGGTCTATAGGCCCATTGAAACGAAACTTTTCAGATTACACTGGGACAATATTCCCCCCAGACTTCAATTATTTTGCTTTCGGTGTCACTTATAAATTTAGCACCAAAAAATTCATGGTCAGAAATGCTCTCAAGCCTCTATCCGTATTCAATGTATATTGTACACCTCTCATACATACAGAAACATAAATACAAACTATAAAGGAATGCTGAACTACTCAAACTTACGGTAGAATCAATTGGGGACAATTTAATACCATTTTTTTGGCCTAGCTGAAATATCCCATATTGGAATGTTACAAGAAATTCGGTGTTAATCAGCATTATATATAGGGAGATTCACTAATATACCCAATATAGGAGCCCAAATTATAAAAAAACCCTATATGAAATGGAATTTATAAACACACCCAAAGCCCATTTATAACATAACAAAAAAGCTTTTAACTTCTTTTAAATTACAAAATTGCCATTGATTTCTTAAAACAAACCCAACCCAAAATTTCATAAAAAAGCCCAAAACACTCAATAGGGTATCAAAGTAATTTAATAATTAAATTTAAATTTAATAGTACCATTTGTCATTTTTTGGGTTTTTTTTGGGTATGTTTATAAAAATGAAATGATGTAGGGTTTATTTATAGTTTTAGTGCTAAGAATGGGTATATTACTAAATCTCTCTTATATATGGGGGCGGATCCATGACACCATATTTTTTACATAAATTTTGACACAAGTTTTAAACCCTTGGATTAGCCCACTATCAATGGATGTGATTAAACAAATTAATTATTTTATTCTTTAAATAAGCAATTATAGAAAATAAATTTTAATTGACCTTTGTATTTCCTCTCTCTTCATTTAATTAAGTTTTGATGGCTTATTGACACAAGACACTTCTTCTTCTTGATCTCTTCTTCTCTTCTTCGTGCCTTCTCATTAACACCACCTCCCTTCTTCTTCTTCTTGCTTTTTCAGTTACCCTGAAATCACAAACTAGCCATCCAATTTCAGCAAACCATTCCATCTAAATCACAAACTAGCAATTAATCCTTAGAGTTAAGATTTATATTGATAAATTATTGTTTTAATAATTTACACAAGAAGTTGCAGAGCATATCACATTAATCTAGCCAATTTGTGGGTGTTGGAGAGAAACTGGGTCTTTGTTTCTGTTCAATCAAAATTACTTCAGAGCTAGGGAAGTAACGCGCCTTAGTTTTCATTCTCTTTATTTCCTATTTGGCTCTTGCCCTTCGTCCCTCTACATCTCTGTGTCTCTCTCTTCTTCTCCATTCATTCATCTCCCCTCTACATCTTACAATTTCCCACCAATAATTATTACATTTTTTTAAAATAATGTTATATTTTAATCTATAGTATCGTACAATCTAGTTTCTTCTTCTTAATATAAAGTTAAAGCTAAAACATAGCATAGCATAGCATAAGAGAAACTCGAAGAAAATCCAAATTAGTAGAGAAAATATGGAAGATTTCTTTGTTCCAACAGACCATATAGAAGATACAGGTACTTTTTTTTCCCTCTCATTTGCTTCAAGCGGATGATGAATGTAGAAGAAAGAGAGAGCAAAAAGTGTAGAGGCTGCGAAGGAACAAAAGAGTAGAGTGGGAAAGGGAAAGAACTAAATGAAGATAATTAATGTGAGAGAGAGAGAGAGAGAGAGAATGAATTCTTAATTAATATGGTATCAGAATTTTAATCCCAATGTATAAATATTAATTGAAGACAATTTATTGTTTTGAGAAATGAAAGTACATCTCAACCATTAAAAGTTCATAGATCTAAAGGTCTAAAACTTGTGTCAAAACTTGTGTCAAATATATGGTGCCACGGATCTACCCCCTATATATATATATATATATTCGTAACGACATACTCTCTTTTTTGAATCTCTTTCAACATAAAGAAAAATATCACTATATTAATTGTTTGTTCATCTTTATTCATTAATTAAGTTGGTATTGCAGGGGATCAATCACGGGTTTGGTATCAAAGTTCTGGGTTAATTTGATTCACAACAAGAAGAAAAAAAATATAAAGACAAAAACAAGAACGATGACCCAGGGTCCTTGTGAGAATTTATGGCCTCGAAAAATGTTAGAAACTCCAAAGAATCTTCTCCAAAAAAACAAAACTCCAAAGAAAAAGATATCAAACAAAACAGTACAAAAAAATGAAGATATTTTCGTTTTCTTCTTTCTTCAATTATAACCAAGAGAGAGGTAGGTTCGGGAAGGGGAAGGTGGTGAAGCTCAATGATAGAAGGGCAAAACAGGAAAACAACATATTGTTTGAACGTGAATTAATATTCTCTGTTGTTATTATGATATATTAGCCTCTTGGCACACACTCACGCATGTGCCAATTGGTTTTTTTTATTTTATTTTATTTTATTTTTAGAATTAAGAAAAAATAACATGGGTAGTTATATTCTATAAAAGTAAGACCAATTATCTGATTTTATTTTAATTTTTAATTTTAATTTTTTAAATATGAAAAATATGAATTTATCATATTATCCTCATTCAATTAATAATTTCAATTCTTTATGTTTGAATTAACCAATAACATTTTATGATATTTTGAATGTTTTCACTATTCTCCGTATTTTACTTTATATATATAAATATACATAAATTATTGGATGGTTAACGATGATTAATTCGGTTAATACATGTCAGACATATAAATAGGTGGTGAGGTGTGAAGTATATGTGTATTTTCTAGCATATCCTAATTAAGTTAATATATTTGAATTAGTCCCTAGTGGCAGACCCAAGCTCAGTACTCTAGAAAATTATTATTGTGTGGTATTAAAATAAGGTCATGTTGTGTTATAATATAAATGGACGATAAAACTGATATTTCTCGTTTTTATAGTATAATATTCGCTTATATTATAACAAATGTATAAATCCAATTATAACACATGACACGTGTTAATTAGTTGGCTCGATCATCATTATGTCGCTACCTCACCGACTGCCGTTTGACTTGGAAGATGAGATGATTATCCGAATGAATAACCTGTATTTTTTGGGCTACTATAATGACTTAGTGGGAAGAGTGATTATGTGTGGCTTGATCCACTATAAATGTTTGGGATCGAGGATAACGTTGATGAGCTTATCCTCTGCGTATCCTATGCAATCAATATGATAACGATGTGGATCGCGGATATAACGTTGACAAGCTAATCCTCTGCTCAATCAATATATTATTGCTTGATAACTTCTTGCAGTTAGGTGTATGAAAAGTTTGTGTTTCACATGTCCTTTTCTGTCACTTCTGCTGTAGAGCTGTAGAAGTGGAGAAAGACCAAGTAATATTCAATTGGCCTACGTCCATCACATGTTTGTATAGACGTGTACGTAAAACACGTTATTATTGTCAACGTGGTCTAATTCAGTGAAAAAGATTATTGACTTGTAGTTTATAAATTAATAGTTTCAAATTTAGTTTATAAGTTCCACACCCATCATCTATTATTAGAGAGAAACTCTTAATTAACAGGAGTAACACATTTTGTTATTCCCAACTAATAAAACAACAACACGTAAAATATTTTTTCTATTTATTATTATATTATTGTTCGGAAATAAAACAAAAGAAAGTTTTTCCTTTTCTTGTTATTGGGACTGATGGGAAGTGACAATTATCCTATAGATAATTGAATACAGAGGCATATGCGGGGTCCGTGACTTTTGTCGTTTTATCATCATGCGTTTGTGGACAATAGACTTTAGGTTTGCTCTTATGATAGACATCGAACCAAATCGGATATAACATGCAAGTACATTTTACCATAAATAAACCATTTGGGCTATGCGATACATGACCGTTGGTCCAGATCCTTTAAACGGTACGTGCGCTTTTAGATTGCATAGTTTCCTATAGAAGAGAGGAAACAAGAAAGGACAATGACCAAAACCAACAGAAACCTCACGATCTGCATTAGATTATTGTGGCTCTGGAAAAAATCACTTTTGCTGCTACTGCTGCTTCCCAACTTTTGTTCAACGCAGACAATCATCAAGAACTTGCCAGGATTTTCTGGTGACCTCCCATTCAAGCTTGAAACTGGGTAAGTTTCATTTTTGGTTAATGTATTTATGTGTGTACTGAGTTTGTGTTGATGAGCATGAAATAATTAAGTGGGTAATTAAGGAAAAATGATTGGGATGAGTATAGTGATAATGGATTTTAATTGTTAATTTGTGTCTAAAATCTCTCAAGGTACGTTGGGGTAGGCAATAAGGATGAGCTGCAGCTGTTCTACTATTTCATTGAGTCAGAGAGGAGCCCAGAAAATGATCCTCTGCTGCTTTGGATCACCGGAGGCCCTCGATGCTCCGGTTTTTCTGGCCTCGTTTATGAAAATGGTTTGCATCTCATTCTACACTATTAATTTAAGGATAATACTAAGCTTACTATATTTTTATATTATATCGTGCTCCACCTCTACGAAGTTCACCAATATAATGGGGCCACCTCTATGAAACAAATCTGAATTTGGGCTAATCCGATATGATTTGATATAAATATATTTATTTTATGTACTAAATATATATGCACACAAGTAACAATATCATGAACTTCTTGTAAATAATACAAATATTTTTCAACTTATTATGTAAAATAATTCAGATTGGGTTATTAGATCCAATATCCGATAATCCAACAAATCATATATGGATCTAGTTGTGAATGATCTGTCGAGTTATTGAATCAGATCAGGTCGTAATTTTTTCTTATCTGATCAGATCAAATATAAGGTGATCTGATCCATATCCGACCCGTTTAGAGCTTGTTACAAATCAATTTGATCTGGTCCACGAATGCATGTCGGTTGGCGTGATATGGAAAGATGGCCCTGATAAGTAAGTTGTTCAATGGTTACAGGTCCAATACCTTTCAGTCTTACAAGTATAACAAAGGATCCAGTAGAACTTGTTCTGAATCCATACTCACGGACAAAGGTCTGGAATTTCCAACTCCGGTTTTGGTTATGTGACCGATTGATGCATATGGTTATGCCCAGGGCCAGTCTTGAGATTTGGAGGGTCCTGTGCGAAACGTAAACTAGAGTCCTCACATAGTCTAATATGAAAATACAAAAAATAAAAATAAAAAATGCCATAACTTAATATCATAAATTAAATTATTTTTTTAATAACTAAAATTCATCAATTAGCATGTAATAACAATCACAAATTAGATTCATAAATTTTTTTAATATTATCATTTGATAAAGTTAAATATTAGTATGTTCGATAAAAAGATGAGAGTTCAAGAGAAAGAAGAATGACATGAATTTCTGTTTTGGTTTTGTTTTGAGTGGAAGAAATTACTTTTTTTTTTTGGCTTTTAGGAGAAAGCTTATGGGTGTGATATATAATGTGCACTAGAAACCAACTCCACCAAATACAATTTTGTGTCAAATTGTTGCACGCTGGAGTATATATAGAGTTTTATAATATTAATATATAATATAAAGTAAAAAAATTTCGGGGCCCTTGTGCGGTGGCGCCACTTGCACCATATGGCAGGGCCACCCATGGTTATGCCTCTGATAATGGCAATATTGAAAGTGCATGCCTATTTTTGTTTTCAGCTAGCTTCACTTTTTCGATATAAAATTAAATGTCAAACTAAAAGTTATGCATGTTAAAAATTCTTGGTTCCGCCCTTATTAGGAATTATTTTGAGCAGTATCCATAAATGACATGTGATTGCTTGACTATCCATCTTAACCATACCATCCTCGATTCGCTCTATTGCCATTCATGGCTTGACTTGACATGATAAGTAAGTTGTTCATTCATTACAGGTCCAATATCTTTCAGTTTTACAAGTATAACAAAGCATCCAGTAGAACTTGTTTTGAATCCATACTCATGGACAAAGGTCTGGAATTTCCATCTTTTCTTTTACTTTCCTATATATGAATGGTCAAGTGACCAATTGATGCATATGCATGGTTATGCTTCTGAAGATATATTGAAAGTGCACATTTTCTTTTTAGTTAGCAAACATAATATTTCTAGACGCTCCTGCCGGGACTGGTTTCTCTTACTCCACGGCAACAGATGGGTACAACACTAGTGACACTATTCATGCAAAACGAGCTTCTGAGTTTGTTCAAAGGGTGAGCCAAGTTTGCACAAAGAATTTGTTCAATAAAATTCATAATTTGGGAACTCTTACGTTGACAACTTTCATCACAAAACTTAATTTTACACTACTAATGGTTTTCTGATTTCCGTATCACCCCGCTTCCTTATATTCTTCTGGTCACACTACATATATGGCCAGGGGAAAAAACATGAGAATACTAATATGAAGTGTTCTTGCTCCTTAAAAACATGTCCAGTGGCTTTTGACTCATCCCAAGTTTCTTGCAAATCCACTCTACATTTCTGGTGATTCGTACTCAGGCAAGATTGTTCCGATCATTGTTCAAGAGATAACTAATGGTAATTTACGTACAAATACATTGCTGGTGATTCATACTCAGTCAGGATTGTTCTGAGCATTGTGGAGGGTTGTTGTTGTTGTAGGTATTGAAGCTGGAATCTCGCCATTTTTGAATCTCAAAGTATGATATTCCAAATAGATACCTTATTATACTTTCACATTCATGACATTTTTTTCAGAAGTTAGTTTTTCTTTTCAATGCATCCAGGGATACGTAATTGGCAATCCAGTTACAAATCGAAAAGAGGAATTGAATTCTCAAATTGAATACGCTCATCGCATGGCGCTTATATCAACTAGAATGTTTGAGGTATGTACGTCGCACTTGGTTTCGTTTCGGAGATCAACTTTTCCTTGTAACTTCTGAGCAAAATCATCTAATTAAATTCTGAATATAACTTATAATTATATGAAAAACAAAGGAAGCTCTTGATTGGTATTACTTACGCAAGATGAACTTTTTGCTCAACTTTTTCATACTTCAATAAGATAATAGATTTAAACTTCGAATTTTACTATTGCTTAATTTATGTTTTTGAAGTCGACCAAAAGGAATTGCAAGGGGGATTACATAGATGTGGATCCAAACAATGAGCTTTGCCTCAACAATCTTCAAGCTTTCGAGGAGGTATGAGCTAGGTAGATGTTCAATACGGTCCAACAAGCATGTTTTATCTTAGATTTTAAAACGGTGTGCTTATTGCATTTACAGTGCATTAGCAGAATTGAGGAGAGTCATATATTGGCACCTGCATGCGCTCCTGGTGTCGATGATGACAATTTCTTAAGCTTTCCCTTTCCTGAACAACTGTGTCGGGTAATGTTGCTTCTCTCAAATTCAATGTATATTGACAAGGGTGGATTGCCTTTTGCATCCTTATATAGTTTGAATGAAATTTCACTTTAGTCCATGGCCTTTGAAAAATGCTGAAATAATGTTATAAAGCTATGTAATTGGTTAGAAATATTGGAAAAAACGAGCTATATATTGGCCCCTTCAACAAGGTCAGCTTCGTCACTGACCTCCAATGCCATTAGACTATGTGAGAATATGAAGAAATGTCCCATATTGGAATGTTTAAAAACCTAGCAAGAATTTATAAGACATTGAACTAACCTAAAATTTACATGTTTTATTACTAGTAGCTGATATATGTGAATTTTTTTTGTTTTGTAGGTAGAGAGGCAACGGTACTCTGAGGTTTGGGCAAATGATATGAATGTTCGTAAAGCTCTCAACATTCGGGAGGTATACATATATACATATATATGTTGCTTGCAATTAAACAGAATATATAACACTTGCGACTATTCGATTAAAAACAAGACACCCAAAACCCATCATTACACACACTCAAAACCCATTTATAAACACACCCAAAAAGTTGACTTTTGGGTGTGTTTTTATGTTTAAATAGTGCTTGGATTTTTTTATAAATACATGTCTATAATTGGGTTTATTTATAAATTTGTATAAAAACAATGACAATTTTACTGTGAGAAATAGGGAACAAAAGCTGAATGGGCAAGATGCAATAGCTCAATACCTTACATAAAAGATGTCCGAAGTAGTGTTGACTATCATCGAAACCTCATGCAAAAATCCCTCCGGGCTTTTGTCTACAGGTAAGATTATAATAATATATTGTTTATATCATTCTTATGAACTTTTAAGGGTCCACAGCAGTTTTTCTTTTGTAAAAATATGGTATGAGAAATTATGAATTATATTGGGAAAGGGATGGAAACTTTGATGGAAAACGATGAGAAAAATATGGGGAAAAGCAGAGGTGAAGAAAAATGCATGAAAGAAAAACTATATTGAAATTGTTTTTAGTTTTTGGTTTTTTTTATACAAGCGATAATCTATTTTAAACTAATCTAAACTAGGATTAGGGATTCGAACTCGGATGCAAAGTGGGGAGCATATCCGCTCTAGTTTTTAATTTTGATTCTTTGTATCATTGCATATACATATATCATTTTATTTTCCTATATCCTCTTATTTTTCCTTCTTGACTTTTGAGAACTAACAATCTCATTTTTATTGTTAATTAGAATATTATAGAATTGATTTATCTTGTAGTTGCATAAATAAAACCCACAACAACCAAATGCATCAACAAATCTACCTTTTGCCACCAAATAACTACAAGTTTTATGGCATCTTCTGCAGTGGGGATCATGACTTGAAAGTTCCCCATATAAGTACAGAGGCATGGATAGAATCCTTGAGCTTGCCAATTGTTGATGACTGGAAACCATGGTTCTCTAACAATCAAGTTGCAGGGTTTGTATTATCTATCTCTGTTTTATTGTTTTCATGATATATTTTTTTCTTCAGATTTACGTTTTTTCCGGTTAGAGAGTTTCACTATCCAATTAACTTCTATTTTTGTTCTCTTTATTCATTGTTACAGATACAGTGTTGGCTATTCGAATGGAGAGTATCATTTGACATATGCCACTATAAAGGCATGATATATATAGAACGTCCTTCTCTTACATTAATATAATCTTGGGAAATGCTCTCAAATTGCACTATTATATTGTTGCCGATGTTCCCCATTATACCGAGAACATTGATACAGTAATGGATACTTGCCTAACAAATAACTCCATTTGCAATTGTGCAGGGAGGAGGTCATACAGGTCCCGAGTTTAATCCCAGAGAAAGCTTTGATATGATCGAAAGGTGGCTAGAGCATTCTCTTTAATCTACTCTACTACTATGTCAAGATTAATATAAAGGATGTTGAATTATGAGTACTCTCTTTTAATTAAGTCGAACAATAAACATATATGCGGGGTCTGTATTGCTCCAAAGGGTGAATAAGTCTACTATGTAATAGACCTGTCAATGGATCAGATTTTGATCTAAATTCGATCTGAATTTGGTGTAATTAATAGGAGATGGATTGGACTTCTCAATCCAATTACAATCCGAATCCAGATAGATTTGATTATAAGTAGATCCGATTATGAATTATAGTGATCCGATCTGATAATAATCTAATCTGACTCAATATGAAGTACAACGTAGTTTTTCTATGCTTTATATTAATATTTTATATGTGTAAATGAATAATTTTAGTTTTATATGCACTAAGAATACACTTAAAACTAATTTTTATGATTTAAAAAAAATCAAAATTTGATATAAAAAGTAGATAAATACATTAAAATAACAAGGTTATTAATGAAATTTTGATTTTTTTTGTACATCTCAAAATAAATCTGATAATAATCTGATCCGAATTCGATGCGTAACGGATATGGATTGATAGGTGTAATTTGTCCAAATTCGATAATTTGATTATAAATGAATTTAGATTTGAATTGCGGTATATATGATCTGAATTCGATTCGTTTACAGATATACTTTGTAGTAGTTAAATTACTTTTGTTGATCTCATCGGTGAGACCGACACCGAGCCGACAATCCATTCAATTGGCTACACTCGATTTATCGAGAAATTTGTCCAGTTTGGTTAGTTTCGACTATATTTAAAAATTAATACATGATAATTTTCTTAAAAAAGGGTGATGAGTTTTCTTCCCTAGAAAGGGTGATGAGTTTTCAGCACTTTGTTTTGATTGAGTCAAGTAATAAATATTTGTAATTCTTTCATTTTACCCTAATTTTAACTCTGTTTTTCACTTACATTTTTTTCGGCTAAGCAAATAAGCAATTTACTTTGGGGTCATCAAATTATGAAGTTGCTGCCAATATATAAGTCTCATCTCAAGCATATGTTCATTGTATAGCCAATTACTATTAATAAAGTATAAACTAATGCAACTAGGATTTATTTATTTATTTAAAAGAGTAGTATAGCCGCGCGGCTTTACAACGTTTTTTAATAAATGAATAGCCGATCGGCTATACTTGTTTTACACGTGGCTCTAGGCCCCTTTTGTTAAATCGTTAAGCCGCACGGCTTTACTACGGTTTCTTTTAAAAATAAAATAAAATAGTTTAGGCCCACGGCTATACTTATTTCAACACGTGGGCGCCTAGTGCTAGGATGGGCTGTTTCTGTTTTCTATAAATAGAGATTTTTTATTTTTTTTAAAAAATACTATTTAGTGTTTTGGGCTGTTTTTATGCTCTATTAAGTGTTTTGGGCTTTTATATAAGCATTTAAGGTTGAGTTTGTTTTAAGAAATCAATGGTAGTTTTGTAATTTAAGAGAAGTTAAAATCCTTTTTGTTATATTGTAAATGAGTTTTGGGTGTGTTTCCAAAGTCCATTTCATAGGGTGTTTCTATAATTTGGGCTCTTATATTGGGTATAATAGTAAATCTCCCTTTTAATTATCAAGTATGCGCCCTAACCATTACAACATTTTCAAAAGATAAATTAGGAAATAACAAAACATTACGAAAGTAGTAATTAAGCAGAGATGAACTGCAGGTTGGTTGGTTAGTTGATTGGTCTAATATGAAAAATGGTTCAATGATAAATTGTTTTAATTATTCTAGGTCCAATACATTTCAGATTTCAGAATTGTTTTAACCCAGTGACATAGGAAAAAGAGGATGGAAATTCGAGAATTTTGCTCATCAAATGGCGCTTATATCAGATAGAATGTATGAGGTATATATTGCTCCTGGTTTTGTTTTGGGTGCTAAACTTTTTCTTAATTAATTTCCAAGTGTGAAGAATTGTGAATCAAATGTAATTGCCTCATGTTCTATGCAAATTGGCCAACATTAGCTAGTTAAATTAATAATTACGTAAGTTTATTAGCTAAACTGCAGCTTTGAAAATTCAATGATTGCTTTATGTTTTCGAAGTGTCGTAAAGCTCTCAACATTCGGGCAGTGGCGGAGGGACATGGGGACCAGTTTATAATTGAATACAAAGGCGGGTCCCTAAATTCTGTCTTTTTATCATAAAGGTCGTTTTCCTCACATTTATATATTTTGAAGTGGTACATCAAAGAAAATATATATTTTTTGAAGTGGCGAATCTGCTTTTGGAGTTATGCAAAAGATTGGTAGACATGGAAATTAAACGGCACATGCGCTTTTAGAGTAGATAGAAGAAAGGAAAATAGAAAGACAATGACCAGATCCAACAGAGGCTTCACGATCTGCATTAGATTATGGTGGCTGTGGAGAAAAGCACTTTTGCTGCTACTGCTGCTTCCCAACTTTTGTTCAACGCAGACAATCATCAAGAACTTGCCAGGATTTTCTGGTGACCTCCCGTTCAAGCTTGAAACTGGGTAAGTCTTATTTTTGGCTAAGACTTACTAGTTTGTGTTGATGAGTATGAAATAATTTGTGTCCAAATTCTCTCAAGGTACGTGGGGGTAGGCAATAAGGATGAGCTGCAACTGTTCTATTACTTCACTGAGTCAGAAAGGAGCCCAGAAAATGATCCTCTGCTGCTTTGGATCACCGGAGGCCCTCGATGCTCTGCTTTTTCTGGCCTCGTTTATGAAATTGGTTTGTATCTCCTTCTATTCTATATATTAATTTAAGGCTTATTTTATGATATATGTATTCGAGTCTCACTTTGCCCCCTAAAACTTATTTTGTCTCACTTTACTATATTTTTCACACCGTTTTCTCACTTTAGCCCAATTTTCACAAAATATTAATTAAAAATTTTAAAAATTATTTTTAAATCAAATTAAATATTAAAAACATTAATATATTTCTAATGTTTGGTTCGCTGGTAACACATAGAGAGAGAGAAGAGGAGGACGGGAGCATAGGGGGAGATGGAGGGGAAAGGAAGGGGAGGGGACAGAGGTAGGGATGCATTTTTTGTTTCTGTTTTAAGCTTCTTTTTTCTTAAAAATTAATTTTCTTTACAATTTTTTTTTATGGATCTCAAGTTTCAAATTATTTTTAATATATTGTTTTAAATATTTAATCTGATTTAAATTTTAAAATTTAAAATTTAAAATTTAAAACTAATATTTTTTTTAAAATGGGGTAAAGTGAGATAAGTATGTGTGAAAATGGGATAAAGTGAGACAAAATGAGTTTCAGGGAGCAAAGTGAGACTCAAATACATTTTCAGGTGTATATAAATAAGCCTTAATTTAATAAAGTGGAATTCTATTTTCTATTTTCAGAAATTTTCAGTTTTACCCCCATTATTTATTTATTTTCGCAAACAAGATTTTTCGTAAATGAAGCTTCACTTTTTCAATATAAAATTAAATGTCAAACTAAAAGTTATCTATGTCTAAAAATTCTTGGTTCCGCCCTTATTATGAATTATTTTGAGCAGTATCCATAAATGACATGATTGCTTGAATGTACATCTTAACAGGGATGGGATGGGAATGGTACACCATCCCCGATTCGCTCCATTGCCATTCATAGCTTGACTTGACATGATAAGTAAGTTGTTCATTCATTACAGGTCCAATAGCTTTCAGTTTTACAAGTATAACAAAGGATCCAGTAGTACTTGTTCTGAATCCATACTCATGGACAAAGGTCTGGAATTTCCGTCTCTTGCTTTTACTTTCCTATATATGAATGGTCATGTGACCGATTGATGCATATGGTTATGCTTCTGAAGATATATTGAAAGTGCGCATTTTACTTTTTAGTTAGCAAACATAATATTTCTAGACGCTCCTGCCGGTACTGGTTTCTCATACTCCACAACAACAGATGGCTACAACACTAGTGACACCATTCATGCAAAACGAGCTTCTGAGTTTCTTCAAAAGGTGAGCCAAGTTTGCACAAAGAATTTGTTCAATAATTTGGGTATTTATATTGGTTGCCAATTTTCATCAATACATGAACCTTTCTTGTTTCTTAAAATCATGTCCAGTGGCTTTCGACTCATCGCAAGTTTCTTGCAAATCCACTCTACATTTCCGGTGATTCGTACTCGGGCAAGATTGTTCCTATCATTGTTCAAGAGATAGTTAATGGTAATTTACATATGCGTTGCTGGTGATTCATACTCAGGCAATATATTGTTTGGAGTACTGGGTAGGGATGTTTTTGTATATCTAATCTTGTTTTTGGTTGTAGGTATTGAAGCCGGAACAGAGCCACCTTTGAATCTCAAAGTACTTAAATTGACATCTCAATTAGATACTTATTATACTTTCAAATTTCATGACATTGTCCCAGAATTTAGTTTTCTTTTCAATGGATTCAGGGATACGTAATCGGCGATCCAGTTACAAATGAAAAAGAGGATTTGAATTCGAGAATTGAATTTGCTCATCGCATGGCGCTTATATCAAATAGAATGTACGAGGTATATACATCGCTCTTGGTTTTGTTTCATAGTAACTTCTGAGGAAATCATCTAAATTTTTAATACAACTTATGATTATGAAGAACAAAGGAAGGTCTTGATTGATACTAATTATGCAAGTTGTACATTTTAAGGTTTGTGGGTATTATGGCCAACTATATATATCAACTTTTTCATACTTGAATAAGATAGTAGATTTAAAATTTAAATATCGCTATTGCTTTATTTTTTTTTTAAGTCCACCAAAAAGAATTGCAAGGGGGAATACGTAGACGTGGATCCGAACAATCAACTCTGCCTCAACAATCTTCAATCTTTCAAGGAGGTATGAGTTAGGCTGATGTAGTCATTATTCAAATGTAGACAAGATGCTTGGTTTTTTCTTTTTTTTGGAACCATTTCTCGTTTTATGCAGTCATCCTTTTGCATGGTCGTGTTAATCTTCTGTGTAGCGTTCCAATTTTATCAGATGTTCCTGAAGGAACACAAGATGCGCATGGTTTTATCCTCGATTTTAAAATGGTTTGTTTAATGTATTTGCAGTGCACTAGCAGACTTGACGATAGTCATATATTGGCACCTGCATGCGTTCCTCGTATCAATCACAACGAACAAACCACATTTGGGTGGGACTGGGACTCTGTTGATGATAATTTCTTAAGCTTTCCCTTTCCTGAAAGTTTGTGTCGGGTAATGTCGCTTCTCTCAAATTCAATATATATTGGTTTGCATTTTCCATCCTTGTATAGTTTACACTATAGTCCATCCATGGTCTTAAAAAAAAAAAGTTTAAATCTTATAAAGCTTTGTAATTGGATAGAAATACAGATCAGCACCGCAATTGATATTAAATGTCACTAGACCAAATATTCATCATTTAAATTTGACGTTTCACGCGTCAGATATTGATTTTGTGATAAATTTTGGTTCTGCAGGCGGATAGGCTTCGGTATTCTGTGGTTGGGCAAATGATATGAAAGTTCGTAAAGCTCTTAACATTCGGGAGGTATGTTTTCTATAACACTTGCGACCAGTTGACTTTAAAATGTACATATTAATTTAACAATTTTACAATGACAAATAGGGAACAAAAGGTGAATGGGTAAGAGGCATAGAACAACACCTTACATAAAAGATGTTCAACGTGCTGTTGAATATCATCGAATCTTAGCCAAAATCCCTTCGGGCTTTTGTCTACAGGTAAGATTAAATATAGAAAAAAGTCATTTTAGTTTACGTTGTAGTTTGCCGATTTTACCATTTTGATTTTTGTAGTTTTTTATGTCAATTTTATCTCCATAGGTGTAAATTCAAGCAATTTGAAAACACGTTACATATTTTGTCAAAATCCTTTAAATACAATGAATTCATGAATTATCTACCTTTTATTACCAAATAATTACAAGTTTTATGACATCTTCTGCAGTGGGGATCATGACTTGAGCGTTCCCTATGTAAGTACAGAAGCATGGATAGAATCCCTGAGCTTGCCAATTGATGATGATTGGAAACCATGGTTCTCTAACAATCAAGTTGCAGGGTTTGTATTATAGTTTTTATTGTTTTCGTGATTTTTATTTCAGATTTACTTTTTATTATTTTTTATTTTTTCTCCGGTTACAAGTTCACTATCCAAACTAACTTCTACTTTTGTTATCTTTAATCATTTTTGAATTTTACAGATACACTGTTAGGTATTCGAATGGAGAGTATCATCTGACATATGCGACTATAAAGGCAAGCAAATGTTCTTTATCTTACATTAGCATAATCAAGGGAATTGCTTTCAAATAACACTATTATTGTAGAAGTACTATCAATGCCGTCGATATATATATATATATATATCATAAACAAAGTATCAATATTCTGTCGATATTTTCAATATTGCAATTTGCTACAATAATAGTGCAATTCAAGAACATTGCTAATGTACTAGTGTTATTTGAGATCATTTAATTATAATCAAATCTAATAAATACTTATCTAACAAATTACTCCATTTGCTATTGTGCAGGGAGGAGGTCATACAGCTCCCGAGTTTAATCCAAGAGAATGCTTTGATATGATCAAACGGTGGCTAGAGCATTCTCCTCTTTAATGTAATTAGTATGTCAAGATTAATGGATAGGATGTTGAATTATGAGTACTTTCTTGATTTGATTTAATAAGTGGTTAATTTATTTTTGTGGGTAATATTCAATTTCTTCCCTAGTATTAATGTACTTTGAAGTATTTTTGAGCTTATAAGGAGTTGGGCTACTCTCCCTATCGTCAATTGATTTTGGAGTGGTTATAACTTCCTTCCTGGTATCAGAGCATGTTTACCTATATGTCAAAATCCAAAGGTCACACGTGCTTCATGTCACCCAATATATTTTGTCTACATTTTAAAGTTGAAAAATTCGCCACACGTGCTAGAGCTATAAGAAGGTAAAGATGAAAATGTCCTGCAGAGCTTATAAGAGTTGAACTAATTTCTCCATAGCTAATAAATGAGTTATCAAGTTGCGGCCAATATTGCATATATGTTCAATGACCAAATACAACTCTATAGTTGGGTCTACAAATTAAAGCCTTACAACATTAGAGGACGCTCATCAAAACGGATAAACATATACATAGCTAAAACAAAACCAATATTACATAATAACAAAATAAATCCAAAGCATATACAGCTTTTTTTTGTTTTTGTTTTTTTCTTTTGTTCGTCTTTCGGTGCCCACAGTTTCTCTTTTGTTCTTTTCCCCCTTTTCTTTTTCGAAGTTGACAAATCACAAACGACACCAAATTATTGGTGACACCTCCACAAACACACACATATAACAACTACGTCAATTTTCAGCGTCACATCATAATGCGTCGTGTTGGGGTGGGCAATTTGGATGAGCTGCAACTGTTCTACTACTTCATTCACTCAGAAACGAGTCCAGAAAATGATCCTCTGCTGCTTTCGATGACGATGTTCTTCTTTTATGTCCTCTATATGAAATTGTAATTTCCATCTATCCTTGGACGCTGGCAGTAAATTGAATTTATTTTTTATAAAAACGTATACCGCTCGGCTATTCTTGTTGTCTCACGTGACCTCCTAGAAACGCTTGGCAGGTTCTTTTTAATTTGTACAATAGCTACCGATATACTTGAGATTTTTTTAATTTTTTAAAATAGTATGAAGCGGTTATACTCTGGCATTTTTTTTATAAATTTTTTATTTACTATAGCCGCGCGGCTCAGTGAGTAATTTATTTATTTATAATAAATAGTATAGCCGAGCGCTATATGTTTCTACAGTATGCAAATTTACAAGGAGGTGGAAGATTATTCATTGTGGTTAATTATTATTAGCATGCTTTATATGTCTTGATTTTACAAGTCGCTTATTTTGAATATATGTGCAGGCACGGAGACACTTGATATAGAATATATACTGCACTAGGATTAAATCTCGGCCGTGTAGATAATATCGGCCTCCAATTTACGGATATTTCGAGGATATTATCGTTATCGTTTTGGGTATCGGGAAAAAAATCAACAAAAATGACAGATATAAGCATTGAAACACATATTTTGGTGTAAAACTTTCATAGATGTTATGTACATTGTCAATGAATGTATTGAACAAATAAAACTCAAAATTTACTAATAATAGATATATGTATATATATATGATGAAATATAAGTGGTAGTAATACGCGTTAATGAAAGTTTGAAAATAAAAAGTTGATTAGAATGAATAAACCATGCATAAATCCATAGTTTATTTGAACTTGGATTACAATTTAGATGAGTGTCCAACTACATAAATGAATAGCTCCTATGAGGTTCAAACCTGTGGAATAACCATCTAGATTCATACAATAATCATACCAAGTCATGTAACCCGAGTAGTTTGTAAGCCATGTTTAAACATGGTGCACATATATCCTTCTTGAGCTCCCTACTGTCCTCCCATATATGGGATAGTTAGGATTAACCCAATAGTAGGTCCATAATTTGTTCATCATCTTGAGCTCCATATCTAGTTCCACTATAATCAGACATGACATAACCATAGCCATCATAAGATTCATTTGAGTTAGTACTAGGTCTAGATTCTTTTGATGCATACTCTAAAACATGCATACTCCAAAACATCTTTTGAATTGAATATTGCCAAAAGCCTTCTCACATATATCTAATCACTGCACATATACCTCCAAAAAATCTTTTCAATTTCAATTTGCTTCAAAACTTTTGAATTTTTTTGGTTTTGTTATGGGTATCGGGAAATATCGAGAATATCGGCAAATATCGAGGATATCGCACTTATCGGGGATATATCGTCGATATCGGGGAAGATATGACCTTACCCCCCAATATCGGGTGTCGACAGTTCAAAATATCGATATATCGGCCGATATATCGGTGTATCGGCCGATATTTCAATCCTTGCTGGCACCAAACAAATGTGTTGGGTAATCTCTCCTCCCTAGACACTCTCACGCACTTTAAAATCATTATATCATTTAAACACCTAAGTGAATTCTATTAGAGTTATATTCTTTTATACGTAAGTCGAGAGCATTGCGTTTCACACTAATAAATAATAATCTAATAAATTTTTGTTTGTGAAAGGTAGAATTCAGTAGTACTGCATTGTTGGGGAAATGATATAAATGTTCGTAAAGCTCTCAACATCGGAGGTACATATTATTTTCCTTTGCAATATTGTAGCGGCAATAATCTTAATTCCAAGTTCAAACTAGAAAATTGGACTGCTGGCATCGGCACGAGCGCAGTTCTGTGGAAATATGCATTTGAAAATAGCACTTCTGGTTCTGGATCCTTTTCTTTCTCTTTTGTTTTTTTTTCTAATGTTTTTTTCTTGGACTGTTCCTACCTCAGTATACGAGAATATAGGGGTCAAGCAGACTTATCCTTACTTTCCACACACGAAAAAAAACAAAAAAAAAAAAAAAAAAAGAAAATGATGATTTGTTCAGAGACGACGCATCTCTTATTCCTCTATTCACCACCAAAAAATTTGTCGGGGCATTCTTTTTCTGCTGCTTGTGGCTGCTTACCCAACTATAGTTGCGTCGCGGCCATCGTCAAGAACTTGCCCAGGCTTTTTGGTGACCTCCCCTTAAGCTTGAACGGGTACTTAATTATTGATTAATAATTATATCTGAACGCTGTGCCATCTCCTTTTATACTTTTAATTATAGTGTTTGTAGTTTAAATTATGGTTTTAATTATTCTATTATCTAGACTAGAGGCAATTTATGGTATAATGTGCACAAGAGTTGACTTTTGGGTTTAATTACCTAGACTATATGTAATTTGGACTCGTTGGGAAGAAACATCTCTCATGAGCTTCTCCGGAAAATCACATTTAATGATTTTACCTCCCATGTACTTCTTCATAAAATCACTTTAAAGTGATTATTTGGATAAGTGATTCTCCATAAAAGTGATTATTGGAGTCTCCAGAATCACTCCCAAATGAGCCTTTATGGGTTTAACGACATGTATGCATAGGTAGCTTACCTATTGTTAAGGTATGAAGTTTCCATGAACTCTAATTACTAATTTTGAGGTCGGTATACCTTGGAAAATTTTCAAAATTCAATAGATTTGCAATTAAATTGAAATCAAATATGATAATTAAGACCTACAAATCAATTTTACAAATCGATAATTAACAGGGGCATAATTGGAACAACAAAATAATTGTAAAATAAATAAAATAAAATTTAAACATCAATAAATAAGTAAAAAAAAGCATGTAATCTTATGTGGCACAAAAGTTAAAGGACTTGAATTAACAACAACTTTTGCAAGAATTGCACCCAACATCTATTTGAATCGACTTATGCCAAATTTTCTAATATTTTAACTAGTACTGGTCTAACTGTAGAGTCATAAAGCCATCCTCGATATACATGTGATGAAAGATGCCTAGCAGCAAGTATATCCTCATCACCATGTTGCCGCAAGCACTTCTTCTGGTGACCCTTTTGAACATTAATGTTGCATCAGCGTCCAATATCATCAAAACCCTACCCGGCTTTCGCGGTGACCTCCCCTTCAAGCTTGAAACTGGGTTGGTATCTTTGTTCTTATAACTATTTTTTTCTACTCTGTTAATTACTTTGCATTAATACAAAAGATGACAATGAATTATATAATTTGTGGGTTTAATTATATAAAGGTACGTGGGAGTGGGCGGCATGGATGATGTCCAGCTGTTTTATTACTTCTTTGAGTCTGAAGGGAGTCCAGAGTATGATCCTCTTGTGCTTTGGCTCACTGGAGGTCCTGGTTGTTCTGCCTTCTCTGCCTTTGTATATGAAAATTTAGGTACCTTATTATATTTTTCAGATGATAGTATTCTATTTTAAAATTTATGACATTGGTATCAGACCATCAGAAAATCTTTTAAAAGATAGGGAAGACCTTCAACAAACAGAAAAAGAAAAAAAAAAGATGGTGCTCTGTTTTCTCTGTTTTTTGTTCTTAAAAGATTGGAAAAAAATAAAAAATATAAAAGATTGGAAGGAAATGCATTTGCATAGTGGGGGGCTGAGGGGCGGGGTTGAGAGTTTAGGATACCAAACGAAATTAATCCTAAAAATAATAATATTTAAATATTTAAATAAATTATATTAAAATATTATATAGTGGTCAAACTTTTTAGTCGTATCTTGTCAAAAGTTTACCTAATAAAACACGTACGTATTTTATTCGTACTTTTCAATTTTACTACCCAGGACTATTTGATACCTACTTTGTTGTAGGTCCACTATCCTTTGACTATGCACATTCCATTGGCAACAAACCAAAATTAAAATTGAATCCATATTCATGGACAAAGGTAGGTGTTTGTGTTTATGTCTTTGTACGTATGTGATCTTTAGCAACTGTCAGGTTCTTATGACATTGAGAAGAACAATATCCCAAACTTTCAGGTTGCCAACATAATATTTTTAGACGCACCGGTGGGCACAGGGTTCTCCTATGCAAAAAATTGGGAAGGATATAGCAATCTCAATGACACATTGTCAGCTGCACAAACATATGAATTTCTTAGAAAGGTGAGATGATGCGCTTGCCTACGAGGTTTCTGCATAAGGTCTAGTTCATGTGATCATCTTTCAAGTGATTAAGAATGGCTTTTTTTAATAAAAAATTGACATGATTGGTTGTTGGAAATGAACATTATGTTATTGCATCTAGTTTAGCTACATCTTTGTTTTCACTATTGTGGGTGCAGTGGCTTATGGATCATCCCAAGTTCTACAGTAATCCGCTTTATATTGCTGGAGATTCTTATTCAGGCATAACTGTTCCTATGCTCGTTCAGGAAATATCAGATGGTAAGTTGGCAACCCTCTTAAATGTGAGCTTTGATTCAGTCTCACATGAAAATAATATATCAGATGGGCAAAAACTTAGTTTCATGAGGTATTGACTTTAATTTATTTTTATATTTATGTAGGTAATCAAGATGAACATGTGCCACCAATGAATCTCAAAGTACATTTTCTGCCATTATAATTTGAATGATTTCTCATCATATGCCTGTAGGCCTTAACAGTAGGGCAGACAATAACGTTCCATATATATTGGCTGCAGGGATATGTGCTTGGCAATCCAGGGACAGATGAAAAAAAAGATAATAATTACAAAGTGTTATTTGCTTACCTAAAAGCACTTATATCAGATGAACTATACCAGGTGACTACGCACTTGCATACTCACTTCATTTCTAGCTAAAGACTGTCTTTCTTAACCTGGTTGTGATTTTTATATTTTGGAAGTCAATGAAAAAAAACTGCAAGGGAGAGTATATCAATGTGGATCTAAACAACACGTTATGTTTGGAGGATCTTCAACTTTACAACGAGGTGAGTGAAAATAAAGCAAAATCTTCTGTTTCTGCAACTACTTGTCACTTTTAAGTAATGTAGGATAAAAATACTGACTTCACAATTGGATCGGCAGTGTATCGAAGACATATGGAGTGTACAGATATTGGAACCTTCATGTACATTAGTAGCATCGCCAAAATCAGCAAGGTCAAAGTGGAACGTAAACTATTTTAGCGATAAGGACTCCGTAAATCTCCTCCTTTCCTTTCCTCAACTTCCTAGGCCATGGTGTCGGGTAAGTCTCTCTGCGCGCACATGCATGCACACTCACAATGCATAGGACATAGCAGTAACTTATCTGTAGGTTGTGGGTTACTCAATAGTGTTTGTTGTACTAAATATAAAGTTTGAGTCAACATATATCTGCCTTATTTTAATGCAGAGTTACAATTATCTGTTCTCTTATATTTGGGCAAATGACAAAACTGTCCAAGATGCTCTTCATATTCAGGAGGTAATTAATTAGTTCCTTCCAAATATATTCTTCAAGTTTTCATGACATATCACAGTAATTTAATTTTGCTGTCTTAAATGACAATCAGGGAAGCATTAAGGAATGGTTGAGATGCAATCATACCTTACGAGATTCATATATATCTGATGTTTCCTCCAGTCTTGTCTATCATAAGAATCTCATAAAACAAGGCTATAGAGTTCTGATTTACAGGTACTATATGCGTATAATTCTCTCCAGTTTTCTTGGGATAAAGACACCTATTTATTATAAATGATTGAACCTATGTATGTAAGTGCTAATCTTGCTGCATCACAATAATCACAATCTAATTATTCTCAAATTATCATTTCTTCTGAACACAACGCTTGTCGATTAACAGCGGTGATCATGACATGTTAGTTCCATATGTGGCTACTATGGCTTGGATAGAATCTCTGAACTTGACTGTTGACAGTCGTTGGAAGCCATGGTTCGTGGACGGGCAGGTTGCAGGGTTGATATCTATCTCAGCTTTTTTCTCACTTTTTATTTTTTTCATGTCCTTAATCTTTCTTCTGTTTAAGTTGATTTTAATCTCAAAATCAGATTACAACTCTCACAGTTATGCCTTCTTGTATTTTTGCCCTTTAGATACAGAGTGCAGTACTCAGATAAAAAGTACCAGTTGACATATACAACTATAAAGGCAAGAAGCCAAGACCCATCATGAACTTGAATTATTCCGACACTGCAATTTGCTAGAGCAAAAGTAAAGACTAAATTTTCTGATTTTTCAGGGAGCGGGTCACACAGCTCCAGAGTACAAGCCTGAAGAATGTCATGCTATGATTAGTCGGTGGTTCGCATACTACCCTCTGTAGTCAGAATTTCTAGTGCTGTATCCCAAAATGAATAAGTCAATTGGTTCGCATACTACCCTTTCGTCTGTGTCTGTTTGAGTCAATTCTTCAAAGAATGACATGAAATCATAAATCAAATATCAGTTTTATTTAATATATCTACATATTGTTAATGTGTTAGGTAGTAAATAAACCAAAAACCATGCAAAAAATCATCATCTGGATGATGATCCTTTGTGAGTCTTATACCCTTTGAACAACAATCAAAGAGAGGTGCAGAGAAGACTAAGTTGACTATTTGGTGGCTGACCATTAGTTGGATCCAAAAAATGGTTTAATTTCCCGTCTTTTCCCTTATCTTCTTAGTCTGCATCTTCTTTTTCTTCGAAATCAACCACGTCATACTGGTTGAGCTGAGAGCAGGCACCCCACTATTAGAGACTCTGTGGCAAACTATTTTTCGTACCAGCAAGCATAAGGACATCAATGTATATATGCAAACTTTTTTGGCTGATGACGAGGATTCACCTAATGTTCAGACTATCCAGTCACTTCATAGCTCGAAAAAAATCCAAATTCATTATATATAATGAGATAAGCGTAGCAGCAAGTACACCATCACCACCATGTTGCCACAAGCACTTCTTCTGGTGACCCTTTTGAACATTAATGTTGCATCATCATCATCCAATATCATCAAAACCCTACCCGGCTTTCGTGGTGACCTCCCCTTTAAGCTTGAAACTGGGTTAGTTCTTATAACTATTATTTTCTACTCTGGTAAGTACTTTACATTAATACAAAAGATGACCACGAATAATATATTTTATGGGTTTAATTATGTGAAGGTACGTGAGAGTGGGCAGCATGGATGATGTGCAGCTGTTTTATTACTTCTTTGAGTCTGAAGGGAGTCCAGAGTATGATCCTCTTGTGCTTTGGCTCACTGGAGGTCCTGGTTGTTCTGCCTTCTCTGCCCTTGTATATGAAAATTTAGGTACCTAACTATATTTTCCACTCTCTGCATCTTTCAGAGGATAATATTCTATTTTGAATTTTTATGACTTTGGTGACAGACCACCAGAAAATCCCAATATAAATGAAAAAGAAAAAGAAATTAAAGGTGTGTAAAGTTGATGAGACTTGCGGTGTGAAGAAAGATAAAAAGTGTGTGCTCTGTTTTCTCTGTTTTTTTTCTTCTTCTTTTTTGGGTAATCTGGGTTCAAAGCAGAGACTACATAGCAACTAGCCCGGCCCAAGAGCCTCAAAACAGAGGAAGGTCCCCATCAAAAGCAGTACATTCCAATTTAAAATCAACCCAAATATTATTGATGAAGGGTTTGTTTTTTAGTATTTCACTAATATTATTGTTTTTATAATTCTATAGTTTTTAATCTGGCACAAATACTGCGTTCCAAATTTTAATCATTAGAATTAGCCTCAGTATTTAATCCGTACTTTGTTGTAGGTCCATTATCCTTTGACTCTGCACATTCCATTGGTAACAAGCCAAAATTAAAGTTGAATCCATATTCATGGACAAAGGTAGGAGGCTTCAATTGCCTTATAGGTGTACGTGTTTAAGTAGAAACCTTCAAGTTATTGAGGTTCTTATGACATTGACAAGAACGATCGAAAACTTTCAGGTTGCCAACATAATATTTTTAGACGCACCTGTGGGCACAGGATTCTCATATACAAAAAACTGGGAAGGATATACCAATCTCAATGACACAATATCAGCTGCACAAACATATGAATTTCTTAGAAAGGTGAGAGGATGCACTTGCCTATGAGGTTTCGGCATAAGGTCTAGTTCATGTAATCATCTTTCAAGTGATTAAGAATGGTTTTTTTTTCTTCAAAAATTGACATGATTGGCTGTTGGAAATGAACATTATTTTCCTGCATCTAGTTTAGCTACATCTTTGTTTTCACTTGTTGTGGTGCAGTGGCTTATGGATCATTCCAAGTTCTACAACAATCCACTTTATATTGCCGGAGATTCTTATTCAGGCATAATTGTTCCTATGCTCGTTCAGGAAATATCAGATGGTAACCCTCTTAAATTTGACCTTTTCTCAGCTTCAGCTACCAGGAATTGAGAGAAGGGTCAATCGTGCAACCTTTAATTCAGCCTCTCATGCAATGCAAATAGTTAGTTTCTTAGTTGTGTGGATCATGAGGTATTGATTTGAGGTTCTTTTTATTTTGTTTATTTACTTTGATGTAGGTAATCAAGATGAACATGCGCCACCAATGAATCTCAAAGTACATTTTCTGCCATTACAATTTGAATGATTTCTATTATGATGGTTAATTAATTGAAGATCATATGCCTGTGGGCCTTAAAAGAAGGCAGACAGTAATGTTCCATATATATTGGCTGCAGGGATATGTGCTTGGCAATCCACAGACAGATTCTGAAAAGGATAAGAATTCTAGAGTTCTATTTGCTTACCTGAAAGCACTTATATCAGACGAACTATACCAGGTGAAATACACACTGATTTTGTCGCTTCTTGTCGGTTTCATGTTGAGATTAGATTCTGGCTCTTCAAATCATTCTGAACTATTCTGATTATATATTTACCTCAAGTTATATGGTGCTCTTGCATAGTCACTTAATTTCTTGCTAAAAGATTGTCCTTCTTAAATGTGGTTGTGATTTGTATATTTCGCAAGTCAATGAAAATAAACTGCAAGGGAGATTATATCAATGTGGATCTAAACAACACGTTATGTGTGGATGATCTTGAACTTTACAACGAGGTGAGTGGAAAGAAAACAAATTCTTTGGTTTCTACAACTACTTGTCACAATTAAGTAATGTACTATCAAAATACTGACTTCATATTTTGATTGGCAGTGTATCGAAGACGTAAATGATGTACATATATTGGAACCTGTATGTACTGTCCATTCGCCAAAACCAGCGCAGTCAAAGAGGTATGCAGATGATCACACCAATAGAGACTCTGTAAATCTCCTCCTTTCTTTTCCTCAACTTCGTAGGCCATGGTGTCGGGTAAGTCTCTCTGCACACGCTGGCACACACACACATTGCATACTGTATAGCAGTAACTTATCTGTAGGTTGTAGCTTACTCATTTGTGTTTGTTGTACTAAATGTTAACTTTGAGTCAACATATCTGCCTTGTGTTAATGCAGAGTTACGCATATCTCCTCTCTTATGTTTGGGCAAATGACAAAACTGTCCAAGAAGCTCTTCATATTCAGGAGGTAATTAATTAGTTCCTTCCAAAGATATTCTTCAGGTTTTCATGACATATCACTGTATTTAAAATTTTTTTTTTTTCTGCTTTTTCTTTTTTTTTTTTTTTTTTTTTTTTTTTTTTATTCAGGGAAGCATTAAGGAATGGGAGAGATGCAATAAGACCTTACAAGAATTCTATATATCTGATGTTTCCTCTAGTCTTGTCTATCATGAGAACCTCATAAAACAAGGCTATAGAGTTTTGGTTTACAGGTATTATATTTTGTAGAATATGCATGCTGATAACTCTTTCCAATTTTCTTTTGTTTTATTTTTCACAAGTCCATGTGGAGTTCTAATTGGAGGGAAAAGTCAAGTACATGAATTCAAACATAGGCTTAGCCCTCTGTTAATAGAATCTTACACAATCTATTCATTCTCACATTACCATTTCTTCTGAACACAAAGCTTGTCTATTAACAGTGGTGATCATGACATGAATATTCCATATGTGGGTACTATGGGTTGGATAGAATCTCTGAACTTGACTGTCGACAGTCGTTGGAAGCCTTGGTTCGTTGACGGACAGGTTGCAGGGTTTGTATCTATCTCATTTTCTTTCTATTTTGTATCGAGTTTAGTCAGAAAATCAGACTACAATTATCTCATAGTTATGCCTTTTTTTATTCTTCTGTTTTTTGGCCTTTAGATACAGAGTGCAGTACACATACAAAAAGTACCAGTTGACATATGCAACTATAAAGGCAAGAAGCTTAAGAACCATTATGAACTTAAATATTTTGCATACTAGAATGTTCTTGAGCAAAAGCTAACTAAATTTTCTGATATTTCAGGGAGCGGGTCACACAGCTCCAGAGTACAAACCTGAAGAATGTTTGGCTATGATTAGTAGGTGGTTGGCATATAGTCAGTAATTCAAATTACCAATCTACTGATAGTTGTTATTCTTTTTCCAAAGCAAAGGTCATTAATTGATGCTAACCTTTCTTCTGTTTCTGCTTGTGTGCCATTTTTTTTCTTCAGCTCAAGGGTGAGAGTTCTTCACATGGCATAAAAACCACACGAAAACGGGATGAAGTTATTAGGTTTTGTTTGACTATTACTTGAGAAGAACCCCAAAATGATATGACATGCTACCACGAATAGATCCAAGTAACCAGTTTTTGGCACGGCAAACTCGTTTTTGCATTTAGGTGAGCAATTAGAACCACGATTGAACAACGAGTGAGCAAAAGGTAGCCAAGGAAACAAATTTCCTACCTTCTTATTTTATTATGTCTTTATAGTGTTGACAATATAGAATTCCACATTGGAAATTATAATAAGGTTTGCCTAAGAATATATAAGACCTTAAACTAAAACCAAGGTGAGCAGTATTGAAACAGGGTAATAAGCCTAAAGTCTAAGAAAGTAATTGAAATCAAAGAGAACAATAGAGAAACAAAGATAACTTTGATAAAATGAACTGTCAGGTTCGAATCAAGACATGAGTCTTTTTTCGTATTTTTGTTGTTTATTTTTGCAAATTAATTAAGGAGGATAAAGATTGAAAATCGTGTTTAATATGCATTGACAAACCCCTTTTCTTAGCTAACTTAATTTAGTGCATATGCAGACGTACGTAAGTTGGCGAAAGCACATCTCTTCAAATGTTAGAGTAATTTAGAATATCACTTTTTTAAAAAGAATAATAATTTTGATGATAACGACGATAAAACCTTTACATGAAGAGTTCATATGAAAAACAAGTATGGTTACAGCCAAGGAGAACAAAGTCGTTCATTTGTGATGTAATTGGCACCATCCTTGCTGACCATTCTAACTCATGTGCATTCTAATGCTTCTTAAACTATCATTAACGGTAAATGATACGTTGACCCCTAAAGAGGAAAAGCCAAAGATAAAGTAGGAGTGGATTGGCGTACTCAAGAAGGAAAAAAAACTCAGAATTCTTGTTATGCACACACACTTTGATGAAATTGGGTGATGTTAAATTGTTGTTTTATAAAGAGAATTCCCAAAACCCAATTGAATAAAGAGAACTCCCACTTAAAACCCAATTAAATAAGGAATTATAGAAGTCCTTTGAAAAGCCCACAAAAAGCCCACGAATTAAAGCTACAGTTTCCTTTAAAAATAAAAAATAAAAAACCCTGGACCAAAAAGACGTCGTTTTGGCTTTTTATTTTTTATTTTAAAAAATTTTAAAATTTTTAAAAAAGATACGCCTTTTAAAAAAACCTGGTCCAAAACGATGTCGTTTTGGCTAGGCTTCATTAAAAAAAACAAGCGCCTGCACGCAGCGTGCACTAGCAACAACCCAGTGGTTTGCGCATTTCATCAAACATGTGGTGTGCATCGCTGGTCTGAAGCAGAGGTGCAACTCCAGCAGCTCTAATGGAATTTTCCGACGACCGGAGGTGCAGGTGCACCTCCTTGCTCTTGCACAGGTCCGCGACTGTATATGAGGTATATATTGCTCTTGGTTTTGTTTTGGGTGCTAAACTTTTTCTTAATTAATTTCCAAGCGTGAAGAATTGTGAATAAAATGTAATTGCCTCATATTCTATGCAAAGTGCCCAACATTAGCTAGTTAAATTAATAATTATGTAAGTTTATATATGCATTGCACTGAGAGACTTGATATAGAATATATATTGGCACCATTCTGCCCATCAGAGGGACTATTATAAATTATTTACCACATTACAAACCACCACCCACTGGGAATCTATTGACGATAACTTCATAGATTTTCCCTTTCCCAAACAAATGTGTCGGGTAAATCTCTCCCCCCTGTCAGACACTCTCACCGCTTAAAATCATTATATCATATTAAACACCTAAGTGAATTCTGGATTCTGGATGAGTTATATTCTTCTGTATGTAGGTCGAGAGCAATGCGTTTCACACTAATACATAATGTTCTAATAAAATTTTGTTTTGTAGAAAGATAGAGTTTAGTATTGCATTGTTTGGGGAAATGATATAAATGTTCGTAAAGCTCTCAACATTCGGTAGGTAAATATATTACACTTGATTGAATAGGGATGAGCAGAAGATGTCACCCTTGCCATTCGATTTACTTTAAATTTTTAAATAAATAAATAAATAAATAAATAAAGGTTTACTTATATTTATGTTGACAAACAGGGAACAAAATGGGAATGGGCTAGATAGAATACTTCCACACCTTACAAAATAGTAAAGCCGCGCGGCCATACTCGGGATTTTAGTACAGCCATGTATTAAAAAATGATACTCGGGATATTTTTATTTTTCCCAAGACATAGTACAGCCCATATTTTATAAAACCAGAATAGTATAGCCGCGCGGCTATACGGATTTGACACATGGCCAGCTAGCGCCCCTTTTTTGTCATGGTATTTGAAATATCCAAATTGAAAGCAACTGGTTCTGTTCTATCTGGTTTGAGTATTTTTTTACACCAATTTGGCGATCCTTCACACAGAGAAGGGACATCATATTATTTTCCTTTGCAATATTGTAGCGGCAATAAATTATTAATTCTAAGTTCAAACTAGAAAATTGGACTGCTGGCAGCTGCCCGAGCGCAGTTCTCTCGAAATATGCATTTGAAAATAGCACTTCCGGTTCTGGATCCTTTTCTTTTCTCTTTTTGTTTTTTTAATGTTTTTTTTTTCCTGGACTGTTCCTACCTCTATATGAGAAAATGAGGGGGTCAAAGGCAGACAATATCCTTATCTTCCACAAGAAAAAAGAAAAACAGAAAAAAAAACGAGAATGCTTAGTTGCAGCAGTAGAATCTTTTTCACAATCTGGGTGTGTCAGGCATTTTTTCTGCTGCTGGTGCTGCTTACCAACTATGGTGCGTCGCAGACAATCGTCAAGAACTTGCCAGGGTTTTCTGGTGACCTCCCCTTCAAGCTTGAAACAGGGTACTTAACTATTTGATTAATAATATATCTGAACTCTGTGCCATCTTCTTTTTAATACTTTTGATTATATGTTTTGTAGTTTTGAATTATGGGTTTTAATTTGTGTCTAATTTCAAGCTACGTGGGGGTGGGCAATTCTGAAGAACTGCAAATGTTCTACTATTTCACTGAGTCAGAAAGCAGCCCAGAAAATGATCCTCTGCTTCTTTGGATGACCGGAGGCCCCAGATGTTCTTCTTTCTATGGCCTCATATATGAAATTGGTAACTTGTTAATTTCCAATTCTCATGAGATTAAAGTTCAAAACTTTCACTGAGAAAATACTTTTTCATCACATCATGTATTCTTGGTCTCTATCTTTTTTTATTTATTTATTTTTTTTATAGTACAAAGCTATAGTCTAAACTACATGGGAGGAGAATTTCTCACACACACAACTATAATGTCGTGGGGATTCGAACCTGATATCTCTATCTTTAATTGTTGGGATGGAAGTAAATTTCAATTTCATCAGTAGGCAAAGACAAAATTATGGCTCTGATTTTAACTTTTTTTTAAATATTATTCTAGGTCCAATATCTTTCCAATTTAATGATTTGTCCAAGGACCCATTGAAACTTGTTCTGAATCCATACTCATGGACCAAGGTGTGGAATTTTCTGTCTCTGGGTTTTAGTTTCCCAATTGATGGTGAAAATTTAAAAATTGATCCTATAATTTATTTTCAGGTAGCAAACATAATATTTCTAGATGCTCCTGCTGCTACTGGTTATTCATACTCCACAACTCTGGAAGGGTTAATCAGTAGTGACACCCTGCATGCTACAAGAGCTTATCAGTTTCTCCAGAAAGTGAGTCAAGATTTACACACAAAAATTTGGAGATAAGATTAATTAGAACAAGATTCAAAACTTGGTTATTTATGACCATTGTTGTATTGATTCAAATTTCCTATGCAGTGGCTTGTGGCTCATCCCCAGTTTCTTTCAAATCCTCTCTACATTTCTGGAGATTCTTTCACGGGCAAGATTGTTCCCATCATTGTTCAGCATATAACACAGGGTAACTTTCTCAAATTATAACAAATGAAGTTCTCAAATTTCATATTACTTCAACCATTGCGCCAAAAATTGCAATTGCATATGCAATAGAACTCTTCTTGAGCACAAAAGTTTTTCGACGTCAAAACTCGAAAGTTTTAAGGGGCATGAGTTTGTATCTCTGTTGTTGTTTTCCTGTAGGTATTGAAGCTGGGATGGAGCCAGCTTTGAATCTCAAAGTACTAAATTGACATCCTGGTTGAATGTATCTTGTTATAGAGCTGTCATTTGTTCATGACATCATTGTGCTAGAATTTAATTTCTGGTTTAATGGATTCAGGGATACATAATTGGCAATCCATCTACAAATGCTAAAGAGGATTTTAATTCGAGAATTGAATATGCTCATCGTTTGGCACTTATATCAGATAAAGTATATGAGGTGTGTATGTTGCTCTTGGTTTTCTTTTAGGTGCTGGATGTTCCTTGTAAGATGTTTGTGGGTTTTGGTCAACTATATACACCAAGATGTTTTAGTGGATTTCTCTCTTATTCTTATAAGAGTCAAATGAAAAATAGAATTTCTTAAGTTTTACTGTTTTTTTTCTTCTTCTTTCAAGTCATCAAAAAGGAATTGCAAGGGCGAGTACGTAGATGTAGATCCAAAAAATCAGTTGTGCCTCAACAGTCTCCAAGCTTTCAAGGAGGTATGTAGTATCAGTATGGTCAATTAGCATTCCGGGTGCTAGCTGCTAAGTTCACCAAATTTTGTTCAGCAGCATAATGATGTGTCAGTGTTTTACTGATTTAAATCTGGGCTCACTCTGAGGATCATTTACTTTCAACAAGTAGGATATTGATATGTACACTGAAGCATCATTTGGTGAATAGGGTATCTCAAAAGGGGCCCTATTTATAAGAGAAATTTATACATATATGATATGTTTTGTTGGGGAATTGCACAATCTTGATTCACAATCTCACGATGTAACATACATGCATGTCAGATATATAACAAAAACATCATTACTCTCTATAATATATGGTGTGTATACATACACACGCACACTGCATGTTTTTGTTCTCTGTTTTATGAAGTCCCTTGATTATTGAGTATGCAGTGCACTAGGAGACTTGATACAGAACATATACTGGCACCTTTCTGCGGAAGGACTATTATAACGAGTGGACAATATTAAAGACGAATGACAGGGAGTCTATGGATGATGTTTTCCTAGATTTTCCCTCCCCTCTCCAACTGTGTCGGGTATCTCTCTCTCTCTCTCTCTCTCTCTCTCTCTCTCTCTCAAAGACAGAGAGAAGTATTAAAGAGTAACAAATTTACTAGCTGAAGGGTTTTTTTAGGAAGACAGGATTCGCTACGCAGTTCTTTGGCAAAATGATATAAATGTTCGCAAAGCTCTCAACATCCGGGAGGTATATAATATATACGTATAAATAAATGTTACTTCTAATTAATTATATATATTTTTTGGATTTACTTCAAATTAATCAAACAGAATATATGAAACTGTGGCCAATTTCGAAAAAAATTACATTTACCATGATCACAAACAGGGAACCAAAGGAGAATGGGCCAAGTGCAATAAAACCACACCTTACACGTTTGATGTACCAAGTAGTGTTGACTACCATCGAAACCTCAGCCAAAAGCACCTTCGTGCTATAGTTTACAGGTACAGATTTAAATTGTTCAATTTGATTCTTCATGTTTCACCTCTCCTTTTAAACTAATCTAATTTCAACCAACCTTGAAGAATCAAGCCTAGAATTAGCCAGTAGCTAGTCACACAAAAAATAAATAAACATCGTTGTACTTTTCTCATAATTTCGTGTGTTTATATGGTGTATCTGCAGTGGGGATCATGACATAACCATTCCATATATAAGTACACTGGCATGGATTGAATCCTTGAACTTGACACTTGAGGATGATTGGAAACCGTGGTTCTCTGACCATCAAGTTGCAGGGTTTGTAGTTGTTTTCATGATTTTTTTGTTGGATTTTTATTTTTGGGGTTAGGAATTTCAATGTTTAATACTAACTTTGATCTTTTGTTCTCGTTTTTCATTGATTCATTTTACAGATACACAATGTACTATTCAAACAACGAGTATAATTTGACATATGCGACTATAAAGGCATGAGTGATGGCTTCCGAGTTTATTGATCTTCTCTTTGAAGTAAGTCTAATAATCACGTATGATGTAATAAATAATTCCCAGTTGCAAATGTGCAGGGAGGAGGACATACAGCTCCAGAGTACAATCCTAAGGAATGCTTTGATATGATCAATAGGTGGCTGGCGCATTCTCCTCTTTAACCTATTATACTAAATTAGAAAAAATTACTGCATTATACATATGTAATGTGTCACTGTAACTAAAAGTACATGATCACTTATCTGAGTATATTTAATATACAACCTTCAACATGAATACGCGAAAGTGTATGAAAGTTGAGGTGGCATTATTTGCATGCGTGAACCTTGTATGGCAACATTGTTCGCTAAGAATCAATTAGGTGTGAGATTTTATCACAAAATGTCGGTCTATTAAATTATTTCATCACAAACCTCTATTTTTGTTGGGAAAATTTTAGTGACATACATTATGCATTTGGTAGTTGGACACCGCATTAATGTGCTTTTAAGAAATTGAAAGCAACCACTTCGTGGAAAACTAAAATCAATAAATTTATTTCTTATTATAAAAAAAAAAAAAAAAAAAAAAAAAAAAAAAAAAAAATTACAACTCAATGAGCATATTAGCAAATCCAACCCTGAACAGTAGAGCTGAGAAATATCAAAGGGACAATTAATAAATGGAAAAGAAAAGGGACAAATTATAAAGGGGGTCCTTGTATCATAATCGATCATGAACGTTTCACCAAATTTATTAATGTTATCGGACCCTCATGTGGAGTCACTTCATAGTTTCAAGAACACACCAAACTTTCTGCTATAGCCATTCATGGCTAACTATTCCCGCTGCTGAAGCCTAATGTATATGCTGAATATTACCGCAGCTTGCTACATAAGCATGGCCATGTTGCCACAAGCACTACTTCTTCTAGTCCTTCTTTTTCACATTGGTTTTGCATCAAGCTCGTCCATCGTTAGCACCCTACCAGGATTTTCCGGCGACCTCCCCTTCAAACTTGAAACTGGGTTGGTATATTTGAACTTCAACTTCTATACTCTATAACTACATTTTCAGTCTTGCCTTGTGCGCTAGACTATATATCTGATGGTAATTGATCCTCTTAAGTACATTTATTATATACTTTGGTCAGATTGAGTTACAAAAAAAAAAAAAAAAAAAAAAAAAAAAAAAAAAAGATACATCAATCAGCTCGGCTACCAAAGGGGAGGGGCATAGTTTGTAATTAGTTTCGGTTCGTGAGGTGCGGTTGTTTTTATTTGTTATGCTTCTGCAGGTAATGAAGAAGGGGATGAGCCACCAATGAATCTCAAAGTACATGTTTTGCCTTTAGATTTGGAATCATTTCTAATCCTTTGTAGTCAACTAATTCATAGTTGTCATGGATCCTTAGGGATATGTGCTTGGCAACCCAGCGGTAGATAATTTACGTAGTGATAATCATGCTGTACCATTTTGCTACCTGTTTGAGCCTGGTTGAAGTTTAACCGGGTCAGGCCCGAGATCCGACAATTAAACTAATAGTGAGCCCAAGCTATATTTCGGTGGGCCTAATCAATAAAGCCGAATAGAAGCCCAAAATCATAAATGTAGCAGAATATCAATGTGGCCGAATACATCAATGTGGCCGAACACATCAATGTGGTCAAGAGCATAAAAGTGGTTGAAAGCCTATATGCGGCCGAAAATGTAGATATGGTCGGAAGACTAAAAGCGGCCGAATACATAAAATCAATCAATGCTTAAATAAGGAGAGAGATAATCCGTAGGAGGATTTTCTTAGGTTACAATTCAAATATGGAAGGAATTATGCCAGCTTGATGGTCAATTGAAGTTATTGAGGGAGAGCTCAAGATGGAAGGAAAATCAAATCAAATATTATTCATATTAAATCACAGGTATGAGGCAAGGGATTGAAGATATTCTAGAGCAATTATGATTGATTTGAAGGCCAATTGACGACCGACCAAATTGGGACGCACCGAAGCCCCTATAAATACCAAGCTTATGGAAGAGAGAAAGGACCCCCGACACAACACACAACTTGTCATTTTACATTCTCTTCAATTTCTATCCTAGGAGTAGCATAATGTAACCATAGCCTAGTTCTTATTTTTCCCGTTCTAGTTTCCATAGATTTCAATTATGCCTTTACATTCTTGTTCTTGTTTTTCAATTCTAGTTTAATTACAGTAACTTCAATTCATGTTTCTTTACTGTTCTTCGCAATCTAGTTTACTTTCCGCCCTTTACTTTACGCACTCGCATTTCAATTATTTAATTTACGCAATTTACATTACGGACTCGCCTTTACATTCTTTATTTTACGCACTTTACTTTCCGCACTTGTCTTTCAATTATATTTAAATTCAAGCACCCTTTACTTTATGCACGTGTTATTCGTTTCATTACATTTCACCTTCAATCTTCATCTCCACCCACTCCACATCATTTGGTTGCTCACATAAAGCCTTGACTCTGAGGTAGTGAAAGAGCCTAGGCCGTGAGGAGGTTCCTTGCTCGGCCGAACAATCGTTTGATTAAAGTCAGATCTCGGACGCAACACATCCATCTACTCACATTCCATTCAAGCCCAAATTCGGGGCTTGGTGGTGGCACGCCCCGCACTCAAAAAAGAAGAAGGACCAAAAGTTCCTTCCGTCGGCCGCCCCGGCCGAAAAGAGGGTAACACTACCTAAAAGCGCTAATATCAGATATCCTATACCAGGTGAGTACACTTTGGTTTGTTTGTTTAGGTTTCATATGCATGTAATGTAAGGATTGGATTGTGGCGCTTCCCATCATTTTGAACTATTGTGTCATACATCCTTGTGAACTTGCTATAAATTGTTGGCATAATGCCAGACATCTTAAGTTTTAACATGGTATTAGAGCCTTGTGTGCAAGTGATGCTGAGTTTGGTCCCTCTTCTCCATTTCATTGTTGGTTTGTAGGGTGCAGGGTGGGCTGGACTTATATGTTTGTCTTTCTCTGCTATTAGTTGCCTCTTCACGTGCAGGGCATCTTGCACGTGAGGGAGTATGTAAGCTTGATGTACATCAATTGTTGAGGAGGAAACACTTGCCTACACGGTTAATGCATATAGCGATGGACAAATAAAGCAAAAATTTAGTTTCATGAGGTATTGATTTTAATTTACTTTTATTTTTATGTAGGTAATCATAATGAACATGTGCCACCAATGCATCTCAAAGTACAATTTCTGCCACTTCATTTTGAATGTGTTCTGTTGTGGGCCTAATGTACTATATATATTGGCTGAAGGGATATGTGTTCTGTTGGGCATGATAGACATAACACATGTGATCAAGTGATGGGAAATGATGACACCCGACATTCCCTGGCCGAAGTCCAACATGCTCAATGATCTCTACCGTGATTGGTGGATGATATTTGTATATTGTTTGTCCATATCTCATGGGAGACCAACTTCGCCGACGGATGGGTGAAAATGAAACCTAACTACGAGAACAAAAATATTACAGGCATGAAAGTGAAAATTCAGATCAACTCCAAAAACTAACGTTGCAACTTGGTTTAGGGCAAGATCACGTTTGTTAAGGAAATTATTTATTACTCACCTAACATTCTCTCCAGTCACTTCGTATTACTTCTTTAAAAAATAATATATTATTGTACTTAGTAAAAAACATGGCCTGCTAATCCTAGTGCACGTACTGTTACAGCTCCAATCTCACCATGTTTCCGCAAGCACTTCTTCTGCTCCTCCTTCTTCATTGTTGTCACATCGTTGCTTCATCATCCATCATCAACACCCTACCGGGTTTTTCCGGCGACCTCCCCTTCAAACTTGAAACCGGGTTGGTATTTCTTTGTTTTTGTTTTTGTTTTTAAATCGGGGTCTTGTTTTCGCATCTATATAGAGGTGTCCTTATGTGTTCTCCTCTCTCAGTTTAGTTGTTCATCTCGATTCTCTTTCATGCTTTGCTGTGAATGAAAGGATATTTCTATGGTATATGGTACTAATTAATTAATTAATTATTTTTTGGGTTCCCTCTATGAATTATACTCTATATCAATTAATACGTACCAATTGCAATGCTGATCAGAATGAAAATTATGATTTAAATTATATAAAGGTACGTTGGGGTGGGCAATTTGGATGATATTCAGTTGTTTTATTTCTTCATCGAGTCGGAGAGAAGTCCCAAGGAAGATCCTTTACTGCTTTGGCTCAGCGGAGGTCCTGGTTGCTCTTCTTTTACTGCCATGGTATACGACAGTATAGGTACATTATTATCTCAACTCTTTATATCGTATCCTCCACTTATATTATATGATCAACAATTCTCATTCACAGACTTGACAACAAATCAAAAAATTACTCCATATATTGCTGAACCAGGAATTCCCCTCCAGAATTATTTTGAAACTGTACAAAACCATTAGTTGGATTTTGACTGGAAGGTAGCTCTCTGTAGGTCAGTGTACAGTAACATCAAAGAATTAATGGTTGTTATCATATAACAATTTGATAACCTCATCTGTTTTTCTTTTTTCTTTTTTGGATTGGAACAAGACATCGTTGATCTCCATCCAACATGCACAAAGAATTTGTGATTATCCTATAAAGCATATATCAATTGACTTTGCATTTGATAAAAATACTTTTGGTAGGTCCATTAATTTTCAACTACGCAAATTCTAGTGGGAACGAACCAACATTTTTGTTGAATCCATACGCATGGACAAAGGTAAGATAAGAGAGAAACCTACTGCTAATTCATTATGATTTGTCAATAACTTGACCCCAAATGCATATTGAAAAATGTTCAGATTGCCAACGTAATATTTTTGGATCAACCTGTTGGTACTGGATATTCCTACGCAAAAAGTTGGGAAGAATACCGGACCGGTGATACATTATCAAGTTCTCAGACCTATGAATTTCTAAGGAAGGTGAAAATTTGGCAAAGTAATTTACAAAGGTTTGAAAATTACATTGTTAAATCTCATTAATTAATTTATTAATTCTTGTGATGTATATAATGGTGCTACAGTGGCTTAAAGATCACCCTCAATTTCTGAATAATCCACTATATATTGCTGGTGATTCATATTCAGGCATAACCGTTCCCATCGTTGCTCAACAAGTATCCAACGGTAACTTTTGTTGGGAATGAAAACCTTTTCAGTTGTTTCACTAAATGGTTATCAAACGAGTCCTAAATTTATTTCACCTAAATTATGAGAAGTCTCCTAAATCTGAACTGTTGTAGGTAACGAAGCCGGGCATGAACCACCAATGAATCTCAAAGTAAGAGTTCAATCTGATTTTAAATTTGAGATACTTGTCTTCCCCTTCAGTCCTCGTTTGCCCTTCTCCTTTTGTGTGCGTTCGTTTGGGCTCTTACGTTGTTGTTTTCATTTGTCAATATTATTTTTTGATTTTAGCTTGTCCTAATTCATAGTTTTTATAAGCTTTTTTTTTTTTTTTTTTTTTTTTTTTTCTGCTTTCTGTATTGCTTTTGGCTTTTTGTGCTGTCTTTCGGTCTTAGTTCCCTGGGTTCCTTAACTATTTTACGAGGCCAGGACAAGACAAATGGAAATGGATTTTGACTTACGTATCAATAGTCTCATGTTCAAACTCTCATACCACCTTGAAAGTTTGTATGAGAAAACTCACCCCCTCCTTCCTAACTTTGGAAGAAAAAAAAAAATCATTTTAATGTGTGATTGGAGTAATATATTTTCTTACCAAAGAAAAACCTCGTAATTATGAGCCCTTAGTACAAAATGTAATGATTATAATGCATAAGTAAAATGTGACATTCATACCAAAAAGTTTGAATTCTTCCTCCGTCTATAAAGTAAAGAAACATTCAAACATAGAATTTTTTTTCTTTTGGGGGGAGTATTTACCACATGTTTAATATCAAGTAAAGAAACATTATTGTCTTGGATAACTAAATGTTGTTTGATTGAACTCAGGGTTACGTGCTTGGCAACCCATGGACAGAACCAACATATGACGTGAACTCACGAATTAAATATGCTCATCGCATGGCACTCATATCCAATGAACTCTATGAGGTATAAATATGTTTTCTTCTTTATCTGTTGATTTTCTTAAACTTTGAAGAAAGAAGAGCGAGAGTTGTATTCCTACTGCCAATGTGAAAAAAAAAAAAAAAAAAAAAAAAAAAAAGATCAATTAATTTTCGTACAAATCATGTAGCAAAAAAAAATAAAATTAATGCTTAATTTGAGAGCTAATCTCTTCGTATTATATATAGTCAACTAAAACAAATTGCAAGGGAGAGTACGTTCAAGTAGATCCAAACAATGCACCTTGTGTGGAAAACCTCCAAGAAGTCAATGAGGTGAGAATTACTACAATGTCCTTGGTTTGCGTTTATTATATATTAAAGTGTGATATAAATTTACCACTTAACAAATTTGCAGTGCATCCAAAAGATAAATCTTGCACAAATATTGGAGCCAAAGTGTAGTACTCTGTCTCCAAAACCAAAAAGATTCAAATGGGATCAGAACTTTGCTGAAGAGGACTTGTTAGATGTGCTGCATTATTCTACGAAATCATGGTGTCGTGTAAATTTCTGGCTTACTTACTCTCGCACAATATATACTCCGATGAATTTAGGTCAAATTACATATTTTTTGTCCTCATAATTTAACTCGTTTTTCACTTTCACTTTGGAAGTTTAGTCCTATGATTAGTTCGGTTAGCAATGGAGTCAAATTACATTAATTAGCCATATATTTATACGTTTACATGACTAAACTATGTCTCATGCTAATACCTTAGTACTTGGTTGCAGAGTTATAACTATATCTTCTGCTTCATTTGGGCTAATGACAAAACTGTCCAAAATGCTCTAAACGTTCGAGAGGTATGTTATAATTTTGAGAATTACAATATAATTAATTTTGCTTAAGCACTTTTGCCATTACAACCTAACAGGGAACAATAAAGGGTTGGGAAAGATGCAATCAGAGCTTAGATAGCAATTATGCATATGATGTTAGAACTAGTATTGACTATCATCGAAATCTCACCAAGAAAAACCTTAGAGCACTGGTTTACAGGTACACTAATTAATATTCTTAATTTTCTCCATTTCCAAATTTTGTCTATCCGTAAAAAGTCCACGACGATTTGTGCGAAAAAACCGATGAAGTATTCTTCTGTCTGAAATATATCAAAGTTAATTTGTAGATTTTTTTTGTTGTTGGTACAGTGGTGATCATGACATGATTATTCCATATGTGGGCACTCGAGAATGGATAAAATCTCTAAATTTGAGTGTTGATTACCAATGGAGACCATGGTTTGTTAATGGCCAAGTTGCAGGGTTGGTTGCTTGCTACTATCAATTTTCATAATGTCACTGCAATTTCTTATTTAATTAATTAAATTATCTTTTTTCTAAGGTACACCAATGCATATACACTGAAAGCGTACAGTTTGACATTTGTTACTGTAAAGGCAAGAACCGAAAATCCTGCTTAATTTTTCTCAACTAGGTTTCTGAAAGAAGAAAAGATAACTACAAGAACGGAAATTTTGTTTGACCTGTACAGGGAGGTGGCCACTCAGCTCCAGAATACAAGCCTATGGAATGTCTTGCCATGGTTGATAGGTGGTTTGCATATTACTATGTTTAATTACCTCATTCATTCCAATACTTTTGTGCCCCAAAGTCTTGGATGTTGCAGCAGGTACTGCTTTGGTGAATAAATTTCCAAGAATATTGTCAATTGGATATGTAATTTTTTTAACAATTTGCCACCCAAAACTTCGCTTTTGGGACATCAGGACATGATGGTTCCATATTCATTGTTAAGGTATTATGTAATAAACAAACCAAAAATGATGGAAAAAATTCATCATCTGGATGATCCTTTGTGAAGTCTTACCCTTTGAACAACAATCAAAGAGGGGAACATATATACAAGTGATGAAATGCCTAGCAGCAAGTACACTTCTGGTGATCCTTATGAACCTTCAAACCTGAAACTGGGTCGGTAGTTTTGTTCCTAAAACTATTATTCTCTAATCTGTATATATAAACATGTGCCATATGAGTTACATTACTGTGTGGCTTTAATTATATAAAGGTACGTGGAGTGGGCGGCATGGATGATGTGCAGCTATTTTATTACTTCTTTGAGTCTGAAGGGAGTACTCCAGAGTATGATCCTCTTGTGCCTTATCTGCCTTATCTGCCCTTGTATATGAAAATTTAGGTATTTTTATATTTTCCACTCTCTGCATATTTTAGATGATATTATTCTATTTTGAAATTTTACGACATTGGTAACAGACCATCAGAAAATCTTTCTAGAATAAAGTGAAGAATTAAACCACAAAAAACAAAAAACCAAACATGTATTTCATTCGTTTTCTTGTTGCATTTAATATGTATTTGTGTTATGTTAAAATTTATTTGAAATTAGTCAATGGAGTTATGAACTAGTGTGGTTTATATAATTTAATCTATACTTTTATTTCCATAAAAGCTATAAAAACCGTAAGTACAAAAAATAAAATAAAATAAAATAAAATAAAAAGTTCATTAGATTTTATCCTAAACATTTTAGCTATAGCCTACCCATTGAAAAATTCCGCTCTAGACTCTATTAGTTTTCTCCTGAGCTTAACACATATAGTGGAGGTTCTATGTGAGTTCAACTAAATAAATCATCCGTGTACTTTGCGAGTGATTGTAAGTATTGGACACGAAAGAGAAGATGGATGCTATGAGTCGGAGAGATGGGACATGAAACGGCTCTTTGTTGACCATGATGCTATGAGGGAGTGGGAGAGATGGGACATGAAACGGCTCTTTGTTGACCGTGTACTCTAGTTAGACACGTCAGAGGAGAAATCCAGTTTCAATCATGTGGGCGCATCAAACCTGCACACGGCACCCACTTCTTCCTGATCAATGAGAAAGGCTGCCTGCCAGAATTTGGACTACAAAACAAATTCATATGATATCTCTAACAATCAATCACAAGGTTGTCTTCGCTTGTATGTTTTTAACTTCTTATGAACTTGACATTTTGAATTTAAGAAGTCTATTTGTATAATATCAATTAGTATCAATCCTGTTGTAATTAAGATTTTTCTTTCTAGTTGGTTTCCAAGATTACAGGATTAGTTTTCTTGTACATGAATATACTCTTGTATAAAGAAATTGTACCCATCCATGAAAAGATCATTCTATCACATTCTACCTTCTCGTACCGCAAACCCTTCACCGCCGGACACCATGGGTGATTCCTTCGACTTATTCAAGCTGGAACCTTCAAGCCCTTATTATCTTAGTAATTCGGATAATCTAGGTTTGGTAATTGTGCAGAAGCCCTTGAATGGAGATAACAATGCGACATGGTGTAGATTCCTAACAGTTTCATGGAACACCAAGAATAAATTGAGTTTTGTTCCTGGTCATAGAATCACGAATTGGACAATGGTAACCAGTAAAGACTGGTACACATATGTCTGCTCAATTGGGAGAATGGCTAGTCTCAAGTCATTCGTGTAGAGACACTGAGAAAGATGTGTAGATGTTCTATAGAAGATGGAGTCCACTGAACGTGATCAACTCTAGAAATCTTGTATGGAAGTTTTACTCATAAGTGTCAAACAAGGAATTCTAAGTTGTGATAATACAAATTAATCCTTAGACCTGAGCCATCACAGTTGTCTTGTGTATATGTTGTTTCTCTTTGAGAGCACTATACGGTCGTATTAAAATGATGTGACTTAAAGGTGTTTCTCAGGATTCTCAGAGTGTATGCAGACACAAGTAAATGTACAACAAGAAATCTTTGCTCTTAGTAAAAAGAGAGAATACTCTAAAGATATGATTCGTGATTCTTTGGCCAAATTATTAGATGTTAATTGAAACAAGAACGTTTGCAAATTCATTAAATTGAATCATATAATCAAGAGATGTCATATTAGGAATTTTGACACAAGTTTACCATATCCCGAGAACATGACAAAGAGTATTGAATTAGAGAATGATCGAATTGCATTGTAATCATAAACTGACTAGGTTCTCTAAATGAATTCTTTTTAGCTTGAGTAGCCATGATATACTGCTAGGTATCACTCATGGGTTGTGGAAATCCTATAAGGACTAATTATAATTAATCTTCGCCAATAGGGGAATTGTATGGAGGGATACAATTCACACTTGATTAAGAGTGAATCATTCATACCCACTGCCTTATTAATTAGAGCCTATAAGATAGCACACCGAAAAGGAATCGATTGGGAAATTATGAAGAGAATGAATGATTTTGTGACTTGGTCAAAGTCAATGTGAAAGTTAAAGGTCAAAGTCAAAAGTCAAAGGTCAAATGGTTGACCCAACACTTGACATGGTGGACTAAGGATGACCGAGACCAACACTCGTTAGACAAGTGAGTGATTGAATTAGTCAAGTCGCTAGAGTAATTACATTGACTAGATTAATTCAATTATTCAATTAAAGTTATGAAACTTTAATTAAAGAGATTTAACCCTATGGACTTAGGCACATATGTGACACATTATATGATTAATGTGTTGGACTAAGATAGCAAAAGATGACACACAAGGGGGGGGGGGGGGGGGGGGGGGGGGGGCTTGGGGGCACTTTTGGTCACTCTTGTGACATTTTTTTATCCTATAAGTGTGTAGCTATGGAATCCTATCATTCTAGGGTTTTTCAAGTTTGGTGAAATTGGAAGAGAGAAAACATCAAGATCTCTCTCCCTAACCCCATGAATCTATCACATCAAGTGAAGGTGCTAGCACCACTCTTCACTTGTTGTCTACTCATTCTCTCATCACATTTAATCCTTGGTGAAGAGATTTTGGGGGGGGGGCATATCTTTGTACCTATTTGGAGAGCTACAAGGTGGAGAACCAACATTAAAGGGAGAGTCAATAACAAAGGGACCACTCCCTCTACTTAAACATCATTCTTGGTTTCAAGATTCGCTCCAAGAGTATGAACATCTTATCTTTCTCTCAAATAGGATTTATAGAGTCTTTAGTGCACGCTTTCATAGACTTATAAACATTGGGACCAAATGAGACTTGCATGAATCCTTAGTTTATTTAATGCTTCAGCTCTTACTTTGATTTCATATTAGATATGACATGCTAGGTGATTTATACTCTCAAAGTTTGGTTGTAGAGTTTTTAGAAATCTGTACACAACATCATTCCCACAATATTCCCTTCAGTCTTCTCCTAGATTGTCAACACATTTGATCCCGAAATCAACGATAGTGTAATTACTGCACCACATAGCTTGAGAAATTTGGGAAGATCTTCGTGAACAGTTATCTCAAAGCAATGCTCGTCATATCTTCCAACTTCAATGGGAGATTTCATCTTTGACACAAGATCAATTGTCAATTGCTGCCTATTACACCAAATTGAAAGGCTTATAAGATGAATTAGCTTCCTAAACCGATTCTTTGGCCTGCACCTGTGCAGTCCATGGCAATCGCAACAAACTCATACAATTCCTTATGGGATTAAATGAGTCTTACAGTGTTCTTTGTGGCCAAATTCTCTTAATTAATCCCTTGCGATCCGTTTTCCAAGCATACGCTTCCGTCAGCCAAGAAGAGAAGTAACGCATGCTTGAAGCCTTATGAGCTGCTGGAACCTTTGATACTGCAACCATGGATATTAGAACTGGATGACCCAATTAGAATCGGTCCACCAACCATAATGATCTTCGCATTGATTGGTCAAACCAAAACCGTTCCCAAACCTCCAACCATGAAGACCGCCGCTTTGGATCTTCCAAAAATCAGCCTCATTGCACTCATTGTGATGACGATGGTCATCACATCAATGCCTATTGGAAGCTTCATGGGTATCCAGAAGGTCATCCACGCCACAAACCATAGAAAAATCATGGTGGTCCATCTTTAAATCATGTTTCGGAAGGCCCAAATAAGGATAAGATGCACTTTACTATGTCCGGCCTTTTGGATCATCAATTTCAGAAAATGTTGGCTATCATGAATGACAAAGGAGCGATTTTCGAGCAACCCCAAGTCAAAGCTACCACTACTAATTAAGTTTTGTCCAAATTAAAATTTCAACGCTGGATTATCAACAGTGGCGTAACAAATCACATCGTTTCATCTCCCAAATTGTTAGTTCATCATAATGTCTGTCATTCTCTCCAACCAGTCCTTATGCCTACTAGGGAGAAGGCCTCAATTACCACCACAAGATCATTCATTCTCAATTTTACTTATACTTTTCGTGATGTGCTATGTGTACCTACTTTCACAGTAGATTTGATATTTGTGAGTAGAGTTACAAAAAATTTGAATTGTTTAGTGATTTTTTTCCCGTATTGGTGTATTTTGCAGGACCTTGTTACGAGGAATACCTTTCTTTGAGAAAGAGACATGGCGGGCTTGTCACATCCCGGAATCGGCTCCACCGTAGCACGATATTGTTTGCTTTAAGCCCCCTTCTCTGCCCTCAGGGTTTTGTTTTTGGGAACTCACGAGCAACTTCTCAATAGGTCACCCATCCTAGGATTACTCTAGCCCCAACTCGCTTAACTTCGGAGTTCCTATGACTCCGAAACCAGTGAGTTCCTAAAAGGCCTCATGCTAGATAGAGGTGGGCATGTACATATAAGGTACATCACCCCCTCTCCCTTGGTCGATGTGAGATATTACAATCCACCCCTCTTAAGGGCCCAACGTCCTCGTCGGCACACTCGCACCACACGGCAGAGTGACTTTGATACCAAATTATCACATTTCGGGATCGGCTCCGCCGTAGCACGATATTATCCGCTTTGGGCCCCCTACCCTCACGGTTTTGTTCCTAGGGAAGTTGCTCATGAGTTCCCAAAAACAAAACCGTAAGGGTAGAAGGCCCAAAGCGGACAATATCGTGCTACGGCAGAGCCGATATGAAGATATGACATTTTGGTATCAGAGCCCAAGGATTAGATACCTTTGGGGAAGAAATGTGTTATGGTATCAATAAATTTCGAGAACGAAATTTTTTTAAGGAGAGTAGATTGTGAGAACATGTATATATATATATATATATATATATATATAACAATTATTCATACTATGTATTACTTATTTATTAATATGAATATTTCTTATTTAAATATTTATTGTGAAAACTTATATGTTATTAGATCTTAAGCCCAGTATGAGATTATCCCTTTAGTTGAAAGATGACACCATTCTTGTTTTTCATGTGTAGAGACTTAGAATTGGTTTTAATCAAATCATCATTGTCATGCAACCCTTCACGCTAGTAACAAGTGATATTGTGATATCATTGGCCAAAAGGGGGATGAATGATATTATTCCCTTACTTTTCTATCTTATCTTTTGGTGGTTCAAAATATTGTGTATATAAACATTATTTGGGTGCATCCATAGCCTTTCCTATAAGTATCATATTTCCTCACTTCAATCATTCATTCCAATCCTTTAAGATAGATTTCTACCATGAAGTAGTGTGTGTGTGTGTGAGAGAGAGAGAGAGAGAGAGAGAGAGAGAGAGAGAAACAAGATGAAGAGCGTGTGTGTTTGTCTTGCAATATTTCATCCTTATCATGGTGGTGGGTTATGTAATATGTTCTAAAAGTTCTTATTTTGTGATAAATGTGAAAATCATGGGTTTATTCTATTTACAAACCTCTCTCTATTTTCAAGTCAAGCATGTCTAATTTGTGCAATATTTCACACAATATATATTATTTGGAGATTTTGTGAAGTATGCATTATTCATGGAATATGAGAACTTCAGTGATGGGGTATCCGAAGGATAAATGTACCAAACAGGGACATAAGGTAGTAAGGCCGATAGGGGTCACGTACTGGGTACAATTTGTGGAGGATAACCAAGATATGAAGTAATGATGAGATATAATTTGGATTGTGTATCTTTTCATTATATTTTTTTCTTTCTAGAGTGTGTAAAATGACAGTGTTTGACTGACATATTACATAATCTACTTATTGAGCGGTGCTTTGCTCATCCATCACCTATTTTTGTTTTTCAAATCAATTAAGTGGGCAAGAGAAAGCCGAAACCAGAGAAGTTGGATTAGTTTTAAGAGTGATAAATTTTTATTCATATCTTTTATTTGTAAGATTATTATAATTTTTTATATATAAATATAATGGTAATGTATTATAACCAATTTTTCAGTCTTTTTATTTATTTCATTCAATTCACACACCCTAATTCTGGAATATTTTTTATTTCCGGATTGGGGTGTGACAGGGCTTTATTATTTTGTGGCACTATCGGCGGAGAAACCCTCAAACACTACAAACCACGTCTTCCCTCACCGTCCATCCTGCAATCTTACTATGACCTCAACCGATCTTTGGCATCATCGTCTTGGGCCATGTTTTTTTCTTCTAGAATAAATTTTATGTCTAAGCATTTACTAGATTTATGTTTTGTATCAAATAATCCTTGCCATGTTCGTCCCTTGGCAAAACAGAGTCGTCTCCCTTTTGGAATAAGTTCAATTTCCTCTCTCACCTCATTTGATTTAATTCATTGTGATATTTGAGGCCCTTATAAGCATTCGTCAATTTCTAGTGCTCATTATTTTCTTACCATAGTTGATGATTATTCCTACTTCACTTAGGTATTTTTAATGCACCATATACATGAGACAAAATCTTTTAAAAAATTTCTTATCCTTTGTTGGCACTCAATTTATTTCCAAAATTAAGCAACTCCATGCCGACAATGGAGGGGAATTTCTTTTTCTCCAATTTTTTTTTTCATGAACAGAGCATCATTTTTCAACCTTTTTGCATCTATATGCCTCAACAAAATGAGTTCGTAGAACGCAAGCATCGACATATTCTTGAAACAGCTTGTGCTTTAAAAATTTAGGCCCATCTTCCTTCCAAATTTTGGGGGGCATGTGTTTTAACTGCAGTCCATCTCATAAATCGTTTTCCTACTCCTCTTCTTTCTTTTAATACTCCTTTTGAATGTCTTTATTTTAAAAAAAAATTCTCTCATCTTCGTGTTTTTGGTTGTCTTGTCTATATGTCACCAATGTTCATGTGGCACATAAATTCGCTCCTCGTGCTATTCCTTTTGTTTCCTTGGTTATCTCCTTTGTCCAAAAGTTTTCAAACTTTATGATCTTGAGTCTCATAAAATTTTCACCAGTCGTGATGTTCTATTCCATGAAAATATTTTTCCTTATCAACATTTCTCTTCTCTCTCTCCAATTTTAGTCTACTCTTCTTTTCCAGCAATTTCTTCCTCATCTAACCTGGACCAAATTTTATCTTCTCCAGTCACTACTCCATCTGGGTCGTCTAGCACCAGCCCAATCACATCACTCTCCATAGTTGAACCTGCTATTCTTGCTCTCATGCCTTCATACTCATCCCCTCCCAAAGCCTGATGCGCTTGACTCCGTGCCATTATCTCTATTGACCGAACCTACACCTAGTCTATTCGTCACCTATCCACCTGTTGCCACACCTGAACCACTTGCTCTTTGCCAGTCTGACCGTCTCTTTCTGACGTTCGTTGGTTTATGTGACTATATCTGCAATCACGTTATGATGCCCATCCTTGATCAATTTTCTTCTTTGTTGTCGGGTCCTACTAAAGGTACACTTTTTTCGCACTGCAACTACCTCTCCTATCATTGTTATTCCCCGACTCACCTTTCTTTCATTGCATAAAGTCAGTCAACTGGTTGAACTAAGTTCTTACGAGGAAGTTGCTCCTCGCTCTCATTGGCAGGAAGCCATGCAATCTGAATTACAGGCCTTGTCAGATAATCACACTTGGAGTCTTACTGCATTACGTGCTGGGAAGAAGCATATTGGTTGTCGATGGGTATATAATTAAGCTCAAATCCGATGGGTCTGTCAAACGGTATAAAGCCCATTTGGTCTCTAAGGGTTTTACTCTGATGGAAGGTGTCGATTATCATAACACTTTTTCTCTTACGGCAAGGATGCCTACAGTTCATTGTTTACTTGCACTTGACATCACCCTTAATTGGCCTCTCCATCAGCTTGATGCCAACAATGCCTTCCTTCTTGGTGATCTCCATGAGGAAATCTATATGATCCCTTATCGTGGTCTTCGGCAACAAGGGGAGAACTTGATATGTCACATTCATTCATAAATCTCTTTATGGTTTAAAGCAAGCTTCTCGTCAATGGCTTGCTAAGTTTTTTCAAGCCCTTTGTTCTATTGGTTACGTTTAGTCTAAAGCTAACTATTCGTTATTTAAGTGCAAAGAGGGGCAATCTTTCACAACATTATTGATTTATGTTAATGACATTTTAATTATGGGCAATGATCCTACATCTATCTACGCACTAAAGGATTTTTTGCACAATCATTTTCTAGTAAAGATCTTGGAGATTTGAAATGTTTTTTTGGGGATTGAGGTATCAAGATCAAAGTAAGGTTTTTTCTTATCCAAACGCAAGTATGCGTTGGAAATTTTGAAGGATGCAAAGCTCCAAGGTGCCACACATGTTGAATTTCATATGGAAAAAGGTCTTAAGATCTCTGATAAGGGTGAATTTCTTAAAGACCCAGCTCACTATAGAAAACTTGTTAGTCGTTTGATTTATCTGACCATTACTAGGCCAAATATTACTTACTATGTTTATGTCTTAAGCAGGTTTATGCATGCCCCACATAAACCTCACACGGAGGCCGCGCTTCGCATTCTTCGTTATTTGAAGAACACGTCAAGTCAAGTGATATTGTTGTCTTCTCATAGTGATTGACTTTGCTTGCATTATGTGATTCTGATTGGGCAGGGTGTCCTAATACTAGAAGGTCTAATACAGGTTATTGTGTGTTTCTGGGATCTTATTTAATTTCATGGAAGTTAAAGCAACAAAAAAATGTATCTTTGTCTTCAACAGAAGCCAAATATAGATCTATGGCAACAACATGTTGTGAGTTGTCTTGGCTTCGATCTCTTCTCAAGGATTGGCTCATCCATCATCGCCAATCTGCTTTGTTGTATTGTGACAACAAGGCAGCTTTACATGTTGCCACTAAACCCAGTGTTTCATGAGAGAACAAATTGAAATGGATTGCCATTTTATTCGAGATAAGGTTTGATTGCTACACAGCATGTGAGTTTGTCCTTTCAGTTGGCCAATATTCTTACCAAAGTATTGGGAAAAGAAAAATTTAACAATCTTATTCGCAAGTTGAGAGTTCTTGATATCTACTCTCCAACTTGAGAGAGGGTGTTAAGAATTCTATTTGTATAATATCAATTCGTATCAATCCTGTCGTAATTAGAATTTTGTTTTCCTAGTTAGTTTCCTAGATTACGGAATTAGTTTTCCTAGTTAGTTTCCTAGATTACGGAATTAGTTTCCTTGTACATGAATATATCTCTTGTATAAAGCAATTGTACCTATCAATGAAAAGATCATTTGGTATAATATCAAATTAACACATCAAACCTGCACGGCACCCACTTCTTCCTAATCAATGAGAAAGGCAGCCTGCCAGAATATGATTACAAAACAAATTCATATGATATCTCTAACAACCATCACAAGCTTGTCTTTGTTTGTATGTTTTAACTTCTTATGAAGTTGACATTTTGAATTCTTAGCCAAATGTGTTGACATATATGTATGGAGGACCCATTAATCCCCATTCATACAATGTGGAGTTCGATTAGAAATGAAAAGGGAAAACGTTGACACAGAGAGAGAGAGAGAGAGAGAGAGAGAGAGAGAAGGCACGACTTCATTGCTCACATGAATCACACATATAGTCTAGTCGATACATTTACAAGTCAATCAAATAATAATAATCAATATAGGGTGCGTTTAGATTTGATTATGTGGTGAGTAGGGTGTACCTTTTACGCTTGAAAAGCCATAGTTGCTCTCTCTTTCTGTGAGTCCCAAAGAAAAACTCCATAAAGGAGGAGGAGGAAGAAGTGTAATTGCCCTCTTCCTCTCCTCTCTCGCTTTTTTTTGTTAGGTAGTCCATTTGAGGTCTTTTAAATTATAAAAAATAAAAATAAAAACCTTTGTGGTGATTTCTTTTGAGTCATGCTCAAATTGAAGTTCCCCATTACCACTTTTAGGCGTTCTTAAACTATTTATAGATATATGGAAGATATCACTTACAATGAACCAAATCCTCCTATTTCTTATAGCTACTCTTACCACATTTGTATACAACATTTTCATACCACCTTATGCGGCAGACAGTGGCGGAGCTGGGATTCTTAGCATGGAGGGGCCAAAATTTCAAAATCACTTCCACATAGTTTTTTCATCTTCAACTGGGAGGGCCATCACTAATCTAATTGCAGTAATTATATTGCTATATCATATATTTTATAATATACTAAAAAAGATTAAAAATTAAATGGGTTTCCAGGGCCATGGCAGGTAGGGGTGGGCATCGGGACCAGAAAATCGAAACATTGAACCGGAACGGAGAAAAAAAAGAAAAAAAAATCAGTTGACCAAAAAAGTCAACAAACCAAACCCGAACGGGTTCCAACCTGTTTCGGTTCCAATTTTACACCACACCAAACCGGATCGGACCGAACTGGACCGGTTGATTTTTTTATTTTATGTTATTACAAATTTTTTAAATCCAATGCTATATTTTAAATTTTGTAATTAATATTTTTCCAAGTTCAACTTCAAAAAATTTATTATTGTATGAATTGGATCATTTGTAAAAAAAATAACTTTTTTTATTATAATTTTTATTTTTTTAAAAATAAAAAAAATATTTTTTTTCTTAAAAAAATTAGTAATCCGGTTCAAAACCGGAACCTGAAGAATGTCATGCTATGATTAGTCGGTGGTTCGCATACTATCTGCTGTAGTCAGAATTTCTGTTGGTGTATCCTAAAATTAATAAGTTAACTGGTTCACAGCAAAAGTTCATTAGTTGATCTTGGATTGGTAAAGCCTTTCCTCTGTGTCTGTTTGAGTCAATTCTTCAAAGATTGTCATAAAATCATAAATCAAATATCAGTTTTATTCATGAGATAGCTATAAACACACAGACCTCATGTTGTTTGAGTCAATTCCTCTGTGTACAACCACCTTAAATTTTTCAACGGATGGACTAGCTAAAGTCATTAGCTAAACATCTATGATAATTTTTATTGTATTTTATATATTTATAGTTTATATAGTTATTTTAGAAATAAAAGTATACATTAAATCATATAAACCAAGCTAGTTCATAGCTCTATTCACTAATTCCCAATATTTTTTTTTTCTTGATACAATTGATATTGGGGAAGAGGAGAATCGAACCTAGGACAATGATAAATGGTCTTAACTATTTGAGCTACAAACCCCTTGCAATTTCCAATTAGCTTTAGCATAAAACAAATACATATTAAATGCAACCGGAAACCAAATATTATCAAAATGAAAATATATTCAACAATAGAATTGAAAAAGTACCTATTTTAATTTGAATTTTTATTGTTGTCATGCAACTAAATTCATAAAGAATTGGACTTCTTTAAACTCTGATAGGTAATACATACTTGGATGTATTTAAAACAAGACAAATATTTTAAAAATCTCTGGGCTGCATGGAAAGTTTCTATATATATACCTGCCTTCGAGGTAATAATTTTTATCTAATTGGTTTTCCAAAGCAATTTTTATGGAGTTTTATTTCATTATACTCAAGTGTACAATACCTGTTGCGGATGTGTGAGTTTCTTTCTTCTATTTCTGTAACTTTTTAGATATGTACTTTTTTACTTTAATTATGAGTTTAAAGATCCATACCAAAGGCATTATATCAGTTCAATTACCTAGACTAGAGGTAATTTATGCGTATAAATATGTGCACAAGAGTTGGCTTTTGGGTTTAATTACTTAGACTAGAGGTAACTTATGGATTTAATTATTTGGACAAGAGGTAATTTGAGCTCGTTTGGGAGTGATTCTGGATAGGCTATAATCATTTTTGGGAAGAAACATCTCCCATGTTCCATAAAATCACTTTTAGGTTGTAAGGTTGCGGCACTGTAATGTGGGTTCAAGCAAATAATACCAGTTTTTTTTAATCCCAAAATAAAAATAAAATGAAAAGAAAGTATCTCAAGTTCAAAATCAGATTGAATCTTACTTTGATATTCATTGGTGGTTCATGCCCAACCTCATTGCCTACAACAGTTTAGATATAAGTAGACTTGTTTATAAATAAATAAAGAGTAAATAAAAAGGTAGTAATATTAGGTCCGTTTGATAACTATTTCAAAATTCAATAAATAGATTTACAATTAAATTGAAATCAAATCTGATAATTAATGTCCTACAAGTTAATTGAGTGTTGCTATTTCCACTTGCTTGTCCTATTTTTCTACCCCCCTTATCTTTTCCACCCACAACATCAATTTTAAAAAATACAATCTTATTTTTCCACCCACC